ATTTGGGTGCAGGGGGAGAAAGCAAATTGAGTCAGCAGCCAACCGGAAGATCTGTTTAGAATGGCTCCTTTTTCTGTGTGGCAGGCAGAAATTAAACACATCACTTCATCCCTGCTATAATGGATAAAAACACCGTGGATGAATTTCCCTGTTTATCATGTAGCTATTAAAGACAGAGAAGTCCAGGAGGGGAGTGGCGGCTACATTAATATTTGTTTTGTTATGTATTTTAAAAATGTATTTCTGCTCTGGACTTGTCGTGAAGAAAATGTCTTTGCATAGCCCAGTTCATTTTGGGGCATGTTTTACAGTGCTGGGGTTCCTGGCTTGGAATCTCCCTCCACACAGGTACTGCCTTCTACCTAGCCAGACCCATTGGTCCATCTAGCTCAGTATTGTTTACACTGACTGGCAGCCTCACTCCAGGGTTTCAGGCAGGGAATATTCCCAGCCCTACCTGAAGATGCCAGGGATTGAAGCTGGGATTTTCTGCATGCAATGTAGATGCTCTGCCATTGAGCTGTTAAGTTGTGGGTGAACATATCAGACGACACAGCGATTCTTCAGACAGCTCTTGTTTATTCACAGGCCAGAACAGAACTGAACTGAAGGGTTCCGCCAACCTGCTTATATAGAGCTCAACTACAAAGCAACAGTAACAACTTTCTGTAACTATCCAATCACTGAACGTCACTTTCAATTCCTTATTTGCATATGCGGACCTGAGTGAAAACTATCTACAGTATCCCCCTGCTGATCCAGGGTGAGAACTTGAGTACATAACAGAGCTATGGTATTTCCTGCAAAAATAAAGTAGCTTCTAGTCCTTTGTGTCTTTCAGTAAAGGGCTGGTTTAAATAGGAGCATACAAATCTGCCTTATACAAAGTCAGACCATTGGTCCAGACAGCTCAGTATTTTCTACACTGACTGACAGCAGCTTCTCCAATATTTCAAACAGGGAATATATTCTCAGCCTTAACAGGAGATGCTGGGGATTGAACCCAGGGCCTTCTGCAGTCAAAGCAAATGCTTTTTACTTTTTTCAGAAACAGAAAAAGACATTTTTTGTTCTGACAGCCTTTCCCACCTGGGTAAAGGGCCTTTACCCAAAATGTTCCATTTTTAGTCTTGTTCTCAATGCATTTGTTGTTCTTAAGTATCATATGTGTGAATTGCCTTGAGACAGTGGTTTAGAAGGCAACTAATAAATCAATGAGAACAATAATATTGTCTGCACTGATAGGCAGGGTTTCTGGAAAGGGTCTTTCTCAACCTTCCACAGAAATTGAACCGGGAACTTCCTCCTAGTCCTGATTAACTGCAATTGTAGACTGAGGAGTGAGCCGTGAGACTAGTTTCCCTCCTTTCTTACAGAAGTGCCAAATGCTTTATTGCAAAAGTACCAATGAATGTTGAGAAGTAATGACCGTCCCTGGCAGCGTTTTGCCCCCAAAATGGTTGAAGTAGCAGAGCAGCTGTCCTCAACAGAGGTGCCTCCTTTTTTCCACAAGAGGGCAGAGTATTGCAATGGTTCTCTCAAATACTGAAACATCTTATAGAACCTTTTCAGCATAGAATACAATAAACAGATTAATCTAAAGGGGGGGAAACCTAGAAGAAAAAAATAAAAAGGGAAAGGGGAGGGAAAATAAACACAAAGATAGATCTTAATTTAATCCTTGACTCATGCAAAAGGATATGGACCCTCCCAGTTCTCACCTGGGAACTTCCCTTTCTTCTCCCAGGGCCCCCCCCCCATACTGAGAAAGGAAGTTTTTAAAGAAGGTTGATGTTCCTGCCACAAACCTTTTCTGGGGTACAGCCACAGTTAATCTGCTACAGTCAACAAAGCAGCTAAGCTTGTTTTGGACACACTGGGGCTGCAGCCACCTAAGTCCTGCTCAGAGTTGACCCATTGGCAGTACTGGACCTAGGTTAATTAAACTATGGAACTCGCTTGCACAGGAGGCAGTGATGGCCACTAACTTGGATGCATTTAAAAGATAGACAAATTCATAGAGGGCACAGCTATCAGCCATGGTGACTATGTTCCACCTCATTGCTGGGAATTGCAAGTGGCCCGGTCATTAGGCTTATGAGCACATTTGGGTTTTCAAGCCAGAGCCTCTCTGGTCGCTTTTCTCCCCAAGACCATTCTCCTGAGCCAACGTCAAGTACATGCACACACTTCATTTTCCCCATGGGGTGCGGGTAAAATTCAGATCCATTAGTATTAATCTGAGTCTTGAAAAGCCCATAGCTGTAAGAGGGGATATATGCATCACTCTTCCAACTTTCTATGTACTTTTCAAGGGAGAAAATTCTAACCATCCTCACCACATCATGACCAAAAGGACATGGAGTGACCCATCAGATGTGAAGGAAATAAGCAGCTATCTTCTCTTTAAAAGACATCTGAAGGCAGCCCTGTTTAGGGAAGTTTGTAATATTTAATGCTGTATTGTTTTTAACACTCGATTGGAAGCCGCCCGAAGTGGCTGGGGAAACTCAGCCAGATGGGCAGGGTAATTATTATTATTATTATTATTATTATTATTATTATTATTATTATATTATTATTATTATTATTATTATTATTATATGGAGTAGGAGATCTTGACTCAAGAAGCTTCCATGGGCACCAGGAGAAAATCTCATATGCCTCATTGCACCCATTTAATTTTTTTATTTGCAGGAAAACACTACTAAAAGCTGCTTGGTAAATTCACTTGGTCCTAGATCACCAGTCCTCATCAAAGGGGTTGCAACACCACTATGATCATGCAAATGTATCATAACACATTAAGAAATCTGTCCCCAAAGGCATGTTTGGGTTAAAAGTGGGTCCTGGGTCTGTGAAGGTTAAAGATACTGTTTCAGTCACAAGTATTTCTGCACAGAGACCACCAGAGGGCACTAAAAATCCATCCAATTAACTTTTGCCTTAATTCACAGTGCCAGAGTTTCATCAGCTGTGTAACTATTTCTGTGTTTGCAATTTTATCCGCTGCAGCATTTAACTGACGGAATTGCTCAGGGGCTGTCGTTTTAATATTTAAATGTCATTTCTGTGTCAAATTTATATTTAATGCACCTTGGGAGCATAATGCTGCAAGGTGGTTCAGAAACCTAAATAAAATTGTTGGGAACGGGCAGCTGTGTTTTGCTAGAGGTGTACAGTACCAGCATTTAGCTTTGAGGTGCATCTCTGCAAGCCAGGGCTTGGAGCTGCAGGCACACAGAAAAGGTGTGGGTCAGTGACTCTTCATAAAGCCTGCTTAACACAACCCAGCCAGTGCATAAAGTGAGGGGCTGTTTTTGTGTTTTTAGTAATAAGAGCCATCAAAATGCAACTTTCCCCTCCCAGTGTGGGAATACCCCCCCCAAAAAAGGCCTGCTATTCCTGCCCCCAACACATCTAAAGGTAAAGGGACCCTTGACCGTTAGGTCCAGTCGTGGACAACTCTGGGGTTGCAGCGCTCATCTCGCTTTATTGGCAGAGGGAGCCAGCGTACAGCTTCCGGGCCATGTGGCCAGCATGACTAAGCCGCTTCAGGCAAACCAGAGCAGCACACGGAAATGCCGTTTACCTTCCCGCTGGAGCGGTACCTATTTATCTACTTGCACTTTGATGTGCTTTCGAACTGCTAGGTTGGCAGGAGCAGGGACCGAGCAACGGGAGCTCACCCTGTCGCCGGGATTGAACCGCCGACCTTCTGACTGGCAGGCCCTATGGTTTAGACCACAGAACCACCCGCATCCAACACATCTAAATACCATATTTCTCAAGACTAGGGCAGTCAAGACAATGAGATCCTGATGGCCAACTCGAACATGGTGGGACAAATCATCCATTTTTGAGAGCAGATATTAATTGCAAGTTTAAGCCATCCAACTTTCACTTAGCCTTTCATCCCAATCATCATTTAATTGGATTGTATCAAACATACTACCCAGTGCATGCCAAGTGGCTGGAAGTTTTGTTGATGTATGAAATGTACTATAATTTTATTGCTGAACAGAGTGACCTGGAGATAGAAGGGCAGTTACTAATGTTTTAAACTTTGAGAAAGTCAGTGTGGAAATGGGACATTTGTGGGCTTCCAGAAGATGGCCACTAGCCGTGCTCACTGGGAGCTGGAGCCCCTACAACATACGGAGGACAAATGGGAGCTACCTATGCCACCTTTTTGGAAGACGAGGGATAAAAACCAAGGATAATGAAGATTACTTCAAGTATAATCTTCTCCACTTCCTCACACACTTCACAGATGGGGGTCAAAGCAAGTATGACCCATAACAGCCCTGGGACCAGCTCAGCCTACAGGTTGTTGGTCAATAAGTGGCAAATGGGCTGTTTGTTGAAGAATGACGTGAGCTGTAGGCCACATTCACACCATGCACTATGGCACTTTGAACAGTCATGGCTTCCCCCAAAGGATTCTGGGAGCTGTGATTTGTTTGGGCGTCTCCTCATAACCCTCAGGATCATGAACAATGACAGCTCCCAGAATTTTGGGGGTTGGGAAGCCATGACTATTTAAAGTGGTATCAATGTATGCGTGGTCCTAAACCATGTAAGAGGACAGCCACAATTTCGTGATTGCCAATAGCCACCATTTTCTCTTCTGATACTGCCAGTGTGGTGTAGTGGTTAAGAGCGGTAGACTCGTAATCTGGTGAACCGGCTTCACATCTCCGCTCCTCCATATGCAGCTGCTGGGTGACCTTGGGCCAGTCACACTTCTCTGAAGTCTCTCAGCCTCACTCACCTCACAGAGTGTTTGTTGTGGGGGTGGAAGGGAAAGGAGAATGTTAGCCGCTTTGAGACTCCTTAGGGTAGTGATAAAGCGGGATATCAAACTCTTCTTCTGCCAAGACTTCTCTCTCAAATGCAGACACAGCCATCTCTCTCTGAAGGCTGCTCTCCCCACTATCTCACACCTTAAAATTATCTGGTCCCCAGACACTTTTCCATTAAGAACTCCACACCACACAGACGTTTCTCTGTTTTTATTTACCTCACATGAGAACTACTATTTTCTGTTTTGCAGGTACCTCAGGCTGCACTGCAAGTTACACAGCTTCCACACACTAAGAGGGGTGGGGTGGGGGGCTTTAGGGATGGGGTGGGGAGGGAAGCAGAGGAGAAAGAAACACTTATTACCCTCAGTCATGAATAGGGCTACCCCCAAAAAATACGGCAGCAGCTTTACAATTTTCATGCCAGCATCACCGGGACTCTTAAATCTTTCTCCTTAGTTTCATTATGATGAATGAAACATTCTCTAGGGAAGAGTGGGGTGGGGTGTTGGGAGTCGTCTGTTCACAAAAAGCAGCCAAGCGCTTTAAGAAGCAACAGATCAGAGCTGGGGAGGCGAGAGAAGGAAGATGAAACGCACTAGATGAGTTGTAGCCTAGGATGAGAGGACCTGCAAAAAGTTTGTCTTTCCCCCCTACACATCAGCTGCCCTTAGTTTGTCTTTATTTTGTTTCTAAATTTAGGTGACTAGTGCTTTCAACCGCAACTGGGGGGGTGGGTCGGGGAAAGAGGGAAGCCTCGTCGGAGCCAAAAGCGGGTTTAGTTGACGCGAGGGTTCCTGAAGTTTCTGCCGGCAAAGCGGGACTTGTTCCCCAGCTCCTCTTCAATCCTGAGGGAAAATGGCGGTGGGGGGAGTAAAAAAAAAAAGACAAGCATGAGGAGCAATAATTTCCAGGAGAAAGGATGTGTCCATAATCTGCTTTTTTTAAAAGAAAAGATCTGTACTGATCAAGTCAAAAGTCTTGTGGCACTTAGGCGACATTCACACCCTATATTTCAAGAACTATGATATCACTTTAAAGCCAGGGGTGCCAACTTGAATAAAATATTGGGGGGGGGGAGGCAAGCCCCATCCCGCATCATCGATCACAAGGTGTGGCGCACGAACATCAAATGAATGACAATATTCATCAACTTTGGGAGACCCCGACCCCTCAAATATTTTGGTGCCTAGGAGTTGCTCCAGTGCACTTTGCACTGTGATGTCTTCCCCCAAAGAATTCTGGGAGCTTCAGTTTGCGGAGTTCAGAGGGCTGAGAGGAATTGGGGAAACCCCTGTCCCCCTGACAGAGTTACAATTGCCTGTGAAGAGGGATTGTGTGTTAAACCACTCTGGAAATTTGTAAATGTGAAGGGACATGGGGATCTCCTGACAACTCTCAGCACCCTAAACAAACTGCAACTTTAACAAGCATGTTGGTAAGATATTCCAGGTGGTGTTTTAATTTATTTCCTTTCATAACATTTATATACTGCTTAATTGGAAACCACCACTCCAACCCTCTAAGTTTACAAAAGGAATAAAACAATTCCGTTATCAATCATTGTTTCAACCAATGTCGATATTCCTGCATTTTTTTGTATTTTCTGTTCTGTAAATCATTTCTGGACATGAAATTCCATTTCATGTGCACTGTATTAACACATAGTCTCCTGTGCAGCGCATGCCATAAAACAGGGCCAACAGATATGATCTACTTCCCTCAACACACTTCAATATACTGTACATCTAAAGTAAAGGTAAAGGGACCCCTGACCATTAGGTCCACTCGTGACCGACTCTGGCTTTACTGGCCGAGGGAGCCAGCGTACAGCTTCCGAGTCATGTGGCCAGCATGACTAAGCCGCTTCTGGCAAACCAGAGCAGCGCACGGAAACGGTGTTTATCTTCCCGCCGGAGCGGTACCTATTTATCTACTTGCACTCTGATGTGCTTTTGAACTGCTAGGTTGGCAGGAGCTGGGACCGAGCAACGGGAGCTCACCCCGTCGCAGGGATTCGAACCGCCAACCTTCTGATTGGCAAGTCCTAGGCTCTGTAGTTTAACCCACAGCACCACCCGGGTCCCTTACTGTACATTTAAACAAGCCCAAATTCCTCAACTTAATCCTTACCTCAGAAGCTGGTTATATTTGGCTAGACGTTCAGACCGACAGGGAGCACCAGTCTTGATCTGTGGAGAGAGAAATTAAGCAAGAAACAATAAACACGAAACAGAATTATCCCTCCCCGCTTCCAATCCTATCCTCCTGCCTACCTAATGAACATACAAGGTAGCAAATGATGGCAGGGATTGTGGGAAAATGTAACAAGAGTGAGAATTTGGGAGAGGCTGTTTGGAGGCAGCAATAGCTCAGTTGGTAAAGCCTGAAATCCATAATCTCAGGTTGTGGGTTCAAGCCCCACAATGGGTAGAAGATTCCTGCATTGCTGGGGGTTGGACTAGATGACCCCTCCTGTTCCCTTCCAACACTACAATTCCACAATTTTATAAATGGTGTGCTTTCTGTGGGTTGGGATTTTACATTAAGCTGTCTAGAGTTAACTTATCTCAATACTGTTATGGTGGATACTGCTGGTGTAATTTTTTAAAGTACGTAAAATTTGACACAACATTGTTGAATTTATTCCGTGTATATATTTATGGGTTTTAGATATCCAAACCCTACCCAAAGTAGACACATTGAAATTAATGGATCTACGGTAAGTCAGTCATGCCCTTTGATGTCAATGGGTTTTCTCTGAGTATGGCCAACAAGGGCTACAACGTTCAGCATTTTTAGCTTCGAGATCTTAGAGATATTCAGCAGTCTAGAAATGGAAATGATGATACTAATACAGTCATACCTCGGGTTACAGACGCTTCAGGTTGCGTTTTTCCGGGTTACAGACCCGCTGAAACCCGGAAGTACCGGAACGGGTTACTTCTGGGTTTCGGCGGTTGCGCATGTGCAGAAGCGCTGAATCGCAACCTGTGCGTGAACAGACGCGCTGCTGCGGGTTGTGAATGTGCATCCCGCACGGATCACGTTCGCAACCCGAGCGTCCACTGTACTTAAAAGCAGACTTCTAAGCCTATGTAAGCCAGCCTTCTCTGCATGCCTAGACGTGTGGCCTCCCCAACTGTTGCTGCACTCCAATAATCCATGAACTTTGGCCAATGCCAGTTGGGAGTGCATGCCACCATGTTCCAGAAGGGACACAGGTTCTCCCTTCCCACCTTGCCCTGCAACTGGAAAGCAAAAGCAGCCACCTCAGCAAGGAAACACTCACCTGTCCAGTGCACAGCCCAACCACCAGGTCAGCAATGAAGGTGTCTTCAGTCTCCCCAGAACGATGGCTCACCATCACACCCCAGCCATTGGACTGGGCAAGCTTGCAGCTGCAACAGGAAGACAAGAGATGCTAGAAATTGAGTCATTTTATAAGCAGGCTATTGAGACTACATACAAGAGCCAACTGAGTCGCTCCCCTTGCTTGGCACCAGCCATTTCAAGATTGCCTTATTTATGTGCATCTGCACTTCTGTCTTTAACAAGGTGACTGTGCGAGTTCAGAGAAGACATGGAGCAGACAGGTAATAGCTTTATACCACTCCAGACTATTAGTCCATCATGTTAAGTATTGTCTACTTAGCAGCAGTTGCCCTTGACCCCCAACTGTTTGCAGATCTGCACATAGTCCCTTTCAGCTAGATCTACTATGTCTTGTGTATGCACAAGTGTTCCAATATCTTCTTTCAGAATGACTTAAGTTGTTTTCCTGGAGGTTCCATTGTGCGTAACAGAACCAGCAAACTAAACACCTTGTGTTTTCAGTGTTTCTTAATGCTTAGCTTTGGAGCATACAGATCAACTCCTCATCGGTGATCTTCCCATGCGCCTTCTCCAGAGTGACCCTAGCAGAGAGCCAATCCTTAGTGGACGATTCACCTTCCTTTGACTCCGATTGGCTCTAATCAGCACAAAGCATGAGAAGACTCCACCTCCCCGTGGTTAAAAAGCTCCCCGTTTTTAATGCTGATGGGGAGGGCTCTGGGACAAACCACTACACCTGCTGAGCAAGCCTGTAAAGCAGGGGTAGGCAACCTAAGGCCCGTGGGCCGGATGCGGCCCAATCGCCTTCTCAATCCGGCCTGCGGACGGTCCAGGAATCAGTGAGTTTTTACATAAGTAGAATGTGTCCTTTTATTTAAAATGCATCTCTGGGTTATTTGTGGGGCATAGGAATTTGTTCATATATTTTTTTCCCAAAATATAGTCCGGCCCACCACATGGTCTGAGGGACGGTGGACCTGTCACGGGACTGCCAAAGAACGCCTTTGAATCTGGGGGAGGATAAAAGTCAGAGCGGGAACAATCAGAAGGAGACAGAGAGGAAGTGACGGAAGGGGAAGAGGGAGAGAGCCAGGAGGCGGGAAGGCTCTCCGATGCTGAAGCAGAGCCCCAGCACCACACAGGGAGTTCAGGAACAAACAGAGAGCCTATGCCTGTGCCTCTGGCACAGGAAAGGAGAGGGTTAAAGTGCAGGGATCAGAGATGTCCCATGAAGCTCCCCAGCCTTTTCTGTTGGAGGAGAAGCAGGAGAAGACCACTCCCCGAATCTGAACTGGACAATTCGGATGCATGATTGCACTGTGCTGCTTGTACATATGTAAAATAAAGAACTGTAAATATCTCTCTGAGTGAGCAGAGGATGCTTATTGCGAAGAGCATACACAAACCATCACAGGACCAGCCCACAGCTGAAAAAGGTTGCTGCCCCCTGCTGCAAAGTATCTGCCCACTCCTGCTCTCCAGTTATTCCGCTTCCTGCTCAACTGCCATTTCCTCCCCTGAGAAAAGCAAGGGAAAGACTTACGCCTGGAGCGACTCTGTGACAGAGCCGATCTGGTTGACTTTCAGCAGCAGGCAGTTGCAGGACTTCTCTTCCACGGCTTTGGCAATGCGCTTTGGGTTGGTAACCGTCAGGTCGTCACCAACAACCTGGATGCCTGCGCTGGCGGTGAACTTCTTCCAAGCAGCCCAGTCATCTTGGTCAAATGGGTCTTCAATGGAAACCACTGGCCATTGGGGTGGGGGCAAGAGAAGGACAATGTTACTCAGGCGGGTGGTTTACCAGTTACATACCCAGCAAATGTGTGGCCTTTCTCATGTGCTTGGTGTCGCACAGTCCTCCCTGTCACCGCTCAAGGTGACAATGGTTCTCCACCTTCTTGTGCCTCCCACTCTGCCCACCAACAGCGTGTGGCCTTCAGAAGGAATATGGCCCTTGCACTCACATGGGTAATTCTTGACAAAACCCTTATAGAGGTCAGCCAGCTGGTCAGGAGTGATGTATCTGCTGGGATCATCAGGGGACTTGAAGTCCAGGTCGTATTTCCCATCGCGATAGAATTCGGAAGCCGCCACGTCCATCCCAATGACAATCTTGTCAGTGTAGCCAGCCTTGCTGATGGCAGTCTTGAGCAGTTCCAGAGCTGAGGAGGAGGACAGCAACAGAATTGGGGGTTTTTGAACAGAAAGGTTCATCATCCAAGGTTTGTATTCAGTTCATTTTATGATCCAAGTGCTGCCTTTTTATCTCGTGCATTGCTTTGAGTAAAGGGTACTAAAAACAAGACATAAAGTTACTTGTTCTGCACATACAGAAAAGAAGACTTTTGAAATCGTAAGCATTTGCTCTAAAATGGGAAAGCTCTCATGAGTCGGTATCTCCTTTCTCCACAAGCGTCATCAAAGAAGGTCCCCAATTGCCAGAACACGACACCCAGTTTAGCACATCCAAAACAGGGCCTGATGAAAGAACCTTTGGGATTAGAGCAGGGGGTACATTGGCCCTACAGAGCATTTTGCTAGTGGCAAAGAAATCCCAAACTATGGGACTCATTCCAACAGGAGACAGTGATGGCCACCAACTTTTGATGGCTTGCAGGCTTCTAAAAGACATCTGGTTGGCCACTGTGAGAATAGGAGATTGGACTCGATGGACCAGTGGCCTGATTCAGTAGGCTCTTATGTTCTTAGGTCTCGGTAAGGCAGGGGAAAGAGATGGGGGGAATCCTTCCAAAGCCCACTCAAGGTGGTTCCAGTTACACATCTCCCTGCTCTCCCCAGCAACAGCAAGTCTATTTCAGACGGGGAAGACCCAGCTACTGAGGCCCTCAGCTGCCAACTTGGCTGGGAGAGAGGCAGGAAGTGCTACTTGTAGCCCCCAAAGAGGCCCACAGCAGCCAACAGAACCTGTCTTCCTGTACAGTAAATAGCCTGGAGTGACACAGCATGGCCGGGTGGTATTACAAATAAAACGTGTAAGCAGCCATCAGCGAGTTTTCCGCATTGCTCGAAAGCAATTCTCGCCTACCTCCTGGGGGGATTCACGCTGCCTCAGCAGCTGTGTGACACCGGAGAGACAGAGAGGGAAGGGTCACAGAGTTCCGTTCCTCCTGGCTGCAGGGAGGTTCACTCAGTGCCAGCTGCCCCACCAAGTATCAGGCCAAGAAAGGCCCACCTAATGCAGCACCCTGCTCTCAGAGTGGCCAACCAGATGCCCTGCATTGCAGCGGGCTGGACTAGATGATCCATGGGTTCCCTTCTAACTCTACAGTTCTAGGATTCTATGCTCCAAAAGGAATACCATAAGGAGGGCCTGAGTGTGACAGCAACTCTCCCCACTTCCATTGGCCCCACTCGGTTCTAGTTATTATGAGGGAGGAAAAAAAATATTTATCTAATTTCTTCGGGCTATGTGTAATTTTATACAACTCTCTCATGCCACCTATTTTGCTTGCCTTTTCTCTAAACAGAAAAGCTCCAATGCTGGAACCTTTCCTTGTCCAAAAAGGTTTTATGCATCCGATCCTTCGCAAAGCAGCTATGCCCAAAAGCAGAAATCCAGATGGATTTAACGCTAAAGTGCTTAACAGTAGAGTGATCACTGCACATTGTGCACTATGAGGGAGAAAAGCTTTCCTCTATCCACTTTCTGAACACTGCATAATTTTACAAACCACTACAGTGGTACCCCGTGTTACGTACTTAATCTGTTCCGGAGGTCCGTTTGTAAACCGAAACTGCTCGTAACATGAGGCACGCGTTCACTAATGGAGCCTCCTGCTGCTCCCGGCGCACGACTTCCGCTCGCATCCCGGGGCAAAGGTCGCAACCGGGGGCATCTACTTCCGGGTTAGCGGACCTCATAACCCGAAGCATACATTCATATGTAAAACAAGGTACCACTGTATCATAAGTCTCCCCTTACTTGTCTTTTCTCCAGATTAAAAAGCCCCCAATGTTGTGGAACATTTCCTCGTAGGGAAAGACACACCGGTAGCCTGCACACTCTCCTTATCTCTAACCAGTTTTGTGTGGGGCACCTTTGGCCCCTCCAGATGTTTCTGAACTACAATTCTGAACTGGCCAATGGCCAGGGATGATGAGGGTTGCAGTTCAGCAATATCTGGAGGGACAAAGCTACCCCACATCTGCTCTAAACCAAAAATGCCTCCCCCTCAACCTCCCACCCTAAATGGGATACTGTCTTTCTTACTGCACTGACACCTGCAACCTTGCCTTTTCTGTGAACTAGAAAGCCCCAGATGTTGTAACCATCCTTGCAGGGAAGGACATAGCTGTTGGTTGTCTGCATGGACTCTACACACCAACTCAATAAGGTAGCAAAGAGCCGATCAATCCATTACCTTCTTTGTTCTCCAAGATGTTGGGTGCAAAGCCACCCTCATCACCCACGTTGGTAGCATCTTTCCCATACTTCTCCTTAATGACGTTCTTCAGGTTGTGGTACACCTCGGCGCCAATGCGCATGGCTTCCTTGAAGCTTTCGGCCCCAACAGGGAGGATCATGAACTCCTGCATGGCCAGCTTGTTACCAGCGTGGGAACCGCCATTGATCACATTGAAGGCCTGGAAGGTGGGCAAGACGAAAGGGGGAAAGAAAACCCAAGAGGTTAATGCTCCAGCAATGCAATCTCTCCCAAAGAAAGCCCCATTTACATTGTTCGCTTATTATTATTATCATCATTATTTTTTATTTCTATCCTGCTTTTTCTCCTTGGATTCAAGGCAGCTTCCAACTTTTAAAAACATCATTATAAATTACAAAGTAAAAAAACACAAATGAGTTAAAAAACCAATAATTAAAATACATCAAACACGCATTTAGAACCAGCAATTAAAACATAGTTTGCTTTGACAGCTGCCCAGTGATCAACATCATCTGCACCTTAGTTTTCAAGGGCCTGTCTGAACAGGAAGGTGCCAGATGGACGGGGTATAAATAATAAATTATTATACGATTATTATTATATTAACTCTCTTAGGAGTGAATTCACACAATACAGGAGCCATCACAGAAATGGCTCCCTCTTGGGTTGCCACCAACTGTGCTTTTGATGTTTACAGTATCATACTACTCATGGCTTTCCCCTATAATTATAATAATAAATTGTTATTTGTACCCCGCCCTCCCCGGCCAGAGCCGGGCTCAGACCGGCTAACATCATAAATACAATATGCATGAAAACAATCAATTGATTAACTTAAAGAATCCAGGGAACTGTGGCTTGCTCAAGGTGCTGAGAGTCGTTTTCCTCCCAGAGTTACAATCCTCAGAGTGGTTCTACCACCAACCCCTATTCCCAAGGAACTCTTGGGAATTGTAGCTCGGCAAGAGGAGTAGGGTTTCCCTGAACAATTCTCAGTACCCTTAGGAAACCAGTTCCCTGGATTATTTCAGGGGAAAGCCATCTGGTTGGCCACCGTGAGAAACAGGATGTTGGATTAGATGGGCTGATCCAGCAGTCAGGTTCTTAACAAGAGGAGAGCCACTGAACTCTGAAAATCCAACATGTTTGCTGTTTTTCCACCCTTAATTCACAAAAGCCACTGCCCCTCCATATGGCTAGGTGGGAGGAAGAGAGCTGTTTTGTCTGCACCAGATCTTGCCTCCTTTGCAGAATGGCAACAAAGGAAAACTTACAGGGACTGGCAGAATGACGTCCTGGTTCCCAGCCAGATCAGCAATGTGGCGGTACAAGGGGACCCCCTTCTCAGCAGCACCAGCCTTGCAGACAGCCAGGGAGACGCCCAGAATTGCATTTGCACCAAACTTGGCTAAGATAGTAAGAAAAAGAGGTTACTTGAGAGACTGCATGGTTCCTTACATGTCCAGCAAGTCTCTGCAGTCCGCAGAAGAGATTCTCCTGTAAGTTCCAAGATCTCAGAAGCCCACTCCACAATGACTTGGAGCAGGGCCTTCAGTGTGGCTACCCCATTCTGTGGAACAGCATTTCTTTCAAGATACGCCCAGCACCCATGATAGGCACCCCACTCTCTGCACTTTCTAGAAACAACTGGAAACACTTTTGTTCCAAGACGCTTTCCAAGCTGCTGTGTCTACTTGGCATAGTCTTTTATGTTAATCTGCTTTCTGGACTGTTTTTATTGCACTGTATTTTATACATTGCCTTGAACCGCGTATGTTGAGGGTGATTTAATAAATGCTATATTATTTTTTAAAAATTAATAAAAATAAAATGTTTAACAACAAAACTGCGAGAGAAAATGTATCATTTGTTTACAAAATTTAAAATCAAGTCAATTTGAAACACTGGTTTTATTTGAGGTATGAAATTGTGTTTGTTTTCATCCAGGTTTTAGGAAATTTTATTGAATGCTGTTCCTTTTTTTTTGGTCATTTTACTGTAAACCTCTTGCAGATTTTCAATCATAGGAAAGTGCAAATAAACAAACACCTGGCTCAGTCCACTATGTTTTTCTTTCCTTACATTTAGTAGGAGATGGATGATTATAGTAAAACAATGCAAGAGGAATATTTCCAAACCTAGACTCCTTTCTAGCAAAAGCACTTTCTCTCCAATAAAATGTGCATAGGAATCATAGGAAACAGTCTTGTGATGCATCAGACCATTAAGCGCATCCATCTCAGCCTTGCCTACCCTGATGGGCAGCAGCTCTCCAGGGTTCCCAGAAAGGGAACATTCCTAGCCCTACCTGGAGATGTTGGCAATTGAATCTGAGGTTCTGCATGCAAAGCAGCTGCTCCACCACTGAGCTATGGTTGTTCTCAACTCGGGTGTGGTTAGCTGCAGCATTTATGAAGGAACTGTGACTTCTTTTATTGTGCTACAAATCTTTCAGGCAGCAGAGAGGCTGAGAATCACCTGAGGAGCACCTCTCAAACTCACTAGCACAACAGTTTACTTGCTCTTGGACCCAACCCAGAGCATTCATGGCTGCAAAATCACAAACGTACACTTGTCCAACCATTCCACTTACATTTGTTCTCTGACCCGTCCATATCCAGCATCAGCTTGTCAATCTTCTCCTGCTCTACAACACTGATGTTCTGCAGGGAAGAGGAGAAGAGGTAAGGCAACCAAAACAACCCACCGGGAAGGAAACCTCATCCTGACTTAGTCATAACTAATCTCCCTGCGGACACTTGCCATTGGTTAGGGATAGATGATCCAAACAACACACCAAGGAGAGGCAACCCCTTCACTTTATTTTAGCACACTTCACCTCAATTAAGAATTGAAAATTGCCAGCTAAATAGAAAAACAGCCTAGGCAGCTCATGTGGTTTTTAAAAAACAACAACAAACAGCTTGATCGGTAATGTCTGCAGATCAAGCTGCTCTCAAAGGCAAAGGACCCAATTAACAAACAGGGCGGCAACACTGAATTAAACCAAGTAAAACCCCTTTTGACTAAATAGATCCACACAGGCCATCGGGGAAGACTGGGGTGGGGGCAGAGACGTTAAGCTCCCTTACGGACCACCAAGCTGAACACCCCCCAAATTAGCTTGCAAGGAGGGAGAGCTACAAAATAAATCTGGTGCACTGGGAAACATTCTTAAGGCAGGACTCGGGAACTGCAAGCAGTTTTCCATCCGTAACATTATTTCATGCCGTTTTAGAATTCCCACAGCACTTCTCAAACATGCTTTCGTGTTCATGCATCCAAAAGAGGGCCATTCGCTGACGACGGTAAGGAGCTTAGTATTATGCTGGCTTTCTCACCCATAAAAAGAACGTTAAAGAGACTAGGAACGGCTACACTTGCGCTAGAGGGGTTAGTGAAATAAGGAAGGCTCCTACCTTGTTAACCAGTGCAGGGGCAATTGTTTTATTGACGTGCTCAACAGCTTTTGAGACACCTGGAAGGAACAAGCAAATCAATCACTAATCCAATCCACCAAAGGCAAAAGCAGGCATTAGTAGAGGATCACTTGCCATTACAGCCCCAACCACCTAGCCCTCAAGACAAGATATACATTAAAGGGGTGCAGCACACTAGTCCTTTTTTTAAAAACAGACAAAATTATGTCACTGAGGGAATAGCCATCGTCTAGGAATGCCTGCCGGAAGGTTAGTCCCATAGACCATGCACAGAGGAGGAGCCTGCCTGGAGTCAGGCCAGGTTGCAAGCACACATCCTTTACCTGAGTACACAGTGCCGGCGCCAGGAATTCGTTAACATATTTAACTGCTCGGGAGACGCCTGGTGGGAACCGAGTGGACGAGGAGGGAAGAGAGAGACGGGAGAAAGGAGAAAGAAGGGAGAGAGAAAGATGAACGCCCACAAGAGACCACAAAAGCAGCAGCAGCAGCATGCAAGGGGGGGCAGGGATTCACAGCAAAAATGACCAGAGGACCCATAATCAGGAGTGGGGAGCAGGAAAGAGGAAGAGGCTTTAGGTCCATGCAAACCTGACAAAACCAGGAAGGCTTCGTTTAACAGTAGCTCATGTCAGGCATCACCATCCACCTGTGGTCTGCGCCAACTATAGATTAAGCAGCTCAAACCGTAGCCAAAAGAGCAGCAGCCAAAGCATGGCTTACAGATACTTCCCTGCTTTCTTTTCTTGTCCTTCCAGCTGAAGCTCTGGCTCCATGATGCAAACAGCCTCTGGAGACCGAGCAATGGCTGCAACCACAGGGTCTATGTGCCGGTTCAGACATTGAAATCAATGGACCCCTAAGCTACTCATGGCTACTAATTTTCAATGTTTCTACTCTGAATGAAAGTTAGTTGAATGCAACCCAGTAGTTTTAAATCAGTACTAGATTTATATATAATTACACCCACAGAATTATTATTTTTTAAATGTAACTTGCTTTTAATGTTTGCTTTTATTGGTGTATTTTTAAATAAATGTCTTGGATTATCTTTTGTGAACCACTTGGAAGTGTTTAAGAAAGTGGAATATAACTTTAGTTAGCAATCCCTCCTTAAGCCTTACGGGCTGTTGTATCAGATGTTAGTCCTGGTCAAAGCTGACATATTACGGGCACGAACTTAGGTTCATTTATTTAAATGGATCCACTCTGAGCAAAATGTAGCTGGATACAAACCCATTGCTTTTAAGTACATTTGCCAGCATTCATTCCAGAGGCACCAGGCTGACCGCTCTGTGGAAACCTAGGGAGACTCTCTGCACGAGCCAGCAGGTGACATGTTAACTCCCTTTTTAACTTTCTTCCATTTCTCTATTTGTGTCCGTTTTAGATTACAAATTCGTTTGGGGACAGGGACCGGCTTAATTGAAAGGCTGTGTTGCACATCAGCCTTCCCCAACCCAGTGCCCTCCAGATATTGCTGGATTTAAGCCACTCCCCTCCTGCACCTGCTACCTTTTCCCACCAAGGACAGGTGAGTGGATGTGTGGGGGCTCCTCCCTCAAAGCCAAGAATGATGGGAACAGCAGTCCAAATAACCTGGAGAGTTTAGGCACAGCTGTATGGATTATAAACCAAGCCATTTCAGTCAGAACGTTGACACCTCATTGCCACATCACCAAAACTATTTTTGCATGCAGGGAGGAAGGCAGCAAAGCTTGAATGCACCAACTTTGCAAGGCCATGGGAAAGGGTCCCTTATGCAATGCCCTTTGCAGAATCTCGGCCGTAGCTGGGAGACACAAACCGGGGGCGGGGGGCAAAAAGAGCAGTAGAAGGAGCATCTGTGGAACAACACCCAGAAGCACCAAGTTGGGAGAGCAAAAGAGAAAAAACAACTAGTGCATTCACCACACCAGGAAAGCTTTACCTTTCCCCAGGAAACGAGTCTTGTCATTGTCGCGCAGTTCCAGGGCTTCATAGATCCCAGTCGAAGCTCCACTTGGAACAGCAGCTCTGAAGAGACCTGGAGAAGAAGGAAAAAACAGTATTGGTCCTGGCAAGCTCTGGGATGAAAGAGAAACATTTGCACAGAACCATCTCACAGTGGAGACTGGAAAGGAACATAGAGATGAAAGAGGAAGTGGGGGAAAGCGTCGCTCTGCCAACTTCCTCTTCCAGCTCCACTGTGACCACCTAAAACTGTGATGGGGCAGGACGGCCGCTGGGGTTGGCTGCAGCCTAGTGGGGCCTGAGCTCCTGCCTGATAGCTCAGCAGCAGATTAAAGGCAGGAAGACCTCAAATCACGTGGGTGGAGGCTTTGTAGCTCAGCATTCCTTTCAACCTTTGCAGGCAGGTGGTGGTGTCCCCCTGCCCATGGTGGGAGGGGCATGAAGCAAAGTGGGAGGGGCAAAGGATGCCAGTTTTACCTTTGTACTGTAGGCTGGCTTCCACACACCCCTTTCTCTATTCTCTTCAGGCAAGCAAGAGGCATCAAAGCTCAAGGACCTATTTCAGCCACGCAAAAACACTCAGGGAGCGTGAGAAGCAAGGCATGGCTTGGAGACAGTCTCAAGGGTCAGGCAGAGAGGACTGAAGGGCTGCATTTGGGCCTCTGGGGCTGAGATCCCCTGCCCCTGACATAGCAGTGCCTCAAAGGTTGGTTGCCACTTTAATGAACTCTCAGATAAAGCTTTTTACAGACGGACAGTGTTTGTTCATTCAGAGCAGGCCAGATTAGTGCACACCTCGAGTCCCTGGGAGAGGGTGGGATTCAAAGGGCCGCTGTGTGTCTCCAGACCTGGCACCTGGCCACCTATTCTGTGCCTTCCTCTAACACAGGCTGTGCCCACCCAATTATGCGTCCTCCTTCTGTGTCCCTTTATTTACCTTCCCCTTTATTTAGACACAAGACACACACGATGCTTTGTGGCTAGGTCTGGTGTCCCAACAGGAAGCAGCAACTATTTCTCTGTTGCCCTCCAGATGCCTCCTTCCTGTGTAGCCTAATGATAGCTCCTGTTTTGGAAGGATCTCATTTGGAATCCCTGACAGGGCTCGCTTGCAATTCTGCTATAATTGGGGTTGCCCTTTTTTAAAAAGAGAAAAGAAAGAAAAACTCCGCTCCGCCGCTTCTTGCGCTGAGAGGCCTCTGTCGGTTCACATCTCCCTCCCTTTCTCTCTGCTGGCCACTGTGCCTTTTGTTATTGCTGCTCCAAGGACACTTCCTTTGTGCAAAGCACAAACTGAGCACAGACAATAGCATTTGCAGGCTAGGCAGGGAGGGCGGCCTCCCTCTGGTCAAAATCAAGAGAGGGTCGCCCTAATGAGCCTCCGTTGGGCGGGGAGAGTTGGCATCTCAAGGCTGGAGAGCTCTGGCTTGTAAAAGAGGAAAATGGGCATTTGTCCAGCCAACATGGGGGCTTTATCCCCAAGCAAGCACTAAGAAATGACATCTGCACTATAAATTTAAAGCAGTCATGGCATCTCCCATAGAATCCTGGAAAGTGGCGTTTGGTAAGGGTGCTGAGAGTTGTTAGGAAACCCTTATTCCCCTCATGAGGGACGTAGGTGGCGCTGTGGGTTAAACCACAGAGCCTAGGACTTGCTGATCAGAAGGTCGGCAGTTCGAATCCCCGCGACGGAGTGAGCTCCCGTCGTTTGGTCCCAGCTCCTGCCAACCTAGCAGTTCGAAAGCACGTCAAAGTGCAAGTAGATAAATAGGCACCGCTCTGGCGGGAAGGTAAACGGCGTTTCCTTTACCTTTTATTCCCCTCATAGAGCTACAACTCTCAGTGTGTTTTTAAAATCTGTCCTTTGCAGGGAACTCTGGGAAGTGTAGCTCTCTTGTGGCTGGTAGCCTTATCCTCTATGAATTTATTTAATCCTCTTTTAAAGCCATCTAAGGAGAGTAGATTTGGGGTCACCAACCATACAACATAAATAGAAAACTGCACACACATTTTACTTTTCCAAGGGATCTGGGAAAAGGTCAGATGCAGAAAAATTAATCTGAGCTTTGAAAAGCACATAGGAGATGAACTGAGGAAGTTGGAAAGAGGCACTCTTCCAAATTAGTTCCATGCGCTTTTCAAGGGAGAAAAAAAGAAACCACCTTCACATCCTCCTGGACCAGAGGGGCAGTGAATGGGAAGGGAGGGCTCAAAGGCTTTGTGGGCCCCAGGGAAAGACCTCAAGAACACCATGGCACCCACAGCTGTCCTGGATTCACTATGCTAGCTAACACTTGGAGAATAAAACATTCCCCTAAATTTTAAGGCCCGATGGATGGAGGCAAAAATTCTGGGAAAGCCCCAATTCACACTGCCATCTCACTGCAAAATGGCAAAACAAAAGGCCATCTGCAAGGAGAAAAGTAGCAACTGTGCAAAGGGCTAGGTCTGAACATTTCACCCTTGCTATGCTCATTTTCTGCTTGCAGGGAGGTGTGGGAAATGGGAAACCTCAGCTGCAGGCCAAAATGGTACAGCCCTCTACCACTTTGTTCCGCCACATGCCTAGACTCAGCCAATCAGAAAAGAGAACGCAAGTTATACCGGCCCCCACTGCACTCAGCCAACCCTCCAACCTGGCTCAGAAGATTTATCCTTGAGCCGTTTCAAGGGACCATTCTCCCCCCACTTCACATACACTCAACTGCCCTGCCTTCTCGGTTATCTTCAGTGTATCGGGTTGCCACAGAGGCCACCAAAATGCAAGGCCAGAAGCAACTGGCTGCAGTCCACCAAGGACGGCTACAGTAAGATGTCATCCTACACTCATAGCAGCTGGAAGTTTTATTTTTATCTTCAAGCTTTAAAATGCTGTTTGCTGGGTGGCGGAGATTTTGACACATTCGACTGTCCCGCCCCTCACCCTCCCTCCACACACACCAAGTTTTCCTGTATGGGCTTCAAACTACACCACAAAACCTTGCTGTATAACAGATGGTGGGGGAGAGAATGAAGGGGGAAAATGATCAATGGCTTGACTCAGAAATAAGGCAGCTCCTTATGTTCTCCAGAATCAAACATGAAATGGAGGCGGAGACTTTACCCCCATCCCTCTTCTATGTCCCCTGAATGAACCATGGAGGTCAACCACAAATAATGTGTTTAGAGGAAAACAAGAGGCTCATTTTTCCAGTTTGGTGGCTTCAATAATAATAATAATAATAAAATTTTATTTATAGCCCGCCCTCCGCAGCCGAAGCTGGGCTCAGAGCGGCTAACAACAGTAAAAGTAACACAGTTTACACAAAATCACAATCAATTAATTGAAATACATTCTAAAATCAGTTCATTCTAAAATCAATTCAGAATCAAATTAATGGCAACCATTGGGCTAGAGTTCTATGAGGATTACCAAAGGAGGGGGTCAGACTGTGACTTGGCCAAAGGCCTGGTGGAACAGCCGCTCTGTCTTGCAGGCCCTGTGGAAAGATGTCAAGTCCTGCAGGGCCCTAGTCTCTTGTGACAGAGCGGTCCACCAGATCGGGGCCACAGCTGAAAAAGCCCTGGCTCTGGTTGAAGCCAGCCTAACCTCCCTGTGGCCCGGGACCTCCAAGATGTTTTTGTTTGAAGACTGTAAGATCCTCCGTGGGACATACCAATCCAACATTTGTCAAGAACAGAAAGTGTATTCTTAAATAATCATACATAAAGGTACATAGGAATCTGCTTTACAGAGTAATGCCCATCGAGCTCAGTACTGTCTACACCAGGGTTTCCGCAAACTTGGGTCTCCAGCTGTTTTTGGACTACAGCTCCGATCATCCCTAGCTAGCAAGACCAGTGGTCAGGAATGATGGGAATTGTAGTCCAAAAACAGCTGGAGATCCAAGTTTGGGAAACCCTGGTTCTACACTGACCAGCAGTGGCTCTGAAGTTGTATCCCAGGCCTACCTGGAGATGCAAAGGATTGAACCTGGGACCTTCTGCATGCAAAGCGGGTGTTCTTCCACTGAGCTATCACTCTTCCCTGTAGAGAACCCACTTAGATCAGACCTAAAGTGCCATCTAACCAAGGACCCACTGCTAAGAGGTCTCAAGGGGGATAGCAGCCATTCAGAGTTAGCTTACCTTTGCTGGTGTGCAGGTCTACCTCAACAGTGGGGTTCCCACGGGAGTCAAAGATTTCGCGAGCATGGATCTTGAGAATGGACATTTTGTTTGTCTGAGGAGGAGGAAGAGGGAGAAAACAGTATTTTTAAACTTAAAAAAAAAAACAAAAACCAAATACACAGCACAATGGCCACCAGTGTCCTTGGTGGTCCAAGATTCCCAAGCAACATAGGAAGCTGTCTAATAATAATAATAATAATAATAATAATAATTTATACCCCGCCCATCTGGCTGGGCTTCCCCAGCCACTCTTACACATAGTTAGACCACTGTTCCACCAAGGGCCACACCGGCACTATTTAAAGCACTATGAGGCCGGCTTAAACAGTTACTAAACATTCTTTAAACAACAAATTTTGGGAGCTGTAGTTTGTTCATGGGTGTTGAGTTGTTAGGAGGTGCCAGAGCTACAGTTTCCGAAATGGTTTGAGACTCAGTCCCTCTCACCCAGGGAACTCTGGGAATTGTAGCGCTGTGAGGGGAGTAACTCTCAGCACCCTTAAACTCCCAGAATTCCTCAGGGGAAGCAGTATCATAGTGCTTAAATGTATGGTGTGAATATGACCTAACACATGTCTATACAAACATTATGTACTATCTCTTAACAGGTAAATAAAAGAATTGATAGGTTGTTTTTTTTTAAAAAAAGTATGACCTAACACAAAACTTTCTGCACATGAAAAACTGCGGCCTGCCCCCAAACCAGTGTGGTGTCGCCGTTAAGAATGCTGGACTAACATTCAATTGGGCTATATGGTTGCCTGCCTACTGCCAGTGTTATTATTCATTAGAAGGTCAATTCCTTTCAGAGAAGAATGAGAACATGGGAAGACTTGAATTTTGTGGAAACTGGGGGTTTGTTTGTTTTTAATGGAGCATGCAAGTCTGGAATCAGTTGCAGAAGCGGTTCGGGGCAATACAGCCTCTGCATCATCTACGCTCCCTCTAAGACTAATGCTCTTTGCAAGAGAATTAGGTTGAGGACCATCACTGCAGCCTGTGGCAGTGAGTTCCAGAGTTTAACTATGCACTGTTGTGAAGAAGTACTTTCTTCCATCTGCCCAGAGTCTCCCAACATTCAGCTTCATTGGACAACACTGGGCTCCAATAATATGAGCGAGGAGAAAACCATCTCTGTGTTAGATTTCTTCAGGCTGTGTGAGCTTTTAAACGCCTCTATCATTTCCTCTCCCACACTCACTCACCTTTTCTCTAAACTGAAAAAATCCCAAGCACTATAATAATCCTTTCATCGTATGGGAGTTGCACCAATCCCTTGATCGGACAGCCTTGATATATTTGATCTTTTGCAAACCAGCTATTCCCCGAGGCAAAAAGCCAGATGGATCCTTGCAAAGTCGGTGTTTAATGCTAAGCTGATACTCCCCACTTTCTCTTTTGAAAAGTATCTGGATTTTTTTTTGCAGGAAGCCTCTTATATGCAAAAGCTACTGCCTAATAACTTGCCTCGTTGTTGTTTTTTAAAAAGAAGAAGCAGAAGCAGCTAATGCAAAAGGTTGTTTAGTCTTCTGCCCAGCAGAGGATACTCACTGCATGCCGGCCCAGCTGCCTAACCAGGCTACGAAGATGAGGCGGCATTAATATTGCTCAGAAGTCCTTGAACAAGCGACCTCCCTCTAAGCCCCGCCCCTTCCTGCACAGCCTGGCGTAGATCATTGCAGCACTGCAGCTATTCAGAACTGCATCCAGCTAGTTCTCTGTTTAACCCTCTGTCTGCAGTCTTCCCATTCTGCCTCTCTGGACCCAGGCTGGTGGGTATTTACAGACTGGAACGGAGAAAGTAGATGCACCCATTATCTACCAAGAAGTCTGGACCGTTTAAAAAAATCTTTTTTAAAAAGATTAAAAAGTCACAACAGTTGCAGCACTAACTCTGCAAATATCCCACAATCGCTGGGTTGCACTGTTAGGCATGGAATGCAGCGTCCTCCAGAGGACCTCAGCTTTCAAAGGGGATGGGGGATCAAGCAGCTAGTCCTCAAGAGCATAAGGACAGGTGGCGAAGCTTCTGCACTTTAGACAGGTGTGCAGAAGCTACTACTGCTGGAATTCCCTCATCTGTACACCTATTAAAGGGGCAGGAGCCCTAGATTTCCCTTTTCCCCACCTCGCTACTCTTACTGACTACAAAAACTCTGGAAACTGTGAAGAATGAAGGGGGAAGAGCCATACCTCAGTGGTAGCGCATTTGCTTTGCATGTCAAAGAGAACCCTTATCTGAAATCCTAGAGAGCTGCTGCCAGCCCGTGTAGACAAAATTCAGCTAGGTGGACCAGTGGGTTGACTCAGTATAACGCTGCTCCCTGCGTTTCTAACAGGTAGGAGGCAAGCAGGATTTGGGAAGCATCACAGCTCAAGTAACAGAACATGCAGAAGGGTCCTGGGTTCAATTTCCCAGTATCTCCAAGGGAGGCTGGAAGTGTCTGAAAACCTGGAAAGCCACTGAGCCAGTGGTCTGATTCAGTATAAGGCAGCTTCCTATAGTGTCCTTGCCACACCCAAAGGAAATACTTTTGAGACGAACATGCATGAACCTGCACAATTAATATAAGTCACACAAATCAGAGCTCCCCACCCCACCGCTGGCCCAAAGCACACACAATTCTGCCCTTAGCAAGAGGACAAATTAACCAAACTGAGAGTAAGTGGAAATTATTAAGCTCCAATTGATTCCAGCTAACACAGCCAATAATAGCCAGGTATGATCTACTCCAACATCACCTTGAGGGCAGCAGGTTCCCCATTCCTAACTGAGGCCCCTGATAAGTTTCATGGCACATGGTTCAAGCCACATAAAACTGACTCTTCCATTTGCGTCTGAATCTGCGGGTTTGAAAGTCAGCGAGCATCATTTCCTGCCTGCCTCGAGATGTCTAATTCTGCCCTGTGACTCAGCATTTCATGTAACTGAATTAAAAAAAAAAAAAAAAAGAGGAGGAGACTGAGCTCAGGAATGAGGATGGCTCAATGTCTGTCCTTCTCCACCCTATCCAGCCACATGTTCCTAGATTCCTCAAGGAAACCAGATTTGACCTCCACACGGTGTGCCCTTTGGAACAAACTATTGACCTTTTTTGCCAAAGCTGCCGATTAGAATCCAGAGAGGAAGGAAAACTAAGCTTGGGTTTAATTCATTTTTTAAAAAAAACACAGATGTTTCAAGGACTTCTTTCCACCTCTTCCTCTCCTCTAATCCCCTATTTTTCATCTGGCTCGCTTCCATGCTTCTCCCTCTACCTGGAACAGCCTTATTAATCCATTCAAGATGCTACCCTGAACTGAGGCCTTTCTTCATGTTCCCACTCCACAAGAGGTCTGGAGGGTGGCAACACAAGAACGGGCCTAGTCTGTGGAATGCTCTCCCTAGGGAGGCTCACCTGGCACCTTAGTTACATATTTAAGCGCCTGGCTGACAAAAACGTTTCTCTTCAGCCAGAGTTTTGGCTGATTAACATTCTATGGCCTTTTAAATGTGTTTGTGGGAGAGTGGTTATTGGTTTGTTTAAGTTTTATTATATATTTTGTGTTCCCATTTTGTATTTTTTTGTAGTGAACCGCCCTGTGATCTTCCAATGACGGGTGGCATGCATTATTATTATTATTATTATTATTATTATTATCCTCTGTGAGCTAAGAGCTTTTGGAAGCTTCTTTGCAAAGCCTGCATAGGAGCTCTGGGCAGGGTTTTGTTACTCTTTCATGCTGTTTTAGTCACCACTTAGAAGAGCTAAGCAGCAAGGAACAGCATCCCCCAAACTCTCCTTTATTCACATTAGTTTTCAAAATGCAAGAGATGCACCTTTCTGGGTGATATTTAAGAATGGGGAACACGTCATGCTCGGGTACAGGAATATTTAAAAAACGAAGGTGCCCTAGGCAGCTGATGTAAGAATCTAACATTCAATATTTGGGAAAGGAGAGATGAAGGACTGCTGCTTTTGCAAGAGAGGGTCAAAGCAGAGATGGAACTGTGCAACATCCACTATTAATCATTACTCAAACAGTACAGGTTTCGTCATTAGATAACAGAAGAGTCTTGCAGCAATCCTAGGCTGCAATGCTAACCATATCCACTCAGAGGTAAGTGCAGTTAGGATTGCAGCCTAAGTTCAAGTCCACACAATACATTTAAAGCATATAATTTCCCCCAAAGAATCGTGGGAATTGTAGTTTGTTAAAGGGAACTGTAGCTCTGCTGGCTGACCTACAGCTCCCAGGATTCTTTTGAGGGAAGCAATGCACTCCAAATGCAGTTCTGTTAAGTTCTGCTCAGAGTAGACCCATTTAAATGAAAGGAGCCATATAGTCATGGCCACCAACTTCAGCGGGTCTACTCTGAGTAGGACTAGCACCAGATACAATCAATGGGGCCTTAGAAGAAAATGCAATTGACCTCAGGCATGGCTTCCAGACACCACAAAGCTGTTGCACTTGCAGCAAAACCAAGACATCTCTTCCTCTGGAAATGGTTAAATAAGCTTCTTAGAAACTCAAAGGGCTGCTCCCAGGAGGAAGACTGCATCAAAAACCTATCCCTGCACCAAGGGAGAGTCCATCTGGTGCAATCGATCCATGACGCAGATCCTCCTACTCATTGTAGTTAAGGAGGAAGAGGAGGGGCAGTTAAGTTGGGTGTGAATCATGAGGCTTAAAAAAAAAAAAGTCTTCCTTCCTTCCTTCGGTTTTTAGCACATGGCTGCAACATTCTGTGTAACCCAGCAACTGCCACCCTCATAAATCAATGCTCAGCTTTGCAGGGCGGAATGTGGCATGCAAGGCATGATAGCCTAGAGACATGAAGCCTGCTGCCACACATGTCTCCTAACCCAGTTGCCTCCTCCCAGTCTTGGAATTCTACAGGATGGTATTTTAGTTACGTTCACATTTTTATGTAACCAGGGAACTTCACAGACAGGGTTACAGAATTTGAGGGCCTCTGTTATGTGGCTGGTCCCTAGGAAGGCATCAAAGTTCTAAGAGCAGGAGAAGGAGGAAGTGTTTGGTAGTGTGTTAGGTAAGGCACTCCTTTATCCTTCCTGCTCAAGAAAGGTTAAAAAAAAAACACCAGTGGGCTTCCGAGTGCTCCTTGCAGTGTTTCACATAGGCCTGATTGAGTGAAAGCAAGGCCAGCAAGGTGGATAGGGAGGAGAGAGATAAGGAGCTGATCACAGCATGGTGCACGCTGTAGAATCATGCACTGGCCATACTTCTCTCACCCCCAGACCACGCAAAGCACTACAGGTAACAAGTTTCCATCCTGGTTTGTCATTAAACTAGCCCCATCTTCAAGTCACTATTACTTTTGGAGGGTGGCAGCTAGTTTTATGGGCCTCTAGAATACTTAGAGAGGGCTTTCCTAGCTTCCTTTCCTTGGGAGGGTCAATCACGCCAGGATTAACCCTTTGTGGGAGGAAGTAGGAAGGTGAGGAAAAAGGATACCCAAGATCATCCCTTGCACAGCTACTCTGCCACTTATGCGTCTAGAGGTTGCATGCACACCATACATTTATAGCAGCCCCCACAATAAATCCCAGCAACCTTAAACTACAGTTCCAATGTTTCTTTTTTTTTTTTAGGGAGGGGGGTGTACTTGAAATGTATGGCCTCTCTTCCACACCCCATTTTCTCCAAGGGACTAACACCGTTTACCTCTAACCACACACTTTACAGTTACAGAATCCAGGCCCTTATGGGGCTAGTCCGCAGGAAGGAAGGCACCCACCTCACCCTGGACCTATACGAGCCAGCAACTTTTATCTGATCTTGAAATTGCTTTGATTTCAAGAGAGATGGGGGGCTGGTTTTAGAGGCCTATAATGTGACTTAACCGGAGGACCTTGGTAACCTTCCTAGTGACATATTAGCTTCGGACAATGATTTTTTTTTGGGGGGGATGCCCGAGCTCGGTCCTTTGTTCGCCCTGCTAAAGGAAGTCCTGACTTCACAGAACCAGTTGGAACGCCCCCCCCCCGTATATTTGCAATGGAGACTCCCTCCCCTTTCCTTTTCTGCAAAGTCTTCCCCGTTGCAACATTTTTGCAAGCGTATCCTTCTTCCCTAAAGCAACAAGCTTTCTCCGTGCTAAGGAAGGAGAGATTTTAGGTTCCCTCCACCACCATCACTTACCTGTGACTAAGCTGGAGCGCTAACAGCACCTGCAAAATAATAATAACAATACTAGCAGTATATAATAATTTTCCTTACAAAAAAATAACGACAACAGACGGCTAATTGGAACCAGCACCGCTCTCAGCTCGCGCTCCCGGGCAACTGGGGAAGATCCGCCCGGCTCGCGCTGAACTATAGTCCCGTCCATGCAGATTAGGGGCACCCTTCCCGGCTTCTCATTGGCTGGCCTGGCCCCTTTGCCTCTTCCTGATTTGTCGGGAGGGGCCTCTCGCCAGCTCAGCCTCCTGGCGCGTGCGCTACGTGCCCGAGCGGGCCCTTTTGCTGAGGCTGCTCGCCTCCATAGATGGCTCTTTTCTCTTTTTTTAAGTGATGGAAAATCCCCATTTTGCTAAGCGCAGAAAACGGAGGTGTTCTGAAGCAGAACATCCTCGTGGTTCTCTCCCCGCCCTCCATGCAACAGTTGCAAAGCGGCACAATTCGCCGGTAGCCCTAATAAAAGCTAGGATTTATTATTTTCTCTCTGTCTCCAAAATTTTATGCTACATAAAGCAAATTTTGTATATACACATCGAAATTTAAAACCGGATAAATCATTTTTAACATTCAAAATGTAATATACTGAAATCAAACTTTTAAAGACAAAAATGTTAGCTTTTTTTTTAAATTACATAAACCACATTTTTTGATATCTGCATCAGGTAGAAAGCAAGGAATTCTTTAATTTCTTTAGGTCCAAACTTTGCAACATGCATCCCAACTGTCTAAAGTTTTTGTTTCTCAGCCTAGCTTACCTCACAGGGTTTTTGTGAGGAGAAAAAGGGGGGGAAGCAGGGAAAGAACCTTTGAAAAAAACAAAAATTATCACTAAATTAATTTTTCGGGTTTCATGCATGTAGGCACAGATGCTCAAGCCTATTAACTGGATTACAAAAGGTGGCCATTATACAAGACTGTCACCATCAGTCTCAAGTCCTTTCATCGGTTGGTTCAAGTTTATCTGAGCACGTGTAGAGTTCCTTTGTTAAAAAAAGGAACATTCTCTGCATGTGCTCAGAGGCAAGCTTTAAACTACCTTAATCGTACGTCCCACAACAATAAACAAGATCTGATTAATCTAATGATATACAGTGGTACCTCAGGTTACATACGCTTCAGGTAACAGACTCCGCTAACCCAGAAATATTACCTCGGGTTAAGAACTTTGCTTCAGGATGAGAACAGAAATTGTGCTCCGGCAGCGTGGCGGTAGCATGAGGTCCCATTAGCTAAAGTGGTGCTTCAGGTTAAGAACAGTTTCAGGTTAAGAACAGATAATAATAATACAGATAATAATAGGGTGGGGCAAATGGCTCTCTGGAATCGCCTCAGGCCTCACTCCCTGTCACAGGCCACATCTTCTTTGAGTGCTTTTGCCTGGATGGGAAGCTGGAAAGTGCCTCTTTGCTTTCCTAAAAGCAGTATGGAAAGACATAGTGTTGTGGGAACATCTGACTTTTGCATGCTGGCTGGCTGCACAAAGGTAAGAATGATATCTTTTGCTGGTGGCCCCACCCTTCTGGCAACATTGCCCACAAGAGAATGCTACCCTGGAGCTGAATATGGCTCCCCATGCCCTGAACTATGAGAACAATAATAAGAGCCCTGCTGGATGGACCATCAAAGGGCCATTGAGTTCAGAATCATGTTTCCCAGGCGCTGTGGTCTAAACCACAGAGCCTAGGGCTTGCCGATCAGAAGGTCAGCGGTTCAAATCCCCATGACGGCGTGAGCTCCTGTTGCTTGGTCCCAGTTCCTGCCAACCTAGCAGTTTGAAAGCACATCAAAGTGCAAGTAGATAAATAGGTACCACTCCGGCGGGAAGGTAAATGGCGTTTCCGTGCGCTGCTGTGCTTCGCCAGAAGCGGCTTAGTCATGCTGGCTACATGACCTAGAAAAACTGTGGACAAACGCCGGCTCCCTCAGCCTGTAAAGCGAGATGAGTGCTGCAACCCCAGAGTTGTTCACGACTGGACTTAACTGTCAGGGGTCCTTTACCATTTTTTACCTTTACCTCCAGCAGACCCTTCAAGCAGGGCATAAGAAGCAACAGACCTCCCTTGTTTGTTCCCAGCATTCAGATGTACACTGCGTCTGAAAATGGAGGCTCCATTTAGGCATATAGCTATGGATAGACGTGCATTTAGGCACATAGCTATGGATAGACCAAGTGGCAGTGAGTTACATAAGACAACCCCTTTCTCTTTAACTGACTTGCCAGTCTGGTTCTCCCCTCTCTCCATTTTGCCCTCACAACAACCCTGTGGGGTAGGTTAGAGCCTGAGATTTGACAACTGGCGAAGGTGAGCTTCATGGCTGAGCAGGGATTTGACATCTGGTCTCCAATGCCCTAGCCCAACACTCCAACCACTAGGCCACCCAAATTGCAGATGAGATAGTGGGAGAGACTTCCTCTGTAGGCAGCAGTTGCAAACAGGTGGGTTCTGCATGTTCCACAAACATAACTCTGTAACTTATACAGCCCATTCAGAGAACTTTTGCATAAATTATCCCAGGAAACCTTACAACCGTGCTGTAGGGTAAGTTGCTATGATATGATATTTTATTAGTCGCTCACTCGCTCCTTCCCTCCTAATATTGTGATTAAGTACAGAGATGAGGGCTAAGGGACCAGTTGCTTACCATTTCTTGCCAACCTAACAGTTTGAAAGCACATCAAAGTGCAAGTAGATAAATAGGTACCACTCTGGCGGGAAGGTAAACGGGAAGCCTGATGTCCTCCAGATGTTGTTGGACTACAGCTCCCATCATCCCCGAGCCTTGCCATGCTGTCTGGGGTCTGATTATATTGAGTATATCCAGCAACATCTGGAGGGCCACAGCTTCCCCATCCCCAAACTAGACAGTCATTTGCCTTTCCCCCCCAACAGAGCTACGCTTCTCAGGGTTCCCGGATTGATTGCTAAAAGCACTTTGAGAATTGTAGCTCTATGAGGGGATCGGGGCCGCCTAACAACTCTCAGCACCCTTAACAAATTACAGATCCCAGAATTCTTTGGGGAAAGTCAAGACTGTTTAAAGTGGAATAAGAATGCTTTAGATGAATAGAGTGAATGGGGCCTTAGGATCATTCAAAGTGTTGGTGCTGACCTTTTAAGCCCTAAACGGCCTCGGCCCAGTATACCTGAAGGAGCGTCTCCACCCGCATCGTTCTGCCCGGACGCTGAGGTCCAGCGCCGAGGGCCTTCTGGCGGTTCCCTCATTGCGAGAAGCGAAGCTACAGGGAACCAGGCAGAAGACCTTATCGGTAGTGGCACCCGCCTGTGGAACGCCCTCCCATCAGATGTCAAAGACATAAACAACTACCTGACATTCAGAAGACATCTTAAGGCAGCCCTGTTCAGGGAAGTTTTTAATGTATGACATATTAGTGTATTTTTGGTCTTTGTGGAAGCTGCCCAGAGTGGCTGGGGAGGCCCAGCCAGATGGACGGGGTACAAATAAAAAATTATTATTATTATTATTATTATTATTATTATTATTAGGATCAGAGCTGGAATAGATTTTGGTGGTCCTCTACAAGCTCTACTCAGTACAGGAATTACAATGCACATAACAACCATCTACACAGCAAATTTTAATTTTTACATGCCTTTCCCCCCTTCTTCTTCTTATAAGACTTAAGAATTTCTGGATCACTCAAGAAACCCCTTACTTATCAAACTTTAAATAAATGCACACGGAGAGTTATTGTCTGGGATGCTGTTTCCCATTAAGGCACACCTTTTCCGGTGGAGATGTTGACCCCAGCCCCTTCAAACACTGCGAAACCACATCAGCTCTTCCTTCTGCAAAAGCAGATCCCTGTGCTGTCTTTCTGTTCACTTAACGCCTCCTGTTCCCACCTCGCCCCCATCGTGAGAAAGAATTCGGTTGTTTTCAAAACGAGCGTGCAAAGCGCCCGATTCCATCGGCAGCACATCCAGATTCTCACGGAAAAGCAAACCGCATAGTTATCCCAGAGGTGGGAAGCAAAGAAATAATATTTTTTCAAATGCCTACAGAGCAGAAAATCAGTGAATGACCAGTGATATCCCCCTCTCCCCGCTGTGGAAGCCTTATCTCCCTAGTCTATGGCTCCTGCCAAACTGTACAATACTATGTTATTAATTATCATTTTTTTAAAAGAAGAAATAAGCTGATGCAAGGAAAAATAATACCAACACCTGAATTATGCCAGGATTTTCAGCACGGATGCCTCCCTGATAGAGGCTCCAGCTACAGTATAGTACAGTACTGTAACTTTGTCCTGGGCACACAATCTGTTGAATGTAATAATTCCGAGCGTGTGAGTCCGGGGGATTGTTTGGTTCATTGCAGGAGCCATGAAACTTCTGTCACTATAAATGTGTTTGTGTTTAAGATGTTACAAGATGGGGCTTGAGGGGAGGGGGCTGTATGGTTGACAGCTGCAGTGAACTACCTGCTGCACCTCTGGATTAATTAAAAGGGATCCCTGACCATTAGGTCCAGTCGTGACCGACTCTGGGGTTGCTGCGCTCATCTCGCTTTATTGGCCGAGGGAGCTGGCGTACAGCTTCCGGGTCATGTGGCCAGCATGACTAAGCCGCTTCTGGTGAACCAGAGCAGCGCACAGAAACACTGTTTACCTTCCCACCGGAGTGGTACCTATTTATCTACTTGCACTTTGATGTGCTTTTGAACTGCTAGGTTGGCAGGAGCAGGGACCGAGCAACAGGAGCTCACCCCGTCGCAGGGATTTGAACCGCCAACCTTCTGATCGGCAAGTCCTAGGCTTGTGGTTTAACCCACAGCGCCACCCGCGTCCCTCTGGATTAATTACCTTATTTTTCGCTCTATAAGACGCACCAGACCATAAGACGCACCTAGTTTTTGGAGGAGGAAAACAAAAAAATAAATACTCTGAATCTCAGAAGCCAGAACAACAAGAGGGATCGCTGCGCAGCGAAAGCAGCGATCCCACTTGCTGTTCTGGCTTCTGGGATAGCTGCGCAGCCTGCATTTGCTCCATAAGCCGCACACACATTTCCCCTTACTTTTTAGGAGGGAAAAAGTGAGTCTTATAGAGCAAAAAATACGGTACTTCCTGTTTGTAAATCTTCCCTTGAAAAACTGGGACTTTCTGTAGTTATTTGGTGGGTATATAAATGCACTCTGCACATGCTCAGGAACACTTCTGGAGGCTGAATGTGAGGAGTAGGGGAAATAAACTTGTGGAACTCAGGAATCTGCCTGATTTGGAAGTAGCAACGGACAAACCCGGCAGGAATAGGTGCCTCCCAATTACTTTCATCACACTTAGCAAACTACAACTCCCAGAATTCTTTGGGGGAAGCCATAACTGTTCACCACAGTATCATAGTGCTGTATGGCACAAATGCGGCTTAAGGAGGAGGAAACCGGCAGGCCTCCGTGATCTGGTTGTAGGTAAGAGGACAGGCAAGTGGGGCCTGACATTGGGCAGTGGTGGGGCAGTGCCCCACTTGCCCTGACGCACCACCCTCCACTGTTACTGCAACGTAATCTGGTAGTGTTGAATGAGCAAAGCTCATGGACTGGCATATAATGGTAAATAAGGGACAAAGAAAGGAGATGGGGAGGTTTAATAGTAGAACCCAACTGCCTCTTGTGATGTCACAAGCAGATCTACATATGGCGGAGAGAATTTTCACAGCGATCATGGATGGAATGGGGGCAAAGGTACCTAGATCTCTAAGGCCAGGACCGTTTTCAGATCTCATAGCAATTACATCACTGCGCATCGGTCAGGTGAGTTAAACTGCATGTATGTGAAAGACTATGAACATAGCGACCGCTTTCCAATCCGTGTGGAACTGTGCATCATAATTAATTATTTCGCTGAATTTTCCATTCATGCGTAAGGACACAATTTTACAGATCTTTCCAATAAAGGAAGCATCTAGATGAGGGTTTCCCAAAGTTTTGACCCCTTTGTGGCGCGGGAGGGTGGTGTCAATGGGGCTGTGCAGGAGGTGAATACAGACCTAGAGATTCTTTTAGAGGGGAAGCCATGTGTTTTAAGTCCTTTAAATGTATTGAGTCGATGTGACTTAAAATCAGGCCTCATTGTCCTTTCTTCACAGGCAGAGGTCACCCTTTCCTCACACTTCTTCATAACTCTCCTTGCTTTCTCCTTGTGAGGACCATGAGGGCCCGTCCTATGACAGGAGCGTCCTATTTGAGTGTTCAGATGTGTGCCCCATTCATTTATAAAGTGGGAGGTTGAGTGGTCCAGGTCTATTTTACGCACCGAAAAGGAATGGGTGTGACATGAGGGGAGCTAAACTCTCCCTTTCTCCATATTCCAAGCACTTTTCTTCACAGTCTGCTTCATTTCCATCCAGGGTGGGTGTGGTGGGTGTACCAGCAGTGATGATGAAATGTGATGAAGTAATGTAATTGTTTCACCTAAGCTCACCTCGGAAGTTTGTGGCGGGGAGGATTTGAACTCGCAACTTCCTGGTTCATCTTAGCCATAGTGTCGCACCAACTCTTAACTGTAGACTGTCTTGTTTGATAATTATATTTCGAAAATCAAGTTCGATCTACGGAGTGTGGAGAATATATTTCATTCAAGAACCATGAAGCGTCTCTTCAGTATTGTCATTCAGGGCCTGGTTTTTACAATTTTGAAGCTCCGCAATGCAGAAAGAATCCTGACACCCTTTCCTCACACTTCCTGACACCTCTCCTTGCTTTTTTCCTTCTGAGGAACTGGGCCCAAGAGCTACATACGAAAGGAATGCTCGTATCTGACTGTTCAGATGTGTCCCATTTATTTATGAAGTGGGGGGTTGGGCAGGCGGGGACGGGGGTCTATCCGTTACTCCCAAAAGGTGTAAAAAAAAAAACACCTTCTTTGAGGGAAAGAATGGGCTTTAAAAGCATAGTGTTAAAGGGACCGATTCACACTGAGCTGTTCCCGAGGTACATCTTGATTGCACAACAATTCAATTTTTGCTGTCGTTAATTACTCTTTGGGCTTTTATAAGCTAAAGGAAGGAAGGCTATCGCAGAGGAAACCAATGCATAATAGAGTAGCTGCAACGTTTTGCTTGCAAACCGCACAGGTTATTGGGATCACCTGATGTCACTGATGTCCGGTGACTGAGGGGTGGGCAGTGCCGCTCGCCTGTAAAACTTTGCTTGTGGAAGTGGCGAGATAAGGCCCCAGCAGCCGCAGCAATAGGATGAGTGGACAGGGCAGTGATACTTGAGGTGAGGACTGGGGCCTGGCCACTTTGTCCCTATGCTCCTCTATGTTTTTAAATGGTGCCCCATTTAAAAAGAGGTGGTCCCCTCACTCTGCCTCATTTAAAATATATATATATATTTTAAAATATTTCTAGGTTGCTTTTCTGGGCAAAAGCCCATCCCAAGTGATGGACTAGCTTAAAGCAAGTAAGCTGAAGGGTTGGTTCTGTATTGTCTACACAGTGGTGGCCAAACTTGGCCCTCCGGCTGTTTTGGGACTACAACTCTCATCATCCCTAGCTAACAGGACCAGTGGTCAGGGATGATGGGAATTGTAGTCCCAAAACAGCTGGAGGGCCAAGTTTGGCCGCCACTGGTCTACACAGACTGGCAGCAGCTCTCTGGGGTTTTAGACAGGGACATTCCCAGTCCTACCTGGAGATGCCTGGATTGAACCTGGAACCTTCTACAGATGCTTTATCGCTGAGCTACGGACTTTCCTATACCCTACTCTTCCCCCCCCCCCCGCCCAGGCCACCACAAGTTGGCCTATCTGCAAATAAACAACTGCTAAGCCTCTACAAATTATTATTTATAATTCCTTGTTTGATTGCTGTTGGTGGCACAGAAGAACATCTGCTCTTCCACCTTCTCCTTCTCCTCGCATTGGTGTTGTAAAATTGTATTCTCTTCGTCATTCCCCTCAGCCAGACAAAAAAACCAAACAAACCCCAAAGTGTCTGGCTAGCATTTTGGAAGATGGAAAAATGCCCCATAAGGCCTGTGTTATTGTGGGCATGCATGAAGAACTCTCTACCCAACGAAAGCAGCATTGTGTTTGACCACTGGATGTCACAACTCCTCAATGCACAATGCAGCTGAAAAGCCAGAGGAATCAAGCCGAGTGTGGGAGCGGTTCTACGCAAGCATTTCCAGAAAGAGAAGGGGGGGAAATGTTGTTTTTTCTCCCTGCCATAGAATCGTGGAATTGGAAGGGACCCCAAGGGCCATCTAGTCCAACCCCCTGCAATGCAGGAATCTCAGCTTCAGCATCCATGACAGGTGGTCATCCAACCTCTGCTTAGAAAAAAAGGAAGGAGAGTTCACCACCTATTGTGGGAGACAATTTCACTGACAAACTGCTGTTACTGTCAAAATGTTCTTCCTGATGTTTAGGCGGAATCTCCTTTCTGGTAACTTGAATCCAGAGCAGGAGAAAAACAAGTTTGCTCCATCCTCTGTGTAACATTGGCATCCACCTGTCTTTCATCATCATCACTTTTAATTTGTATACCGTCTTTCTATCTTACAATACTCAAGGCGGTTTACAAGCTGAAGAAACAAAGAATGTACACCTTATAACGAACTAATGCAATACAAAAAATGTGATAATAAAACATAGCTTTAAAATAAGCAACCTACATCAAATAAAGTAACATTCAACATTCATTAGAATAATATAGAATAATAATATTGGCATATAAAAGTTAAACAGAAATCCACTCTTAACAATTACAATAAATGATTTCTAAACTATAATCAGTAAACAACAGCATGCCACTGTGCATAAAATAATACAATACAAATTGATAAGCAGAGACTGGAGGGTGGGGCAAGGCAGGTGGAAGAAGGCCTTGCCTGATGAAGTCTCTCCCCTCACTCCTCTTTGGAGACAATGGAGCAGTGCACTTCTGGGGAGGAGGTCAAGGTGTTGGAAGGTTGTAGCGCCTGCTGTGGCTGTAGAGACCGATGCAGGAGAGACATGTTTTGTTGCAGCTGGGGCAGATGAAGGCGTCCGGTTGTGTTGCTGCAGATGCACCATGGCGTTCCTTCTCTCGGCACTCTTCCCAGTGGTCATTTCTCCTCTGGTCACTGCTATGGATATACAAATTGCCTGCCTGTCTCCAGGCACTGCGGTCATCTGCAAGCAATTCCCATGTGGCAGGGTTGATGTTACCAGCATTCCTGTTCCTTCTGCAGACATATTTGTAGCACAGAGTTGGTCTGCCCATTGGCCTGGTGCCAGAAGCCAGCTCTCTATAGAGTATGTCCTTGGGAATCCTGCCACCTTCCATTCTGTGGACGTGACCAAGACAGCACAGATGTTGCTGAGACAGGAGTGAGAACGTGCTGGGAATGTGGGATTGGGAGAGCACCTCTTTGTTTGGAATTGTGTCCTGCCCTGTGATACCACAAATCTTCCTTACCAACAGCACATGTGGAAGATGTTGGGGCATTGCTCCTAATGGCTGTAAGTTGCCTACGACTTACTTCCACAAAGCAATGTGCTAAACACCGGCCTGGTAGACCTTCGCCTTGGTATTGAACGTTGGCATCACATTCTCCCACACCCTTTCGGAGAGGCAAGCCGTTGCCATAGCTGCCTTGCCAATACGCTTGTCCAGCTCACCATTGATGGAGAGGTTGCTGGTTATGGTGGAACCCCGGTAGACAAAATTGTCTACCACCTCAAGTGTGTGGTCACACTTTTTTTTAAAAAAATGAAAGTAAATATTTTATTATTGGTCACAGAATGCACTGTTGAGTCTAGAAGGTAAGAGCCAATCTGCATTCAGTTGAAGCAAACTCACTACGAGTCGCAGTATGGCAGCTTGTATTCTTCTGGTCCATCAAGCTTCAGTGATACTTCCTCCAGGGATCATGCTTTATACGATCGAAGCTCCAGGTGTAGCTGAAAACCACATAAGCAGTTAGCATCATGGCCGTGCCACTGATACCTGCTTTCTTCATATAACTGCCCCACTTCTACATCCAGCAGCCTCACATCTTTTACTGGAACGGGTCAGTTCGCCATCTTGAAGCTGCTGCAGTGTCTCCCTGCTCCTCCGCTCGCAAAGGCTGCCGGGAGAAGGTTGTGCGCGCGGGGGCTCCGTGGTCACGCTTTTTAAAATAAGTTAAGTTGGCAAGCCCAGTCCCAGCTGACCAAGCTGCAACAACAAACTAGACCTTAAGGGGAGGGACTCCATAGCACAATGATCTGCATGTGGAAGATCCCAGTTTGAAACACTTGCATCTAAATTTAAAAGGATTTGGTAGCTGGGGATGAGGAAGATATGTAACAGATACTCTGGCAATCCACCACCAGCCAAAATAGATGCAACTTGGCAAGATGGAGAAGGCCTTTGTTGTAAATGCCTGTGCAAGCCTGAGAGGTAAACAGAACTCCTGGCGCAGTGATAAGGTACCCAGCTGCCAAAGGATTCTGTGGGACCTGAAAGGCTGTACAGAGTCTTACACTTCATATTGGTCCAGTCCAGGGCCTGAGTTTGGATAGGACAGCTGGGCTAAGGCTAGCTTCTGAGTCAAGACTGAGACAAGATTTGAATTCAGGGTTTGAGGGCTCATCAACTTACAGTGTTAACTGATGCATTTTGAATAGGGCAGATGGAGCTCAGGGAAGAGAGAAACAGATAATGCTTTACTAGTTAAACTAAATGCAAACAGCGCATCCTACAAGGAGAAATAAAAAGAGAGGTTTTGCCTTTCTGTGTGACCACTCCCATTCCCACCATGGCAGCATTACACAAAACCTGAAGCTTGCTTGGGAACTCACTGCCTGCAAATGCTTAATTTTTTTAAAAAAAGCTTCCCGCCATCTCATTCATTATTATTCCGCATGATGCATGCAAGATCAGATGGTGTTATTCCTTCCCGGCTTCCCCCACCTCCCCTTTCCTGGAGGAGTCATTGCTTTTGACATCTGCATTGGTCTGTGCAACGCAGAGCTAAACATGGCCCACAGTGCCTTGCGTAATCCTTGTATATCCAGGGCTGGGTAAATAGTCATTGAGGGAGCGGGTGGCGCTGTGGTCTAAACCACTGAGCCTCTTGGGCTTGCTGATCAGAAGGTCAGCGGTTCAAACATAGCTGTCAGCTTTTCCCTTTTCTTGCAAGGAATCCTATTCGAAATAAGGGAATTTCCCTTAAAAAAAGGGAAACGTTGACAGCTATGGGTTCAAATCTGTGCAACAGGGTGAGCTCCCATTGCTCTGTCCCAGCTTCTGCCAACTTAGCAGTTCTCATGCACACCAGTGCAAGTAGATAAATAGGTACCGCTGCGGTGGGAAGGTAAATGGCATTTCCGTGCACTCTGGTTTCCGTCACGGTGTTCCTTTGTGCCAGAAGCGGTTTAGTCATGCTGGCCACATGACCTGGAAAGCTGTCTGTGGACAAATGCCAGCTCCCTCGGCCTGAAAGCAAGATGAGCGCCGCAACCCCATAGTCGCCTTTGACTGAACTTAACCATCCAGGGGTCCTTTACCTTACCTTTCCTTTAAATAGTCATTGAAATTAGCTGAGAGAAAAGCAACTCAGCCATTTATACCAGCATCACCTACAAGGGATTCCACCGCAGAGCATCACCTCTGCACAGGCGTCTCCATTCTGCTGCTTTTGCAAGCCTGAAATGAGTGTGTTCAAAAGTATCCTTTCCCTTGCTCAGAGGTTGAGAATGTAGAGTTTAGATTCACCAGAGGGGGGGGGGAATGTGACATCAGAGCCCCTAACATTCATTTAAAATGGGCTGTTGGCAGATGGGTGTCACCAACCTTTTCGGGCCAGTGAAAATACATTGAATTTTGAGAGAGTGCCATGGGCATACACTCATGGTTGCTTATTTCCCTCCACCTCCCCAGACCTGCATCACAATCCAACCACCCCCAAAGGACATGTATGCTTGTGTGCACATAAAGAGAAATATGCTTTGTTTTTCCATGGAGTCAGAACAAAAGATCAGATCTAGTAGAATTAAAGCAGCTCTTCATGAATGCTTGTGGGTGGCAACCCTCCACACTTGGCCAACAAATCTGCCACTAAATTATTATATTATTTATTTAGTGCATTTCTACCCCACTTTCAGCTAAAAAGGTTCCCAGATTGACTTAGCTACAGTGTGTATCTGAAGAAGTGTGCATGCACACGAAAGCTCATACCAGTAACAAACTTAGCTGGTCTCTAAGGTGCTTTAATTAACTTAAAAAGGTAAAGGTAAAGGGACCCCTGACCATTAGGTCCAGTCATGACCGACTCTGGGGTTGCGGCACTCATCTCGCTTTATTGGCCGAGGGAGCCGGTGTACAGCTTCTGGGTCATGTGGCCAGCATGACTAAGCCGCTTCTGGCGAACCAGAGCAGCGCACGGAAATGCCGTTTACCTTCCCGCCGGAGCGGTACCTATTTATCTACTTGCACTTGGACGTGCTTTCGAACTGCTAGGTTGGCAGGAGTTAATTAACTTACCTACAGTTAATTAAAGCAAGACAGTCTAAACCCCAACGCCCACCACAACACGCAAGGGAAAAGGGACACGGAGGGAAGAGGAAAGCAAACTCAGGCACCAATTCTTTTAAAAGTTGTTATGATAATGACCAGCTGACACAGTTCAGAGCTAAGAGGTTCCTGATACAGCTGGTCTGTTGGCAAAGCTGATGGAATGAGCCCTCTAATTTGTTAAAAATCACGTTGGGAGACTGTACAGTTGAAATCACAGATCTGGTGTTTGCCAGCGCTGCAAAAACATTGATCCGAGGTATGGATCCTTGTGAAAGAGACCAAAGGTTTTCTCTTTTGCTTGCTTTTAAGACAGCAAAGAATTTAATAGCAAGGTAGGACTTGCTGATCAGATGGTCAGCGGTTCGAATCCCTGCAACGGGGTGAGCTCCCCTTGTTCGGTCCCTGCTCCTGCCAACCTAGCAGTTTGAAAGCATGTCAAAGTGCAAGTAGATAAATAGGTACCGCTCCGGCGGGAAGGTAAACGGCGTTTCCGTGCGCTGCTCTGGTTCGCCAGAAGCGGCTTAGTCATGCTGGCCACATGACCCGGAAGCTGTCTGCGGACAAACGCAGGCTCTCTCAGCCAATAAAGCAAGATGAGCACGCAACCCCAGAGTCGGTCATGACTGGACCTAATGGTCAGGGGTCCCTTTACCTTTTCTTATTTCTCAGCACACGCAAAGTGTTTTCCTGTTGCGATGGGGTCCACAGCTTCTGTTTTAAACCAATAAAGGGACAGCTAGTGCAATAATTAGCACTGGGCTAAATTCAGGGAGAACTGGGTTTTGATCCCCACTCAGTTACAATGCTTACGGAGTGAACTTTGGCCAGGTGTCACCTCTCTCACGCTATCCCGCCTCGCAAGGTTGTTTTGAAGGTAAATGATGGGAATGAGGGTGCCTTGGCTAGTGCAGTCAACCTGGTGTCCTCCAGATGCAGAGTACAGCTTATGAAGGACAGGAGAAAAACAAGACCCAGCATCCAAACTAGACTCCTCTCCCCAAAAAGTGAGAGGAAAATCTGACCCAGTATGATCTGGAGCCAACCTGACCTGATCTGGACCTTGAACCAAACTTGCGCAGTCTCCTCCACCCTCCTTGCCACCAGATCTCCCCATCCTGCTTTGATAGATCCAGATAACTCCAGTGCCTCAACTCACTCCAGCCAAATCCTGGGTCGACCTGAATCATCCGGATTCATTTTGGGGTCAGGGATTTGGATGGAGCCTGGGCACAGGCCTGGGCACTGCCTCCTCAGTAGCATATTATTCTGGGATGGTGTTCTTGCACTTCCAGGTCTGGGAGCCCAAGCTGGTACTACAAACTTGCTACATTCTGGTGCCGAGTCTGACGTTTTCCCCTTGGGGATCCATCTGTGTGCCTGAAGTCTTGTTTATGAAATTTGCATCGCACCTGAGGCCCTGAACGGCCACCCACCCGGATGCTGACCAAACACAAACCGGCTTTCCTTCAGTACGTTGGCTACACCACATGCCTTTATACCAGGGGTCAGCAAGGTTTACCGGCCACGGGCCGGAGCACTCCCACGGAGATTTTCCGTGGGCCAGACTGGTGCTGCACGGCGCCGGAAATCGTGTCTGCACATGTCTGCAGCATTGGTAATCGCTTCTGCGCATGTCCAGACACCGAAAATCCCACCTGTAAAGAAGCGATTTTTGGCATCTGGACATGCACAGACGTGATTTCCAGTATCTGCATGTACGCAGGCATGATTTTTGGCGAGTCCGCACACTGTCCTGCGCTGGTTTAGCACAGTGCGGGGGGACTCGCCAAGCGGGCAGCTCCGTTCGGGGCGGCTCGTGGGCTGGTAAAATGGTCTTCGTGGGCCGCATCCTGCTCATGGACCACACGTTGCCGACCCCTGCTTTATGCTATAGACCCAGTGCATTAGTAGGGAGACTATTCCAGCTCGAGGGCCACATTCCCTTCTGTGAAAACTCCCAGGGGCCACATGCTAGGGGTGGGAGGGGCTGGATGCAAAGGTGACCAGAACAACAAATGTAAATGTAAACTTTATTTTTGTACAGTAGACTATTTTCTACACACACACACACACACACACACACACACACACACCCTCTGTCCTCCATTTAGGCTAATGAGGCATGATCAGAGTTCAAGGGCACCCAAGCTTGGAGTGAATTGGACAATGTTGCATTTTTTTCCGGAGGGGGGGGAGATACCTATCACTCCCTGTTTGAATGTTGATTCCTTAGCTTGGGGGTGGCGGTGCAAAACGTAGGGTTCGCGGTACAAAAGGGTGAAAACATTGCAAAACTTTGGCACCAGTTTGGAGTCAATCGGGCAATGCTGGGGTTGGGGGGGGTGATACCTATGCCCCCAAATTACTCAGTTTTTGGGGGGCTGTGTGTGCAAAATGTGGGGGTTTTGGTGCGAAACGGCTGCAAAGCTTTGGCACCAGTTTGGAGGGGATCCCACCCAGATTTCGGGGAATGAAGCCCAGAGCCGGGCCGGTGGAGGGTCTGCTCTGGGAAGTGGGTGTGTTTTGTGTATCCTGACGTCCAGGCAGAGAGTCTTGGAGGGCTGCCTTTGGCCCCTGGGCTGGAGGTTCCCTACCCCCCTCCCTGCCCTAATGCATGCTGGGAAGCATTAAACATTAATGCTTCCAGGACGCTGCTGTACAGAAGGCCAATAACGCCGGCTCCCGAGAGTGGAGACCGCGAGCTGTGCAAAAGTACAGAACGTTACATTGCCGTGGTGCCATTGACCTTGTGCTCTTTGCTGTTTTGCCATCCCATTAGAGTGCCTGGCAGCTCTTCTCCCAGGTGGGTCAATAAGATATCATTAGGAGATGTAAGCTTGGGGGGAGGGAATACCCCAGTAGGTTGATGATATCTGTTATTGTTTTGGCAGGGAGCAGGGAAAGGTGGGGCGGGCGGGGGGAAGGCTGGCTTTAAAGTAAATTGTTATTTACTCTTTCCAGAATAAATAAGAGAAGAAGACGGGCTGGTTCCTCGCTGGCACCTGCTTTCAGACTTGGGAGAGCCATGAGGACTAGTGGCTGGGTGTTCCCCTTCTTCCTTTTGCAGCTGAGCTCTTCTCATGTCCTGCACTGGACCTACAAAGGTAATAAGGAGACAGGATTGGGATGGGGTGCGAGGAGAAGGGGGGGGTAGGCGCTGCGTTTAACATTCTCCCTTCTGTTGCTGGAAACCTGCAGGGTTGACACCCCGGTTGAAACGAAAGGCTTAGATTGAAACTGAGCTATAAGCTAGGCATATTTGCTCAGACATAAATCCAATTGGCTTCCAGCAAGATTTCCTTCGGAGCAAATAGGATCAGGATTGCAGCATCAGCGCCGTAGCTCTACGCATGTAGGCTTCAAAACAATGCCAAGTCTGTGCATGTGACGGAAAGATGGGGTTGAAAGGCAGTGTGGCATAGTGGCTAGTGCGTCAGACGAGAGATTGGGGAGATGCAAGCATATATTTAAAGCACATTCCCTCTCCCCCAAGAATCCCGGGAACTGTAGTTTATCCCTCACAGAGCTGCTGTTGTTAGCTCTCACAACAAACTACATATCCCAGAGTTCTTTGGTGGAAATGTGCTTTATAGTGTGCACATGGTTACAGATTCAAATCCCCCTTTTGAGCTCTGAAGTGGTGACTTGGGGAAATTTACAACATCTCAGCTAGCTTGACTCACAGAGTTGTTGCGAGGATTTATTTATTTCTGAGTTCCCTGGGGGAAACATAGGGTATCAAAGGACTAAATATAAATTGAGGTGGTGGTGTGGGTTGTACCATTACAGTGGGAGATATACAAGTTGTTGTTGTTTTTAATGTTTTTTAGATAAATTTATTGTCATTGTCCGTATATACACAGTATACACAACAACGAAAATCAAACACCCACTCGAAGACCGGGTTCACATACACCTTTGCACGTATCTCCAACACTCTCATCCTATTCAGACATAATCTATAAAAACATATCATACTCCAGAATGTAACATAACCTATTAAAAGCATAACATAACCTAAAAACCTGTCTCATTCCTTCCTACTCCCTGCTTGCTATTCCTTGCAACTGGCCCTGAGATCATTATTTAGTGCAATCAGAGCTCTTGGATAGAAACTATTCAGAAGGCGTGTGGTTCGTGTTTTCATTGTCCTATATCTTCTGCCCGAAGGCAACAGTTCAAAGAAGTTGTGAGCAGGATGGGTGGGATCTCTCAGGATATTGTGTGACTTCTTCAAAGTGCGAGACGTGAAGATCTCATCCAGGGTTGGTAGTTGGAGCCCAATAACATTCTGGGCAATTTTAATTATTCTCTGTAAAGCTTTTTATCCGTTTCAGAGCTGCTCCCATACCACGATAATATACTATATGTTAAGACACTCTCGATGGTACTGTGATAATAGGACAGAAGTAGGTGCTGAGATAGATTCAGTCCCCTGAGCATTCTCAGGAAATACAACCTCCCTTGCACCTTCCTCACAACCATATTAATATTTACAGTCCATGAGAGGTCCTCAGAGATGTAAGTGCCCAGGTATTTAAAACTACCAACCCTCTCCACCTCCTCGCCATTTATGTGCAATGGTAAAAATACGCTTTTCTTTCTCCTAAAGTCAATTATGAGTTCTTTGGTTTTTAATGGTGTTAAGCATAAGATTGTTTTCTTTACACCATTGAATTAACCCCTGTACTTATTTCCTATAAGCAGTCTCATCGTTCTCACTAATGAGCCCCACCACAGTTGTATCATCCCAAAATTTGATGATTGTGTTGGACTCATACTGTGGGGTGCAATCAAATGTGTACAGGGAATAGAGAAAGGGACTTAGCACACATCCCTGAGGGCTCCTGTGCTTAATACTAGAGTAGAAGAGTAGTAAGGGCCCATTCTCACTGTCTGCGGCCTATCAGTCAGGAAATTCCTTACCCACAGACAGATCTTCTGATGTATACCCAAATTGGTCATTTTAAGAAATAACCTGTCTGGCAGAATTGTATTGAAGGCAGAACTGTAGTCCACAAACAACAGCCTTGCGTAGGTTCCCTGTCGTTCTAGATGACTCAGTACAGTATGGACAGCGATGGAAATAGCATCGTCAGTAGATCTATTTCTTCTGTATGCAAACTGGAGCGGGTCTAGAGTGGATGGAAGACCAGCCTTAATATGATCTAGCACCAATCTCTCAAAACATTTCATAACGACAGATGTTAAGGCTATTGGTCTATAGTCATTGAGAGATACCACCACTGACTGCTTGGGGACTGGCACTATAATCGATGTCTTCAGGCAGGTAGGGACAGAACCCTGCAACAGGGATAGATTAAAAATGTCCGTAAACACACCAGCTAATTCTGCAGCGCAGTCCCTAATAGCCCGTCCCATGATTCCATCCGGTCCAGCTGCCTTCCTAATGTCAATGCTCCGAAAGGCACGTTGTACGTCACAGGTCTGTAATAAAAATGGTTGTCTATCAGTAGTAGTTTCTGATGATGTGCTGGTAGCCAATGCTGTAGTGACGGTAGTTCCAGTTCCCACCTCAAAGCGACTAAAAAATTGATTCAGTTGATCAGCCAGGTGCGCACTGCTGCTAGCCAGTTCGTTTTAATATTTTGCCCTGTAATTTGTCGCAGGCCTTGCCATACTCGACGAGGGTCGGAGCTCTCAAAATGTTTTTCGATCCTCCGGCAGTACATAGCTTTGGCGTTCCTAATGCCCTTTTTCAATTTGGCTCTGGCTTCTCTATACTGTTGCGCATCACCAATGTTCTGTGTAAAGGAAAATTCCATGCCTGCAGAAAAATATTTATTGTTTGTGGGGAAGGGTAATGCAACCCCCTTAATAAAACGAAGCAAGAACTGAACACCTCTTATGCTATGTTAGGGTTGCCATATTTCAAAAAGTGAGAATCCGGACACGAGAGTTGTTGAGCTTTTTAAAACTATTTTTAAAGGAAATTTGCCCAAAAAACAACACTTCCGACCAGTGTTCAAAACTCCCATTGTTGTAGGCACATTTTGCGACAGGGAATTTCATTGGTGTGAGCATTTTCTGAGCTCTGGCCGCAGTACTGCGCCTAAGATTTCAGATTAAAACCGCAGAGTGGAAGGAAAGGAGGACCTTTTTCTGCCTCCCCACTTCCAGCTACTCTCTGAAGACTGGAGAAGAGACCCTCTTAAGAATATTGAGGGGTGGGCAGGGGAAGGACTAGACCATGTGAAAAATGAACATAATATTTTAGCTGCAGTTCATTCATTTTCAGCTTTGTATTGTGATTTTAAAAAGTGTGCCTAGATATTCCCTTGTTGCGCCTGTAAACTAGGTTTAAGGTGCCATTCAGCTCCTAGCTTTCATATCTCAGTTTCTAACACTGCTTCTGACATGGGTTGCCATACACCTGGGTTTTCCTGGGCATGTTTACAGATTTTCAGAAATTCTGCCCAGACTCTATTTCCGACGGACGAATCCCGGATATGTCCTGGAAATTCCGGATGTATAACAGCCCTAGCTATGTACATTATATATAAATATGCAATTACAGTGGTACCTCGGGATGCAAATGGGATCCGTTCCGGAGCCCCATTTGCATCCCGAACAGAACGCAAGACGCGACGGTGCGTGTGCGCGTGCGTGGGTCGCGTTTCGCCGCTTCCGCGCATGCACGCGACATCATTTTGAGCGTCTGCGCATGCGCAAGCAGCGAAACCCGGAAGTAACGCGCTCCGTTACTTCTGGGTTGCCACGGAGCGCAACTCGAACGTGCTCAACCCGAAGCACATTCAATCCGAGGTATGATTGTATCAGCAATGCAGATATATTGTCAGTAGGGAGAATCTATCCCTGGATTACAGGCTGCTCCCCACAAAACAGGACCAGAGGAAGTGGAGTCAGACCAGACCACTGGTCCACCGAGCTCAGTAGCACTTACACAGACTGGCAGTAATGCTGCAAGACTGCGCACAAGGATCTTTCCCTTCCCTTCCTGGAGATTCCAGGGGTTGAACCTGGAACCCATCTGTAGGCAAAGCAGATTCTGTAACTGCTCAGCTCCAGACTCCAGTCCTCCATTCATATGACCAAATCAATCTAGGACTGGGATGAGCAGCTGGCTCAGGCTCAACTAGGGAGCATTATGGCTGACCTGGGCACTAACGGGAGCTCTCTTCACTGTGACTCTCAACTCAGGGATAGCCATCCTGGTGCCCTCCAGATGTTGCAGACCACAACTCCTATCATCCTGATGTTTGGCCCTGGGGGCTAAGGGTTGAAGGGAGTTGCCGTCGAACGTCATCTGGAAAGCCTCAGGTTCCTGTCCCTGTTTTGAACAGTCTTAATAGCAGCCGGAACAGCCACTCATGCAGAGACACAGCAGGGAGCTTCCTTTCTGGAAGGTGCTCCCAGGAGCCTTGAGTCCAGGCATGGGGAAGCTGTGTCTCCCCGCCTCCCACATTGCTGGACTACAGCCTCCACCATCCTTGTCCATTAACCATTCTTTCGGAGGCTGCTGCAAAAAGGCCAGCTCGTCTGTTTTCTGCCTCGTCTCTGCCGCACTTTCCTTTGGAAAGCGGTGAGTGTGGCGGAACGGATCAATGCCTCTGACCGCCAACAAGAGAACTGACAAAGATGAGAGGAAAGGTTTCCATATCGATTGCAAACAAAGCAGGGAGGTTTGAGAGGCAACCTTGAGGCCCCTACCAGGCCGTAAGAGCTAAATATACTGATAAGATAGACATAGGGAGAGAGAGAGGAAAGAGCCTTGTCTATTTGCATGAGTTGCTTTGAAGATTTGGACATTAAAAGAATATTGGAGCTTTTACAGGCAAGCCCCACCACACTACCTAAACAGGCTGTTGTTTACAAGCTGCGGTTGGCTGACTTGCTGTGATGTCATGGAATGTATTTTATTAATTAAACCACAGCAACAGCAACGTCTTTAGAGTGTTTATACACCAACTTCAGGGAATAGCACCCTAAGAAAGTGGCAGGCAGCAAGAAGAGATTCACTTAGATGCGTCTGAGTGGTCAGAGCATAAGAGCACAACTTCTTAGGGAAGCATTTAGCGCATAAAGCATTGCCCCACACCATAGATTTAAAGCACATTTAAACCACATGGCTCCCCCCCCCAAAAATACCGGGAACTGTAGTTTACTTGTCACAGAGCTACAATTCCCAGAACCCTTGACAAACTACAGTTCCCATGTTGTTGTTTTTGATGGGGGGAAGCCATGTGCTTTAAATATACAGTGGTACCTCAGGTTACATACACTTCAGGTTACATACGCTTCAGGTTACAGACTCCACTAACCCAGAAATATTACCTTGGGTTAAGAACTTTGCTCCAGGATGAGAACAGAAATCGTGCTCTGGCGGCGCGGCAGCAGCGGGAGGCCCCATTAACTAAAGTGGTGCTTCAGGTTAAGAACAGTTTCAGGTTAAGAACGGACCTCCAGAACAAATTAAGTTCTTAACCTGAGGTACCACTGTATGGTGTACTTTCAGCCTAATATTTAACAGGAGGGAATTCCAAAAGGCTGGAGCCACCACACAGAAGGCCCTATTCCTGTATCATATGGACCTCCTGCAGGTGGCCCTCTCTTGTAGAGTGTGAGTGATCAATTGGGTATATAAGAGGAGAGACATGATAGTTCAGGTATCCTTGTCTCAAGCTGCCAGGCTGTGTGCCTCAGAACTTCTACCTAAGACAATTTCTTCATTGCAAGCTCAGCCTGACAGCCTCTCCTCTTCCTCTCTTCCCTCCTCTCTGACGTTGCTTCTGAAGGGGAACTGGATGAAGTGCACTGGGGAAATCACTTCCCAGACTGCCTGGGAAAGCGTCAGTCCCCCATTGATATTCGGAAGAGGTCTGTCCAATACTCTCCGGAACTGGAACCGCTGGAGCTCCACGGCTATGCTGGGCCCCTGCAAGGAACCTTCACCATGACTAACAATGGGCATTCAGGTGAATATGAGCAACAGGTAAAAAAGGTGGTGAATCTGCTGAATGGCTGTGGGGAAGAGAGGACCATGGCTCAGTGGATGAGCATGCAAGATGTCCCAGATTCAATCCCCAATGGCATCTCCTGGTACAGCTGGGAATGTCCCCTGCCTGAAACCCTGGCCAGCTGCTGCCAGTCAGTGTAGACCATACTGAGCTAGATGGAGCAAGTGTCTGACTTGGTATAAGGCAGCTCCTTGTGTTCCTGGGAATGTGTCTACCTGCCATGTCAAGTCCCGATTCACTTCCCAAATGCAGAATAACAATTCAAGACAAGGGTTATTTTCTGGATAAGCAAGCCCTTAAGGCTGCTAAATCAACCCGTCGGTTGATAACAACAAGACATTTAAACAGTTCTTATTCTTTAACAAGGGACATTTATTATGAGACTGTAAAGTAACTGAGCATCATTATTCTTTGTATTACTACTGTGGGGTTGTAGCTTGCCTAAGACCATGAAAACATAGCATTTCCCAATCTCCGCCTTAACCATGGTTATGAGATCAAGAGAACTCTGGAAGCTTGTAGCCTCCCTCAGCCTCTTTCTCCTCTTCTCTGCCATGCAAATGCTACACTCCCTTCCCTAATCAGCATGAACCATGGTGTAGCTGGTTTCCCCAAATTTAAGGCAACCATGGTTAGCTTCAAACCCATTTGAAAACCAGATGACCCTTGAAACCATGGTTATCTTTAATCCCATTTAAAACCAGGGTTAGCTTGAAACTAATCTGAAACCAAAGCTAGCTTTAAACCCACTTGAAACCAGGGCTTTAAATCTGTTTGCAACCAAGGTTAAAAGCCGGATATAAGTGCCAAATAGCCCCTGTTTTAAGCGTGCTGTGAATTTTGGTGTGATACATAACATCAACCCTGCAATGTCTTTCAGATACCTAGTGATGGTTGAAGTCAGAGTTGTTGTTTTTTTTACATTTTCAGCTGACTGTCATTCACAAAAGCTTCTTTTTTTAATTGAACGAGCTGCCTCTCCTGATCTCGTTTATTTCAACTTCTTGCTTTGTCATCTCTTTCTTTTTCTTTTTTTTTTTTGAAAAAAATCTATTCTGCTAATTTTGTGCTGATTTTCTCAAACTAGAGGCGGGCGATCCAGTCAGCACCATGTACACAATCGAGAATGTAGGAGATGTTTGCATTTGTTCATGAGACATTAAAAAATAAAAGGACAAAAGAACAGCTTCCAAAGTTATATGCTGGCTAATCCTTCCCGTGCACTATGGGGATATTTCTAGAATTTATTTCTGACAATGCATAACATGACGAGCAGCGGAGCTGATAGATAAACTCACTGTGTGTGGTTTTTTTATATACCAGTATAATGTGAATTTGAAAAGCAGGGGGAATGTAGGAACACAGGAAACTGCCTTATCCCATCTCAGACCATTGGTCAATCTTGCTCAGTGTTGTCTACACTGACAGGCAGCAGCTCTTCAGGGGCTCACACAGGGGACATTCCTAGTGCTACCTAGAGATGCTTGGGAATCCTGGGAATTGTAGTTCCCAGGGGTTATTCCTTCAAATGGCTATTGTAGTGGTTAGCAGCATACTACTCCTAAAAGCCTGGAGGTTCTCTTTAGCTGTGGGCAATAGCTACCAAGACTGCATAGCCACCATAGATTTAAAGCACATGATTTCTTCCAAAGAATCGTGGGAACGGCGTTTCCGTGCGCTGTTCTGGTTCTCCAGAAGCAACTTAGTCATGCTGGCCACATGACCCGGAAGCTGTCTGCGGACAAACGCCGGCTCCCTCGGCCTATAGAGCAAGATGAGCGCCACAACCCCAGAGTCCTCCGCGACTGGACTTAACGGTCAGGGGTACCTTTACAGTGGTACCTCGGGTTACATACGCTTCAGGTTACAGACTCCGCTAACCCAGAAATAGTACCTCGGGTTAAGAACTTTGCTTCAGGATGAGAACAGAAATTGTGCTCCGGTGGCGCGGCAGCAGCAGGAGGCCCCATTAGCTAAAGTGGTGCTTCAGGTTAAGAACAGTTTCAGGTTAAGAACGGACCTCCAGAACGAATTAAGTATGTAACCAGAGTGGCTGGGGAGACTCAGCCAGATGGATGGGGTATAAATAATAAATTATTATAATTATTATTACCACTGTACTTTACCTTTACCTTTAAGTTAGGCAACATTCATACCATATGTTTAAAGCACTGTGATACCAATAATTCTGGGAGTTCTAGTTTGCTAAGTTAGGAGGAGAGGACCCCTACTGACCTCTCAGAGCGACAATTCCCAGAGTTCCCTGGGAAGAGGGGGGTCCTTTGTTAAACCACTCTGGGAACTGTTGCTCTGTGAGGGGAATAGGGGGTCTCAGGAGCCCTTAGCAAAGTACAGTTCCCAGGGTTCTTTGAGGGAAGCCACAGCTATTTAAAGTGGTATTATTCTCTCCATTTGTGTAGTGCTTAGGGTGTCAGACTAGGACCTGGGAGACCAGGGTTCAAATCTCCGCTCTGTCATGAAACTTGGGTAAGTAAGTCATTGCCTCCCAGCCTAACCTACCTCACAGGGTTGTTGTGTGGATGAAATGAGGAGGAGGGGAGGACCTTGGAGAGAAAGGTGAGGCAGGAATGCAATCAGAAGCAAAAACAAGAAACCATGGATGGCTGACGGATTTGGGGGGTGGGGGTGGGGAAGCAGTGGAGCATTGAGACAAACTGTCTCCAGGGAAAGGAATCTCTAATTGTATTGCCCCAAGAGATCATTGTTGAGGCTGCCTGCTTATTATACACGGCGGTGTATGACCAGCCTCTCATTAGGGGGTTTCAGCACAGCAGTATTATCAGCCTTTGCTCTCTGAACATTAGTTGTTGCTTTTTGGTGAACTGCTGTTTTTGTCGAGTTCCCTTCCCCTGGACCCCTTCCGTCTCTTTAGCGCTCTGTATTTTGCGTCCAGGCTCATTAACAGCACCATTGTTGCTGGTCAGCCTGAACCAATTTTTGTCAGGAGCGCATTGGTTACCCAGGGCTTTGGCAAAACCCTGGTGATTTATTTCCACTTGGAGGAAGAACAGCCCCTCAGTCACATAGAACTTCTGAGTTGGTAGGAACCCAACGGGTCATCCAGTCCAAACCCCTTCAGTTTATTTTTGGGGGTATTTATCCTTCACTCTCTGTGCATGCACAGGGGGAATGAAGGCACTGCTTCTCATGCCGGCCTCTGCAATCTCCCTGCCATTCTTCTCTGCTTTGTTGTTGTTTAGTCGTTTAGTCATGTCCGACTCTTCGTGACCCATGGACCAGAGCACGCCAGGCACTCCTGTCTTCCACTGCCTCCCACAGTTTGGTCAAACTCATGCTGGTAGCTTCGAGAACACTATCCAACCATCTTGTCCTCTTTTGTCCCCTTCTCCTTGTGCCCTCAACCTCTCCCAACATCAGGGTCTTTTCCAGGGAGTCTTCTCTTCTCATGAGGTGGCCAAAGTATTGGAGCCTCAGCTTCAGGATCTGTCCTTCCAGTGAGCACTCAGGGCTGATTTCCTTCAGAATGGATAGGTCTGATCTTCTTGCAGTCCATGGGACTCTCAAGAGTCTCCTCCAGCACCACAATTCAAAAGCATCAATTCTTCGGTGATCAGCCTTCTTTATGGTCCAGCTCTCACTTCCATACATCACTACTGGGAAAACCATAGCTTTAACTATACGGACCTTTGTTGGCAAAGTGATGTCTCTGCTTTTTAAGATGCTGTCCCAGAAACTGGTATTACAGCCTGCAACAGAGGGGACAGAACTTTGCCATCAAGATTAGCACCTTATGCCCTATGAATTCATCTAATCCCCCTCTTAAGGCATTGAAGGAGAGCAAGATGACTTAGATTAGAACATGGGTAGGCAAACTAAGGCCTGGGGGCCAGATCCGGCCCAATCGCCTTCTAAATCTGGCCCACGGAGAGTCTGGGAATCAGTGTGTTTTTACATGAGTAGAATGTGTGCTTTATTTAAAATGCATCTCTGGGTTATTTATGGGACATAGGAATTCGTTCATATTATTTTTCCAAAATATAGTCTGGCCCCCCACAAGGTCTGAGAGACAGTGGACCGGCCCCCTGCTGAAAAAGTTGGCTGACCTGACCCCTGACTTAGAACATAAGAAGAACCCTGCTGGGTCAGGTCAAAGGCTCATCTAGTCCGGCATCCTGTTCTGACAGAGCCAGCCGGGCCAAAATTGTTCTTTCCCACTTGCCTTTGCCAGCCACTGGTACACAGAGACACCTGCCTCTGACAGTGGAGGGAGGCTGTACAGTCTTCCCTTATTCGTTTGTTTGCATTCCTAACCACAAAAAGAAGTCAGGTTTGCTCTTTCCAAAGTGTATTTGCTGGGGTGTAAAAAAACAAAAACGTGGTCCTGGTTGTCAGTGGACCTTCCTCCCAGTTTGGCCCAATGACCTTCTTTGCAATTCTGTTTTGCTTTCCCTCCACGTTCCCCTCCCCATGTCGACCAGGCTGCTCAGAAAAAGTAAACAGGGAACAACCCCAATTATGAAACCACAGTTCAATGCATGATTACACAATTAAACCATTTTTTTTGGTTTGTATGTCATTATGGCACTTGCTGCAGGCTGTGTTTGTGGGTGTATTTTTTACTTTAACTTTGGTTTTTGTTTTGATCCCATTCCTCACAAAGGGTATAATCTACAGAAAGAAACATGTTTTCGGTTGGCTTGCCCTCGGGAGAGCTCCTAAACAAAAGCACTCATCTCCTTCTGAATTCCAAAGCAGGATGGGAATCAGATCCGCTCATGTTCCTTGCAAAGGAATGAAATGTTCTATTCACAGTTTGGCAGGGGATTTTATAGAGAGGAGGAAGAGTCAATTGTTTCCTGCTTTCTCTCTCTCTCTCTCTCTCTCTCTCTCTCTCTTTCATTCCGGATTAGACTAAAGTAACGACCAAGTTAATATTGTTCTAAATAACAATATTTGTGTTTGTTAGTCTTTTGGGACCAGTTCACCTGTGAGATATTGCCATAGATGTCAACTTTTCCCTTTTCTTGCGAGGAATCCTATTCGGAATAAGGGGATTTCCCTTAAAAAAAGGGAAACGTTGACTGTGGATATTACCTGACCCCATGTATGCACTCTTGACATCTTCCATCTACAGAAATGGCACTGCTCCAGGTGCCACAGAATATTCATTCCACATTTGTGAAAAATTGATCTTTTAGTGTCTCAGCACTTACACTTTGGAACTCCCTGCCCCTTTTTTTTTAAAAAAAATTATTAAATATTTTCTTGTTTTACAGAAGTGTAATGTCTCTCATATGTTTTCCATGTAACATTTTTACAAATCTGTTTCATTTGTTGAGACGTTAGGGGGAGAGAAAAAAAGAAGGGGTGGGGGTGGGGTCGGGTGGCGATGTTTCTGTTATGCTTAATGTATGTAGGGTTTGGTGTCAGCGTTGCTTGTGCTGTTCACTTGTGTTCCTTTGGTGGTGAGAGAGGTTGGGGTTGGCTTAGATGCCCTTCCTCTTGATATCAGGCAGGCCCCTTCACTGTGCTCTTTTAATTGCCTGCTGAACATATATATTTTTTTTAGAGAAGCCTGCCCAGAAATGTTGAACATTCACAGGTGTCTTAATCATGTTTTCAGCTCATTCTTTGTTTTAATTCTTTTTGAAATGTTTTAAATAGTTGCTTTTGACTGTTTTATTTACTGATCACTTGACTGTTTTATTCTTTTTGTTAACCCTGTTGAAGTTGCTTTTTACAGTATATAAATTTTATGAGATAAATAAGTAAGAAAAAGAAATGTCCCAAAGCAGCTGAATTAAAAAATAAGATACAAGCAAATCAAAAGCCAAATGTAAAAGGGTATACATTATAAAATTCCTAAAATAAGAAAGAGAAGCTAAAAGATGAGCCACCTTAACCACTAAAAGCCTGGGTAAATGAAAATTCCTTAGGCTGGCATCTAAAAACTGAGGATGATGTTTCCAAACCTGTTTCTATCCTGTATTACAGACATGCAAATGCAGCCTCAAAACCAGAAAGGAAAATTATTACTCCTAGGTGGTTGTTGTTGTGTGTGTTTTTTAAAAAATACCAATGCATCTTGGATTCATCAAGGAGGCATGTTTTAAAATCTAAGAGGCTCAAAGCAGACTGTTTTCTGGCTCTCACTCCTTCTGCTTCTGCCATTGCCTGAGCAGCTGTGGTGCCATGGAACATTCACAAACATTCTAACAGTTCTGGGGAGAACTGGCCAGCAAGGGAACCTTCACAAGTGCAACTTTTTTAAAGGAAAAGAAAAGTTACCAAGGGTTGTGTTTATAAAGGTTACTGCAACATTCTTTTACGTTGCTCTTGCATGTTGTGAACGAGGAACAAAATCAAACAGTGGAGCAATCAATCAATACCCATGCGGTTATTACAGCCTTGCTGTAACAGAGTTGTTTTCCACCTGACCTCACTTCCTGCTTTCATTCTGCCTCCCAGTCCAGATAGACCTTCCTTCAACCATGACCATCACCAAAGGGCTACCTGGGGTCTTCACGGCTGTCCAGTTCCATTTCCATTGGGGAGGAATGGATCTTGAGACCAGTGGCTCGGAACACACAGTGGATGGGATGAGGTACATTGCCGAGGTACATTTAATTGCTTGTTTGGTTATTAACACCCCTTTATATCCCAACTTTCCTTTCAGGGAGCTCAAGGTGGTGCGCTAGGTTCTCCAGTGGTCTTTCAGTCTGGGCCGAGACTTGAATCCTCGTCTCTCAAGTTGTAGTCTGACACTCTTAACCACAACACTGAGCTGGCAGAAGCTCTCCTAGCTTTGGAAAGACACCTTTCTGGGCAGCTTTTAGAGGGCTACATGCTGGCGGTGGGCATGGCCAGAGGCAAAAATGGGCAGACAAGCTTTTCCTCTATCTGAGCTGTGTTCTGGTCATGGGTGGGGATTGCCTATTCTGACACATGCCTGTTTGAGCACTTGGTTCGAAGGCACGAGATCGAATCCTGGCATTATAATGTCTTTAGCTTCCTCAGGAAAAATGTCAAGGGGTTGTTTTCCTTTGCCTCCATGCAGAGGAAAAAGGGGAAAAAACCAATCACCCACACTCACAAACCCATAGGAAAAGCAGAAGGTACTTTATACCAGGTCAAGACTATTTCTGGTTGAGGCTGGTATTGCCGACTGACTGGTAGCAACTCCCTAGCAGTGTGGGATTTGAGCACATGGTAAGTAAGCCAGAGCATAGGGCCTCAGATCACGAGGGGCCTCCGAATACAAAAAAATTTAAAATCCCCAAATGTTATGGTTGTGCTGCAGACCGCAATCCAGCGATCTAAGGCCACACCCATGCATACATTTAAAGCACACATGCCACATGCAACAATCATGGTTTCCCCCAAATAATTATGGGAACTGTAATTTTTTGAGAATTGTAGCTCTGTGAGGGGCCATAATTATTATTATTTTTTAAAGTGCTATGGGCCCTTTTAGATTTGACTTATGTTAGGGCCTCAACATGTCTTCATCTGGCCTGCTCTTCAAGTGTCAGGAACAGAAAGTTTTTCCATCACTTCCTATTACTGGAATAAATTGAAGGGAGAACTGCAGCCTCTGAACTAACAATTCTTCAAGAGGTTTAGCACCATCACCTTTGGTTTTAATCAGGAGAATAGGTTGCTTTGTTTTGCTTGTTAATCGCTCTACAAATGCTAATTCACTTACCAACGCCAAGATGTCTGTGTTATCAGGGCAACCTTTTGCGTGGCGAGTTCCCGCCCCCCACCAGGATAAATAAAGACACCAGACACCATAATTTAAGGTTAATTGGGCGAATTAGGCCACAACTTTATTGAGTTCAGGAATGAGAGGCATTGGCTTAGGCATTGGTCCTATCGACTATCCGGCTCCAGCCCATTTGCTGGAGACACGGGGAAGGGTTAACACTATATCGGGAGTCTCCTGCCGAGGCACGTCGACTAGGAGCTCCCCGGGTCACCGCTCTGGGGCGTGCCTTTGGCCCTCACCTCCATAGGCTTCGGACAGGGCCACGCCCCCCGGAGTCCTTTAACGGACCACCCTTCGTTCACTGGGGGGAGGTGATGGCGCTCCTCCCCCCCCACACATCCTCTTAACCCCTTCTTACCAATGCCTACCGCCAATGCCGAAGAGTTGTGACGAGTTGCTACGAGGGAGGCGGAAAACCAAAAGGCTGTAAAATGCCAATTGGGAAAAATTCCTACCATGCCCCTTGCGGCGACAGACCGAAGTCCATAGCAAAGTCAGAAACCTGCCTAAGACCTACCTAGAGGGAGGGAGGGTGGGAAAATGTGAGGGCTAGCCGGCAGAGAGAGGGCGAGCCCCCTCCGTGCCGGCCCTAAATAGCCCAGGCCACGCCCCCCCAGCCAGCTGATTGGCTGGCTGGGGGGCACACCCGGCCGGGATTCCCCTGTTCTCGCGGGGGCTGAAACCAGCCCCCGCTCACGTGGGGTGGGCGTGAAGCCCGCAACCCCACCTCCTGGGCAAGCCGGAAGTGGCTTTGCGTGGCGAGTTCCCGCCCCCCACCAGGATAAATAAAGACACCAGACACCATAATTTAAGGTTAATTGGGCGAATTAGGCCACAACTTTATTGAGTTCAGGAATGAGAGGCATTGGCTTAGGCATTGGTCCTATCGACTATCCGGCTCCAGCCCATTTGCTGGAGACACGGGGAAGGGTTAACACTATATCGGGAGTCTCCTGCCGAGGCACGTCGACTAGGAGCTCCCGGGTCACCGCTCTGGGGCGTGCCTTTGGCCCTCACCTCCATAGGCTTCGGACAGGGCCACGCCCCCCGGAGTCCTTTAACGGACCACCCTTCGTTCACTGGGGGGAGGTGATGGCGCTCCTCCCCCCCCACACATCCTCTTAACCCCTTCTTACCAATGCCTACCGCCACACGAGCAACCGCTCGCCGCCAATACTCTCATACCTGAAACCAATCCCTTATCCCCTTCGCTATGTCGCACAGCCAAACATCATTTCCAGCATCGGAAAGATGCACGCCATCAAACCGGTAGAGGGCCTCACAGTTGAAACGAATGCCCGGGTGTTCAATGACCTTTCCACCCAGGGCTGCCACTCTACGCACCACCGCCCGATCCAAGGCTTTCCTCGCCTTATTCATGGCTATCGGGCACCTGCAATCCCTCCAAACACGCCTCTCCATCAAAGAGGCCCAAATGATTGTCATGTCCGGGTAAGAGGCCTTAAGCTCCTCAAAGTCACTGAAAATGTGCCACTGCAAATCAACTGCCTTCCTGTAGGCAAGGTCATTTTCTCCCAATTGTATCAGCAAAGCATCCGGGGGGCCCTCCGCTGCTGCTCTGGTCTTAAATGCGGGCAACATCTCTGCCCAGCGCATTCCCCTTCGCGCAACCCAGGATAAAGTGATGCCAGACGGTAAGCCGAGGCGTGGCCCGAGACCGGAATTGATGGCGCGGACCCTGGCCCAATGCACAATGCTGTGCCCGAATATCCAGACGCGGACCCCCATAACACCTGCAAAAGATTAAAAGAACAGGCCATGGTCAATTGACCCCAGTTGAACCATCATAGATTTCCTCTAACGTAACGTTTGTAAGCGTCCGATTTCCAGCGGCCCAAGTCCTTAACCCTCTCCGTAGTAAGGCCCAGGTGCACTGCTGTGGTGGCCGCACCTATTCTAAACGAGTGCGCCGCGAAATCTGCCGGGGGAAGGCCACATGCAGCCAGCGTTGAGCGCATAACCCGCGTGAACTGTTGACGCGTCAGGGGTAAGCCATCTGCATGGATAAAGAAAGGCCCTGCCGAATTGGTCCTCAGATCTAAAAAGCGCCTGGTGTCCTTAACGGGGCACGGACCTGGTTGTCCGGTTGCCAGAAGCCGAACCAGGGCCCCCCTCCCGTACTGGTCTGTTTTGGAGCTACGTATTCGTACTGCATTAATTTCTTTACTAATCTTCTTTCGGGCAACCTCGGGCATCTCCCTCACTGATTTTTGGTTTGGTGGATCACCTGAATTGGGGGGGAAAGCTACCGGGATCCTAAAACCATCACTAAATCCTTCCCATAAATAAGCTGCTGCTGCCCTGTTGGGATATAACTTCAATAGGTTTTTTAACGGCGACAACTTGATGGGGGAAAAGGCCAGGCCAAGATTGAAGTTACTGCCTGTTCCCTTGATGTCCCGAAGGGGCTCCATGGCCACCCCTGGGTCCCTGGTTGTAGGAACCTCTCCCACCCCGAAAGGGCTGCCTCCCTTTCAGGCAGGCAGTGGCTGGGTGGTTACCGAGGCATTTTTCACATTCATGGCTGTACTTACAGACCGTCCGTACACAAACCCCTTTATTGAACTCCCAGCACAGTCGCCTCTGTCTCGGAGCGTTCTTCCAGGATTTTGAAGAGTCCTGGGGCTTCTTGTCTACGTAGGGGCCTACGTGCTCAGACCAAAAGTTCTGGTCCCTCAGATCCCAACGAGTGGAAGACAACAGCGACGCATTTCTGCGGAAATCCTCATCGTAATTTAGAGCGGCAGTATCCCCCGCTAGATCCCTAGCCCTCCTCACATGGGCCATGTAGGCGACTAAATGCATCGCCCGTTTGGGATAAGCGGCGCTGACGACACCCATAAATACCTGGAACCCATCCAGCCAATGGTCAAAAGTGCGCTCAACTCTGGGTGCTCTGTACCTGCGTTTTCCATGGCTGCGCCTCTTTTCACCTTTACCTGTCAACTTAGCGGGAGGCAACAATCTGAACATATCAATAAAGTCCCCATTAAGGATCTTGTCCCTCTTCCTCTGAGATAAATGGTTACCCACAATGAAATCTGTAGATAGGTGAGTGGAAGTTTTAACGTCCGGCACAAGCGAGCCATCCTTCCATTCAAGGGTCCCGTTAAAGGACTTACGGTAGGAATTGGCCCTCCTTTCATGGGCCCATGAAGGGAGACCCACGCATTCCTCCCCATGGCCCCAGTATTCCTCCCTAGAGACATCACTATCGGAGTCGGAAGAAGAAGAGGTACCTGAATCATCCTCCGATTCCGACCGCCTGCTCTTCTTACTCTTCTTTGAAGTGTGTTTTCTCTTCTCCTTCCTCTTCCCAGAGAGGACCTCCGGCGCGGCTTGATCCAGTACGCTGTTCACCTGTACCGCCTGCAGACCCCGCACTTCCTCATCCGAAGTGGATTCTGATGCGCCCTCGGCTGGTGCCGCTTGCGGGGGTGGGATCTGAAAGAGACTGGGGACACCTGGGTCCTTTTGTGTGTTAGCAGCCGTGGTACCTAGAGTACTAGCCTTACCCTTCCTGCCACCCTTCTGGCCTCCCTTCGACTTGCCTGAGGTGGCCGACTGAGCACGGGTGCTCCTCTTTTGCCGGGCTGTTGGCTCTTTGGCTACGCTCAGCACTGCCATAGTGGACGCGGAGGTACCCGGGAGTACCACCTCATTAAGTTGAGTGTCCGGGATAAACTCCTGGGAGAACACCATTGGTGCCGGTGGCGCTGGCACTGCTGCCGCTGGTGCAACCGCCGTTGGTGCTGACGTCCCTGTTGCGACTGTTGTCGGTGCCGCTGCCCCTGGCGTGGGTGCCACTTGGCCCGCGGACCTCCTTTGCCTATAAAATTCCTGAAAATCATTGAAAAACTGCGCCAAAGCCTGCGGGTTACTTGGTATAACAAAGGGCTGGGATTCCTCTTGGTTCCCCTGCACCCCCGGCTGCTGCAGAATTTACCTGGTTTTCTTGAGCTGACATAGCTGCGATAAAGGCTTTTGATTAACCTGGTTCAATAGAGTCAGTGACGCTAGCTCAGCCTATATGCGTGAGCAGAAAGCAATAATGCAGTAGTTCAGTATTGCCTGCACTGGCAAGCTGTTACTGGAAACCGAAATTGCGCACCCAACCGATTGTATTTAGCTGCAATCAGTATGACACAAGTTCAGTATTGCCTGCACTGTTGCGAACTCAAGCTGGTTTTTGATTTAATAAATTCAGTGCAGCAAACTTTAAATCAGGAACCGAAAGGAAAACAATCTGACTTCCTTAGTATTTAGTGCACTCTAATATTTAATTAATTAATATTTAATATTAATTAATATTTAATTAATTAACTAGCACTTCACTGGATTTATATATTTTATATTTTAAATAAACTGTAATTAGGAGCAGGACAATAGAGGAAGGCGTGCGCTATCCCCAGGGGACTTGCAACCTTCAATCAACGTTTAACCAATTATGGGTAGCCCCCTACCAATCCCTTAAAACTGATTGCCCACTAGATATATAATAAACAGAAGCTAAACTTGTTAAAGCAAGAGGGATAACTTATGCAGCAAACCTACTTAGCACACCTAAATAGCAGAGCAAAGCTCCCAGGAGCCCTTAAGCACTTTGCAAATTAACCAGTAAACATAAGCTAAACTTGTTAAAGCAAGGGGATAACTTGACTTATGGAGCCAACCTACTTAGCAACCTAAGTAGCAAAGCAAAGCTCCCAGGCGCCCTTAAGCACTTTGCAAATTAACCAATAAACAGAAGCTAAACTTGTTAAAGTAAGGGGATAACTTAGCAACCTAAGTAGCAAAGCAAAGCTCCCAGGAGCCCTTAAGCACTTTGCTAATTAACCAAAGGAATTAAATTGCCGGATAAATATAGTCTTAAAAATAACAGATCAAACCTAATTTATATAGGAAGGCTTATTAAATAAATTACAATTGCAATCAATGAATTGCTCTGGCAAGTCAAACTCCTAGGGGCACTCCAGAACTTTAACTAAAACAGCCAAATAACAGGTTTTATTGGAAAATAAGAACCCTAAAATTAATTAAAGAAAAGCCTCATAAACTCCTGCAGCACTTCAGTTAATATTCCAGCCAATGAATAACTTTGTCAAGGCAGCCTCTTTCTGTACTGCCGGTATTGTGTAAGCCTAGCTGCGTCAGATAACTAAAGACCCACGTGTAGCTGCCTATGGCAAAATGGCGGCCGCCAGACCACGTGGTTGTTTTACAAAATGGCGCCCGGAACCCGTGGGCAAAGTAATCAACAGGTTGCTAGGCAACAGTGCCGCCTTATGCTGAACAGAAAACAAGCCGACCCCAAACAAAGCAAGCGCTGTTAATAAAACCCCTAGGAAATAAAAGCTAGCGCTGCAGCCCTGAGCAATCTGCTAAACCTCCCTTTGCGTTCAGAGAACACTGGTCCCCCAGGGTGGTTGCCTATCGTAAGATGGCGCCGGCAACACAAGCCACGTGGTCCCCTAAAATGGCGACCAGGACCTGCTGGTCGCTTAGCAACGGTGCCGCTTCCCTTTAAATGAACGAGGTGAACAGAGATCAAGCTAACCCAACACAAACAGCTGATTATACAACCCCCCAATCCACAGTGCTGCACAGAAAGCCCCAGAAAAACCCCTGCTCTGCGCAGCAATATCAGAATGTTTTTTGCCGGCGATCTTTTACAGGCAGCCCACAACCTTCCCCTAAACAGACGCTGATGGCAAGACACACGCTCCCTAACAGAGATTCCAATACGTTACCACCGAGAGGGGGAAGGTAGCTGAAACGCTGAAACCTGATTTCAGTAGCTCAGCCCGGGTTGCCTCCGATGCCTCACACGCTTGATGGATGAGCCGATTCCGTGAACAAAGGACCTACGAGAATAAAACCCCCCAGCCGTACCCCCAGTGATTTCAGCTCTTTTTGAACGCGCGTTGCGTTGGAGCGAGGGTAGGAGGAAAGAACCTCCACAAGTGATTTCAGCTGCAAAGGGGAGCGCCGAAAGCAGGAAATAAAAATCCGAAGGTCCGATCCAAAACAAGAGAGAACTCCTGAACACCAAGCAGTTTAAAAATCAAGCAACACCAGCAGTAAAAGCTGGAAATCCTCTGAAAAGAAAGGGGTGCTTTTCCTGTGAAGCTGCAGCAAATACCACGAGGTGCCCTGCAGCTCAAGAACAAAGGCAAGGCAGGAACGGCTCCAGGCAAAGTAGATAAGATCTCCGACAAACAGCTGATATGCGGGAAAGAAAAATGTGAGGGCTAGCCGGCAGAGAGAGGGCGAGCCCCCTCCGTGCCGGCCCTAAATAGCCCAGGCCACGCCCCCCCAGCCAGCTGATTGGCTGGCTGGGGGGGCACACCCGGCCGGGATTCCCCTGTTCTCGCGGGGGCTGAAACCAGCCCCCGCTCACGTGGGGTGGGCGTGAAGCCCGCAACCCCACCTCCTGGGCAAGCCGGAAGTGGCTTTGTGGGTGTGAATGGCCTGTTAAGAGTGCAATTAGCACAGACTCACCTTCTCTGCAATTCTTTTCCTTCTGACCCCCATTGATTACAATTGCCACCAGCCATGGATTAGGCATCCAACAGAGTGGATTATTATCCGGGAAACCTCATGCAATCATAAATTGGTCATTCTGTGAAGAGGCAGGAAAAAGCTTTGCTTTTCCTGCAGGAGAATAACACAGCTACCCCCGCCTTTTTTTTGTAACTGTTGCTTAAAAACAAAATCAGACTAGAGAGACACAAAGGTATCATGATTCTGGTTTCACAGACAAACTATAGGATTGAAGAATGGCTTGGAACAACTTTATTTCTCCATAGACTATCAGGATCAAATGTAGAAATATATTTTGAAAAATAAAAAAATTGTCCAGTAGCACCTCGTGCATGCACACGAAACTCATACCAAGAACAAACTTAGTTGGTCTCTAAGGTGCTACTGGACATTTTAAATATATTTTTATATTTTATATATTTATATATTTTAAATATATTTTTTAATATATTTCTACTGCGTCAGACCAACACGGCTACTTACCTGAATCTAGGATCAAATGTGTATGTGCAAGGCATGTGCTCTACCACTCAGCTAAAGGCCTTGCCTGGCTTTTTAACCACTGCCATCCTTATCCTTTCCCCAGCTGCATATCGTCCATTACAACTCAGCCAAGTACGCAAGCATCGAGCAAGCGAATGTTCAACCGGATGGCTTGGCAGTTCTGGCGTTTCTCTTTGCGGTAGGTGGCTAATCCAGGTGGAATCTATCTATTTAAATTGAAGATGCATTTGGGAAAAGTTTCAGATTCCTGAAAGTCAGTTGCCCCAGTTTCTGAGATCTAGAATTGGCGGAAAGTTTGTTTGTTTTTCTTCTTCTGGCGAGAATGCTTTGCACGCTGTTGCAAACAATTTGGATTTTAAAAAAGAGAAAAACCACGAGGGGGCGCCAAACAAAAAGAAACAGCAAAATGCGAAAGAATGTTATCTCTGTGGCTTTTCCCTGTGTCAAAATGTAGGTAAAGCAAGCATCCCCAACCTGCGGCCCTCCAGATGTTTTGGCCTACAACTCCCATGATCAGTGGTCAGGGATGATGGGAATTGTAGTCCAAAACATCTGGCCGGCCAAAGGTTGGGGATGCTTGTGGTAAAGCATATTATCAATGGGTGGAGAGAGAGAGAGAAAACATAGAAAGCTGCCCTATGTTGATCCATCTAGCTGAATATTGCCCACTCAGACTGTCAGTGGTTCCCCAGGATTTAAGGGAGGTGATATTCCCAGTCATATCTGGAGATGTCAAGTATTGAATTTAAGGTCTTCTGCATGCAAAGCAGTTGCTATAACCACTGAGCTATAATAATAATTATAATATAATATAATATAATATAATATAATATAATATATTTATACCCTGCTCTCCCCGGCCAAGACCGGGCTCAGGGCAGCTAACACTGAATATAAATACAGTAAAAACATTAAAAAACAAAACAAAACAAAACAAAAACAGTTGATTAAAATATAAGTTAGAATACAGTTTAAAACGCAGCTTAAAATGCAGCCTTGTTTTAGTGGTAGCCTATAGATCAAAGCCATAAGGGGGGGAAACGTCAAATATTCACCAGGACCAACTATCCATGCTGGTCCTACATGGGCCAGCAGAAAGAGCCAAGGGAAAATTTATATACAAATCCCATATAAGGGGTTCCATCAGAAAAATATAAACATTCTCCACATTCATTTCCCATTTGAACATGCCCCATTTTAAATACAGTGGTACCTCGGGTTAAGAACTTAATTCGTTCTGGAGGTCCGTTCTTAAGCTGAAACTGTTCTTAACCTGAAGCACCACTTTAGGTAATGGGGCCTCCTGCTGCCGCCGCACCACCACCATACAATTTCTGTTCTCAACCTGAAGCAAAGTTCTTAACCCGAGGTACTATTTCTGGGTTAGCGGAGTCTGTAACCTGAAGTGTCTGTGACCTGAAGTGTCTGTACCCGAGGTACCACTGTCCTACTCTTCTTTCTTGCAGGATGGCAACCTAGAAAACACTTACTATAGCGACTTCATTGCCAACTTGGCCAAAATCAAGTTTGCAGGTATGTTTCCCTTTAAACCTTGGCATTGTATTTCTTGGTCAGGCAAGATGAAGGTGGTTGATTTTGATTCTTTACCACCCTGGTTTTGAGCAGTGGGATATCGCTGCAGTGCTAGCTAGCTGCTAAAAGCTGTCGCCCAGTATTTGATCTGCTTTGGATATTGCATAAAATTGCTAAGCTTTTATGTGTGTGTATTTTCTTTTTTTTTTTAGGGCAGTCAACTACACTCAACACTCTGGATCTCCTGTCCATGCTTCCAGAAAACCTTGCCAATTTCTATAGATACCAGGGCTCTCTGACCACACCTCCCTGCACAGAGAACGTGATTTGGACTATATTTGATTCACCCATCATGCTGTCTCACACGCAGGTAAGAAAGCACTGGTCTGCGTTGGTCTGTCTGTTCCTTTTTTTTATTGTTGAACTTATCAGTCGCTTTTCAGAATTAAACCCCCGAAGTGATTTACAGCAAGGTTATAATACAGTAATATAAATGTATAAAACATATTAAAACCATAGGCTATGTAAACAGCATACATTTGAAACACATTTATGCCACATTGTGCACTCCAACGGATTTTGGGAACTATAGGTGGTTAAAGATGCTGGAGATTTTATCACTGAGAGGGAGCAAACTACAGTGGTACCTCAGGTTAAGTACTTAATTCGTTCCAGAGGTCCATTCTTAACCTGAAACTGTTCTTAACCTGAAGCACCACTTTAGCTAATGGGGCCTCCCACTGCCTCTGCGCCGCCGGAGCACAATTTCTGTTCTCATCCTGAAGCAAAGTTCTTAACCCGAGGTACTATTTCTGGGTTAGCGGAGTCTGTAACCTGAAGCGTATGTAACCTGAGGTACCACTGTACATGGTCCGAGCCCCATGTTGGGCAAAATATTATTGCATTGCAGGGGGTTGGACTCAATGACCCCTGGGGTCCCTTCCAGCTCTATGATTCCACATTTCCCAAGATTCTTTGGGGGGAGCCACATGCTTCAAAAGGATGCTGTGTACTCAGCTAAAACATCAATTCATTGGGGCAACCAAAACACCTGGGAAATCAAGAATGTACCTTATTTTCCCGTGTATAACACACCCTTGTGTATAAGACTCCTCCTATTTTGGGGAACTCCAAATTAAGAAAATGGGGGGAGATTGCCCAGAGTTGCTGAGCTTTTTTTGGGGAGGGGGAGGCAGAGTTGTTGAGATTTTTTAAACGGGGGAATGCTGAAAATCACTCACCCAAATGACCTACCACGCCACTTGCGCGTGTCGCAAAAGCCAGCATTAGTCTGTCCCCTCGCCGGCAGAAGCTGCCAATTGCCCGCCCAATTCATGCAGCGACAGCCAATCAACACCAGCCCTTGATGCAGCCACCAATAACACGCCCAATAGCCGCCGACAATCTCTGGCTCGCGGCAGCAACCAATCCCATGTCCCCCCTATGCATTATCTGTATATAAGACGACCCCAAATTTTTAACATAACTTTTTAATAAGAAACATCGTCCTATACATGGAAAAGTATGGTATTTGCCTGGCACGGGAATGCTGTCAAAACAGTTGTTGGTGTCAGGAGCTCGTCCTACTCAAGAGTAGGACCCTGGCAGAGACACATGCCCGAATGGCATGTTCCCTCGCTCCTGGTCGATCGTTCGGGAGTTTCATAAGTTTTCTTCTGCCCGAACATCACAGCGACCGATGCCAACAGACATTGGCACACTTAGGGTCTTCGCAGCTTGCATTACAGACCTCAGCAACTGCGCATTTTGGCTAATCTACTTTATTTACATATAAACACTCAAGGAGCACTGCAACATGGCTCTCTCTCTCTCTAGCATCAGACAGCAAAGAGAATGAACAAAGGACAATAGTCCCACTTCACGGAACACAGTAACACAAACATCCTGTTTCCATCACTTTCTACTCTGTGGAGTCAAAATATACACTGTCATGTGATAGACAAAAATCCCATGACTGCAATCATGGAGCAGGAATTCTAACAGTCGGGTGGGCCTTCCTGGGATAACCATCCCACAGGGAGCTATTCCACCCTCTGGAGTTAATGCACAAGGCCCAGATTATCTCAAGGCCCAGGCAAGTTCATATGAGGAAAGATGTTCCTTTAGGTAAAGGGGTCCCAATTATTATTTATTACTCTATATGAGTAGATTAGTGAGCCCCAGCAAACAGCTTGCTCCATCTCCCACTTCAAAGCCAAGCAATGTTAAAGATGAACCAGCAAGGATGCTGCAACAGAATGTTGGATGTTGCAGGCTGTCTACCTGCTGTTCCCAAGAGGAATGGCTCTAGGTTGGGTCTGCAGCAAGCCTTGGAATAGGAAGGAGCCTTGCAGTTCTGTTTCCAAAGGTAGGACAGAGGTGGAATGTCAAGGAGGAGGAGATTCCTGTTATTCTTGAACATATTGCTTGGCTTTCTTGGTAGGTTAAGCTGCTGGAGAATGCCTTATTGGACTGGGAGAACAATACCCTAAGGAACGATTACCGCCATGTCCAGCCCCTCAATGACCGGATAGTCCAATCGTCTTTCCAAGCCAAGGTTACCAAAGGTACAAGTGAGTAGCTTAAGGCCAGCAGGGAGGCAGGCGATAGGAGTGGAGGACCCTAGGCATTAAAAGCATGAGAAGAGCCTGCTGGATCAGGCCAAAGGCTCATCTAGTCCAGCACCCTGTTCTCACAGTGGCCAGCCACATGCCCCAGTGCCAAGCACCCAAGCAAGACCCGAGCACAAGAGCCTTCTCCCCTAGCATAAGCCTTGTTAAATTGTGGGTGAACATATCAGACGACACAGCGATTCTTCAAACAGCTCTTGTTTATTCACAGGCCAGAACAGAACTGAACTGAAGGGTTCAGCCAGCCTGCTTACTACTGACAGATTGCTCTCTATCTCAGAACCTGACAGGTAGGACGCATTTTCTTTGCTCTCTATGCAGCTTAGTATACAGCATGAGCATGTAGCCATAAATCTCATCACTTCTGCATGCTTTGGAACTCTGCTGAACGGAACTGTGCCTGCAGGCCTCTATCAAAGGCTCAGGTACATTAATCATTAGCCGGGCGCTTATGTGAGTGCAGATGAGCTTTATCAGCTCGGAGATCCCGACACCTTGGAAGTCAAACGGAATCCGTTCCGGAAGTCCGTTGGACTTCTAAAACCTTCGGAAAGCAAAGTGTGGCTTCCGATTAGCTGCAGGAAGATCCCCGTCGGATGTTTGGCTTCCAAAACTAGTGCGCAAACCGGAACAGTCACTTCCGGGTTTACGGCGTCTGGGAGCCAAAAACGTCTGAGAACTAAGCGGTTCAAATAATAATAAAAAAATTATTTATACCCCGCCCTCCCCAGCCAAGACCGGGCTCAGGGCGGCTAACAACTAAGGTACAACTGTATATAAAAATAAGAAGAGGATTAAGCCTAACTATCATTATCCTTCCATCGCTCCAGAAATGTGTCACCCGTCGACTGTCTCTTCCACACTTGATGAAATACGGACTCAGCTGCAGGCGATGAAGAAGCACGTTCTGGCTATCATGGGGAAACCTGGTAAGAGAATAAGGCTTTTTCCCCTCCCCACGCCCTGATTATTTATGGCACGTTTTCTGTTCTAAAATTTTGCAAGTTGCTAAGAGACTTCTTATTTATTGGATTTAGGCCCTGACCTTCCTCTCCAAGGAGCCCAGGGAGCCAAACAGATTTACAAACAAAAACAAAGCAAACACATTTTAAAACAGGTTAAAACACTTAAAAATGATAACAATTGAAAACATCTAAAAAACCCCCAGTTGCGATTAAAAACATTCTTCTATCCAGTGATCTTCGGGTCGCCGGGAATTGCATCCCTCAGCTACTAAATGCCTGGGTGGACAGGAATGTTTTCTTTTTTAAAAAAAATAAAATTATTCAGTTTTACAATATACACTTGAATTTAAACATTAATAATCATAAGCATATAGGATTCCCTGAACCCTTAGACTTCCACCCACCCCTCCATGGTTTCCATTGTCAAACCTTTTCTACTACATCTTATAGTTTCTCCATTTATCTTAAAAATCCATTTTTACCTTAGTTTTTCATATATCACAAGTGTTGCTATAATCCTGCCAAAGTTTTTAGTTGTTTACAGTGTTCTCTTAAATAACTTATAAATTTCCCCCATTCCTTGTTAAAGTTTCTATCTTCCTGGTTTCTGATTTTCCTGGTCATTTTTGCCATTTTGGCATAATCCATCATCTTTATTCGTCTCTGGTCAGGACTTTATCTTCTTTCCATCTCTTGGCCAGTAGCATCTGCAGTGCTGTCGTCACGTACATAAATAGTATTTTCTACTCCTTTGGAATTTCTGCATCTAGAATTCCTAGTAGAATAGCTTCTGATTTTTCCACAAACGTTATTTTAATAATTTCTCCCCTAATTCTTTACATCTCATATCCCAGAATGCTTTGGTTATCCTGCACATCCACCACATGTGGTAGAACGTGCCTTCCTTCTCCTTACACTTCCAACATACATTTGAAGCAGTTCTATACATTTTTGCTAATTTAAAAAGGTAAAGGACCCCTGACAGTTAAGTCCAATTGCAGACAACTCTGGGGTTGCAGCGTTCATCTCACTTTACTGGTCAAGGGAGCCAACGTTTGTCCACAGAAAGTTTTTATGGGTCATGTGGCCAGCATGACTGAGCCGCTTCTGGCTACACCAGAGTAGCGCACGGAAACGCCATTTACCTTCCAGCCGGAGTGGTACCTATTTATCTACTTGCATTTTTGGCGTGCTTTTGAACTGCCAGGTTGGCAGGAGCAGGGACCAAGCAATAGGAGCTCACCCCATCACGGGGATTCGAACCGCCGGCCTTCTGATCGGCAAGTCCAAGAGGCTCAGTGGTTTAGACCACAGTGCCACCCGCGTCCCTTTTGCTAATTTAGTAGGTGTTAAATACCAGCAATACATTATTTTCCTTCAACGTACAGCATGCTGTAAATTTTAGGACAGGAATGTTTTCAAATTCATCCTGAATTCATCCAGCTGCTCACATCCCTTTAAACAAAGGGCAGTGGGTTATGGTTCTGCTGGAAGAGGACCATCCTATTGCAGAACAAGCAGTTCCGATGGGTTGTCCCAAGTGTCCGTTCAAACCCAGCCCACGCCTGAGAGGTTCTGATTGGTTCTTCCAGGTCACATCCCGGTCCACGCCCAAGCTCTTTACTTCTCCCGTGACAACACGGCCAGCTACGCCGAGGTGCGCCCCCTGCAGGCCATGATGCTCAAAACCTTCACGCTTTGCTTCTGGGCCCAGAACTTGAATGAAGGGCGGCAAACGGTCTTCTTCTACTCCACCCCAGAGAGGGACAATGAGCTGGTGGTCACCGTGGGCATCGGCGTGGGTGTATCCATTGGGGGCACCTCGGTGCAGTTTGACTTGCACCGCAAGTCTGAGGAGTGGGTCCACCACTGCATCACCTGGGCTTCCGACTCGGGCACCGTCAACCTGTGGGTCAACGGAGCCAAGGGCACGGTCAAGGACGTCCAGAGAGGCTACGTGATCCAAAGCGGCGGGAAGGCACTCCTTGGGAAGTACAAGAACCCTGTGATGGACATCTTTGCCAACCCGTTTTCTGGTTGGATGAGCCACGTCAACCTCTGGAGCAGCCTCTTAGACAACGACGACGTCCAGGAGCTCACCCTGTGCAAACATGACAACCAGAAGGGGGATATCATATCTTGGGGGGAAACACCTATGACCTTGTGGGGGGGAGTGGTGGTGGATGCTGACACCAGCTGCGGGTGATTCCTGCTGATCAGGCATGAATCCGTGCTGAGAGGTAAAAAAAAAACCCTGATTGGTTGGGACGCAAATGTAGTCTTTACTCCCCACCTTTCCTTCAAGATATCCAGATTATAGACTGATTCTCCTTCCACACCAAGAGCTTCTCTAGGTCTTCTAAGGACTGGGCCAGATCCTTGGGGGGAGAGGAGGGGATATTCTCATTGCAGGAAAATCTCGCCTTACGATGAGGAGAATGCCCCGTATTTCTTTCATGTTTATTACCGATTATGTCAGCATGGAATGGAAACGAACACAAACTGCAGGAGAGGGCGAGAGGCGGAGAGAAAAAGAAAACCTCATTCTGGTTGTACTCGATTTTTTGTTGTTGCTTGTGAGATCATGTAGAATTGTCTGCGTTTCAGATACTTCTCCTTGCATAGCATGATAATCCTTGTAGAGAGGAACCCTGGGAGAAGTGAAAGTAAATCACCTGTTTGTGCCACACAGAGTCCTCCTTATCAAGGCAGTGATGAGAGATAGACAAAGCCTTAGATTAGCTGGCAGGTTTAGCCCTGTGTGGCTAATGTGAGGGGTGGGAAGGAGACCCCCACCCTCTTCCCATCCCCATCAAGTTTGGGTCACATCCTCACCATTCATTGAAAGCTGCCCTTACGCCATTCTCTTCCCCCAGAGAATCTTTGGAGCTGTAGTTTAAGGGTGCTGGGAACTATAACTCTGCAAGGGGTTTCCTAACCACTCTCGGCACCCTTAACAAACTACTGTTCCCAGGATTACTTTGGGGGAAGCCATGCCTTGTTAAAAAGCGGTGTAAGAGTGTGTTAAATGTATAGTGTGTGATGACTACCTATCTGCCTAAACATCTTGCATGATTCAGAGCCATCCTAGATCCCTGCTTGGGTGTTCTCTTAAGTCCTGAAAACATATCCTCCAGGAGACAGGCTTTCATATCTGCATGGGTGTCATTGATACCACATCTGCACTTCTCAGGATCCTGATATGTGTGTGTGTGTGTATTGGTGACATTGTTTGTTCCAGTTTTCAAAATACGCAACTGAATCTTATTTCATGCATGGATAGACGTATATACTTCCTGATATATGGTTACTGCCATTTTGTTTCGGAAGGGAAGATTAGCCTGCAGGCGTGATCCTGAGAAAAACCACATTTGAATTTAAATCAGAGGGGTTTACAGACCTCCAAGCATTGATTGGATAAATCATCTGGGTGTGATCAGAGTACTGAGCTTAGGTTTATGATAACAGGAGGACACAGGCCTCTCTTTGAAGCAGAATTAATTGCAAAACCCCTTAGGGCTTAACCTCAATCAACTCCACCTGGGAAACTGGAGAGGGGATTAAATCAATGCTGTGTGCATTTCATGGCAAAACAAACATGTTTGGGGTTTTTTGTTTTCTTCTTTGACTCGTAGAGGCAGTACAACTATGTTATAAGGATAATAAAGTATGCACCAGTTAAACCTGGCTTGTCATTCCTGAGTTTTAGCAACACTAAACATCCTTGTGTTTTTTTCAGGCTTTACAAGATGGCTTTTATTTTATATTTTTTGCTCTATTTACAAAAATAGACAATGATCTTTTGTACAAAATGTATCCCCCTTCCAGGGAGATGAAAAATAACAATCAATCAGCAAACAACACACACAATATCCACTCCTTTTACAAAATTGTCTTTTTAAACACTCTTCCCCTTTGTTCATAGACAAATACTGTTTTGTTGTTTTCTGGGGCAGGTGAGAAACATATCATACACCTTGAAACCAAGGACACTTCCAGACTGTCACTATTTTCAAGAGGGATTCAATCATATCCTGGCAAATTCAGGTTGCACCATTATAGTTGCTTGGGATGGTCTGTAGAACAAATCCACTTCTCTTTTTGTAGTAAGGAAAGTGATGGAGGAAATGATCTGGAACACTTTGGATTAATACTTGCTGTGATGCAAATTCATTTAACCTCTTGCAAACGTATTAAAATGGATGCTTAACAATAGGCAATCTGGAGGCACTTGAAGATCAATCATATATTGTGATTAAACTTGTGTGTCTTGTTATATGAAGTCCAAACAAGCAACAATTAAAAATGGATGGGAGGGGGCAGACAGTGAGTAAACAGAAACCCATAATAAAACTGGGAGATTTAGGTTGAAGCTCAAAACTTACTGGGCAGCAAGATCAACTGAACATGCTGGGACTCAAAATTCTTGAAAAACAAGCATTTGATTGCATTGCCTATTCCTTAGGACAGCTCGGGTCAATTATGAGAGCCCACCTTGATCGTTGAGACCAGCTGAGCATCCCAATAAATGGAGTGTGCAGCTGAGACCATAGCTGCGTCTAGAGAGCCGCAGATTTTATCCCAGGCAGCTTCAGATAAGGCTGGGAAAGAGCCCTCTATGGAACCCCAGAGAGCCATAGCTCAGTGGTAAAGCATCTGCCTTGCACACAGAAGGTCCCAGGTTCAATCCCCCAGCATCTCCTAGTAAAGCTGAGAATATATCCCCTGCCTGAAAGCTGAGAGTCACTGCCAGTCAGTGTAGGCAGCACTGAGCTACATGGACCAACAATTTGCCTTGTTTTAAAGCAATTAATCCTTTGTTCTGGGTTGTTTTTTTTCAGTCTTTAGTACTGGGCCAGGAAAAGGGACCCACTCAGGCAGGCCTAATTCACACACAGATGGTTAACCTGGCTCTGCCACTTCAGGTTGCATGTGGAAAGCTAGCATGTCAAGGGCAAGGCTAGGTTAACACTATTCTAATAATCTGAGTTTTCTATGTGAAAGGGGTTTTGGTTTGTTTCCATATATACACACCACCCAGGAGAATCAAGCCTGTTCGGTGTGAGAGAAATTGTTAGTTCTGTTGATACAAAAACCTTCTGTGTTTATCAGTTCTCTCCCATTTCCTTCCTTGGCCCAGAGGTGGCTGGTTCCCGTTGGAACTGGTAGGGTGTAAGACAGGGAGCTCACCAGCAGATGGAGCCAGAGTAAATGACAGACCGAGCCGTCTGACTAGTTTTGTCCCCATCTTCCTCCATTCGGTTCTATAAGGGCAATACTGAAACTAAAGGGAAAGAAGCTACACTTTCTGTTGAGTAATAAAGCAGGCAGGTGGAGTGTGGCTTAGGGCAAACGAATGCTTGTGGGGCAGTGCCCCATTTGCCCTTAATGAACCAGCCTCCACTGACTTGGCCAGTATCCCTTGGCTGAGATAACCCACTGCCCGGTGTAGAGCAGCAAAACACAGATTTAAACCAGAATGTGTGCTAAAGGTAAAGGTAAAGGGCCCCTGACAGTTAAGTCCAGTCACGAACGACTCTGGGGTTGCAGAGCTCATCTCACTTTACAGGCCGAGGGAGCTAGCATTTCTCCACTCCGCAGACAGTTTTTCCGGGTCATGTGGACAGCATGACTAAGCCGCTTCTGGCGCAACCAGAGCAGCGCATGGAAACACTGTTTACCTTACCTTACCTTACCTATTTATCTACTTGCACTTTGACGTGCTTTCGAATTGCTAGATTGGCAGGAGCTGGGACCGAGCAATGGGAGCTCACCCCATCGCGGGGATTCAAACCGCCAACCTTCTGATCGGCAAGCCCTAGGCTCAGTGGTTTAGACCACAGCGCCACCCGCGTCCCTTAGAATGTGTGTTATACATCCCTTAATCCTAAAAACCTGCTTTCCCCTCTAAAATAACCCCAGTTCAATACTAAAATAACAATAATTTTAAAATTCAAATGTGTATTATTATATTCCTCACTTCATCCACGAGCAAGGACACCCGTTCACCACTTTTTAAAGCACATGGTAAGTGTAAAGCTGTGGGTTAAAGCCTCAGCGCCTAGGACTTGCCGATCGAAAGGTCGGCGGTTCGAATCCCCGCGGCGGGGTGCACTCCCGTCGCTCGGTCCCAGCGCCTGCCAACCTAGCAGTTCGAAAGCACCCTCGGGTGCAAGTAGATAAATAGGGACCGCTTACTAGTGGGAAGGTAAACGGTGTTCCGTGTGCTGCGCAGGCTTGCCAGATGCAGCTTGTCACGCTGGCCACGTGACCCGGAAGTGTCTCCGGACAGCGCTGGCTCCCGGCCTATAGAGTGAGAGGAGCGCACAACCCTAGAGTCTGTCAAGACTGGCCCGTACGGGCAGGGGTACCTTTACCTTTTTTAAGTGTAACGCACACAAATTGTGCTTAAAATTAAATTGCAAATTTTTATGATAGTTTCTAGGTGGTAAGAAAAGGTCCACCTTCAGGAAAAGCAGACAGCAAAATCTCAAGCCGGTCAGGTGGAAGGCATTCAAGGGATACTGCCTTCTAGACTTATTTGCCTGTTCAGCTAAGGCTGAATCAAAATTAGAGCTCCATTAGTGCTTTAATGAAAATCAAAATGATTAAAATTAGTGTTTTAGTTATAACCATTATAGCCTGACAATTGATACCGATGCAGCAGGGGAAGAGCTGAGGTTAAAAACTGTGTTGTAACAGACTCCTTTCACTTCCTTAACAAGCAGAGATAGGTGCCAAAACATCTTGACCCCGCTGCAAACACACACACACACACTCTCCAGCAAGGAATTCAGAATTATTCTGGGTCCACTGTGTCATTTGAGACCTCGTTAGGAACCCCATCAAGTTGGGCGTGGGGGCTTTTTAAGGCTAGAAATGCCAGTGCAGGCATTGGACAGATAGAGTTTCACTTTTTTCCATTGGCAGGGCTTCCTGCAATGAAACAGGGACTCTGTCACATGCCCACCCCCATGCAGAGTTAAAATAAGGGCTGCAGCAGATGAAAGGCCTCTGGGTTTGTGTTGCACTAGGGCTGATTGGGGGGTGGGTAGGTTTGGTGAAGCCCTTTTTGGCTGGGTCAGGTCTTTTACCTGCCTGCGCCTGATGTCCTACAAGATCTCAGGATTGTATCCAACCGAATTATGCTCAATGCAGACCCACTGGAATGCATGAATCTAAGGTAATCATGTTCATTCTCTTTGATGGGTCCAGTAAGACAGCTTGGCTGAAATGGTCTTGTGGGTCAATGGCGGAGGGGCTGGGGAGCACAATTAGGTCCCCCACTGCTGTGATAGGGGGTGTCAAAGCCTCAGCCAAAGTCCCTGATTTCCACATAACATGGAAAAATGTTAAACACAGTTGGATGCTCTTGAGGCCCCTTCCAGCTCTGTGAGACTTTCCCGTGCAGCCTCACTTGATTATTCTTCGTATCTTTTACAAGGCGCTGAATTTTGGCACGTCCTCCGCCTTTGGCAAAGAGGAATTGCATGCTAGGTGTCTAAAATCAGATTATCTTGAGTCACCTCGGAGTACATCCCCAGGTCTGTGCTTCAGTTTGTGGGATGTGAAGGCAGAAGAATTGTCTGTTCACCTTACCCCAGCGTAAGCAGCATGGCTTCGTGAGAAGGAAATGCTTCCCCCTGCGCTGAAATGCAGAGAGGAAACGCTACATTTCTAAGAGGACTTTGGGTCCAGCCATACAGTGAATCTCAGGTCAGACGGAGTCACAGCAGCCTAACAACCAAACACACATCTGCCTGCAGATCACTTTACCAACATCCTCCAAACTCAGTTACCGTCTTTGGAAACGCTTCCGAATTGGGAAGAAGTTCCCCATCTTGGTTCTTCAGAAATATGACTTGAACAGGTGAATTATAGGCAAGGCATCTGGAAATGGCAAAGTCTTTGATGCTAGAGAAAGGGCAATAGCTTTTTTGGGGGGTGCTGGTGGGAGTTTTTGTCCATGTGAGAAGGATGTAGCAAGGAGGGTACCGCAGGGCACAGCTGCATGGGGTTATTTACACCTCGCCCACGACAATGCAGGGAGCGGGAGGAAATTCGAAGGATGGCATGTGCCACCAAGACGGCTGGAGGAGAGTTGGGCTTCAGCCACTCCTGGGCGAGGGATCAGGGGCGTCTTAAAGGGCGCTGTTCCTCTGCGCCTCGGCTTTCTTGCTGTAAGGCTGTGAGATGGGGGCGAAATCCTTCAGCTCCTCTTTGTCCGCCTCTTCTTCCGTGCCGTTCCTCTTTGCCATTATCTGGTTGATTTCCATGAAGGTTTTGTTCTTGGTTTCGGGGACTACCAGGAAGATGTAAATGACGGTGAGCAGGCAGATGCCACAGAAAATGAGGAAGGAATAGGCCCCGAGTCCTTGCTATATAGAGGAAAAATAAGTGAGAACAGGAGAGGGAGGGAGAGATGAGATGAGAATGATGAGTTACTGGAAAATGATTTTGTTTTTCCTACTCTTTACTCCAGAAGAACCATCACCAGGTTCAAAATGCATTGGGATGTTGGCTCGATTTAGGACCACACTGAGTTGCATGCAGTGCTTGTCTTGCTCAGAGTAGACCTATTCAGATTAATGGACACAACAAACTTGGGTCTATTCATTTCAATGGGTCTACACTGAGTTGACAACCCTCTGTTGAAGAGAAGCAAATCTCTGTTGTGTGGCCCCTGGAAGGTTGCACAGAAAGGAACATGGCCCCCAAGCTGCAAAATATTCCCTTCCCCTCTTGTAACCCAAAGCAGAAAAACTTTACCATTTGATTCTGCTAAAGTCCCCACTAGGGTGGGCCTTAGCGAATGTCTACCATTGTCAAAGGCTAGCACCCACCATGAGCTATCCGACAGGAAGCATTTAGGGACTTTCGGTAGGGAATTTTGGCAGCATGGCTCGGGTGCCTAGAGCGGCAACCTCAGGGCAATTTGCATACTAAAGAGTTGGCCTGCACTGTGGCGCCACCACACTGGATGGCCAAAGGGTGGTATTACAGCTTCCAAGTCATCAGGGATCCAGTGATAAGAAGGAGCCAGGAGGGTCCCAATCTGATCCTTACAAAAGTGGAGGCTTCTGGGCTGGCTAAATCAGAGTAATGATCTGAAGGCTGCCCCGAAGAGAAACATATTCGCTGCCCCTGTATAAAACTGAATTGCCTTAAGCAGAAATGTTATGAATCCGCAATTTCCTTACGTCCATGTATTGGAAGACCAGACCCACTGTGAAGTTTGAAAGCCAGTGAACAGAGCCTCCAACCATGAATGCCGCTGGGCGAGACGACTGGAGGAACATCTCAATTATCATCACACTCGGAATCGGGCCTGGGAGAAGGAAGAAAGGGATAATTATTTATTATCATGTGTAAGGACGTAAGAAAGGCCTGCTGGATCAAGCCAGTGGCCCAGGTGGTCCAGCATCCTGTTCTCACAGTGGCCAACCTGTGGGAAACCCGCAAGCAGAATTCAGACACAAGAGCCCTCTCCCCTCCCATGGTCTCCAGCAGCTGGTATTTAGAAACTTGACTGCCTCCAACTGTGGAGGCAGGGCATAGTCATCATGGCTAGTAGCCATCAATGGCTATCTCCTCCATGAATTTGTCTCAAAGCCATCGAAGTTGGTGGCCATCACTGCCTCCTTTGGAAGGGAGCTCCATAGTTCAACAATGTGAAGAAGGACTTCCTTTTATCTGTCTTGAATCGTCCAAAATTCAATTCCCTTAATTGTTTTGGTGGCCCTTTTCTGAACCTTTTCCAACTCTACAATATCCTTTTTGAGGCGAGGTTGCACCATAGATTTGTACGATGGCATTACAATATTTACATTCGTGAATTGCTTCCAATGAAGCACTTCAAAGCAATTTCACAATAAACAGGAAGCTGCCTTTTACTGAATCGGACCATTGGTCCACCTAGCTCTGAACTGTCTACACCAAACATTTTTCAAAGAGGGCCAGATTTGATGAAGTGAAGGGCCATGAGGGCTGACCAAAGGACCAACCAAAGTTGTTGACTTTTTTTTAGGATTGAAGTTGTTGAGCATTCACCCCAGGAAATAAACTGCCACAGGGGCAGGATTAAACTGACCGGTGGGCAGGATTAGGCCCCCAAAACGGACTTTGGACATACCTGGTCTACACTGACTGGCAGCGGCTCTCCAGGGCTTCAGGCAGAGGTGATGATGACGACTCTGCTGGGGATTGAACCTGGGACCTTCTGCATGCAAAGCAGATGCTCTACCACGAAGCTACAGCCCTTCCCTTAAGATACAGGGACACAGGAAGCTGCCTTATACCGAGTCAGACCATTGGTGCATCTAGCTCAGTGTTATCTACACTGCCTGGCAGGAGCTCCTGGGGTTTCCAGACAGGAGTTTCCCCCAGCCTGAGGTGCAAAGGATTGAGTGAGCAAGGGAAATGATTATTAAAGAGAATGATTCACACCAGCAATGATACCATAGAGATGTAAGGAAACCATTCATTTTTCTGAGCATACTTACTGGCTCCGATAGCGTGTCCGATGACATAGGCGATAACGCAGGCTATACTCAAGTAGGGCATCCCGTTGATGTGCTGTTGAGGAATTGAGTTGCTGTTTAGAGCCATTTCTCAATTTCCCTGTTGAGGCGTCAACAGGGAAACAAGAAGGGCGATCAAACACCAGTGGAGGTTGGTGCCCGTTGGGCGGAAGGCAGGGAGCCCAACAGTAGGGGGAGCCAGAGCTCAACGACTGGCTGACCCAGAAGCAGTAACAGGCAGAGCTAACTACTTGTCCCCACATCCTCCTCTTTCCTACTGATTTCTAGAAGGGCAATGCTGGGACTAGGGAGCAGGAAGGTGACAGGCAGGGCCAACCTTTTTGGCTGACGAGTGGAGTACAAATGCTCTAGATAATAATACACAGGACCTCAATATCTTAAGGCTTGCCTCTCTGCATACAAACTGACCCGGATCCTGTGTTTGTCATTTGAGGCCCTTCTCTATGTCCCCCATCCCATAGAGGTTCAAAGGCTGGCAACAAGAGAACGGGCCTTTTCTGTGGTGGCCCCCAACTTTGGAATGCTCTCCTCATAGAGGCTTGCCTGGTGCCATCACTGCATGTCTTTAGGTGCCAGGCAAAAACATTCCTCTTTACCCAGGTCTATGGCTATTAAATAATCTATGCCTGTGAAAGGGTGGAGGAGAGGACTGTTATTATGCTTCACGGTGGTTGGTACTTGCATGTTTTAGATGCAGAAAATCTTGATGAGCACAGCTGCCCCTCGCCCCAGGCAAAGATGCTCACTAAACGCACCTTGAGGTTCAGAGCCACCGTTAGCACAGCACAGGCAACACAGCAGATCCCAAAACCGGCCAGAAGCAGAATTCTCCGCCCCAGGGACTCGACGATAAGGACCTAGAAGATAGGGAGGAAGAGAGCAGCCTGTAAATTTGTGTGCAAGGGATTCATTCGGGGGCCTTTCGGTGGTGGCACCACAGCTATGGGATTCTTACACCAGGAGATTAAAGACAAGCTCCCTACATTCTCATTTTTTGAGTCCAACGGGGCTTTTCATGTTGGATCGCTACAGTTTTCACACACTGCTATTTTACAAACTACTTTATGCAGCTGTAGGGAGTATTGATCCTCTTAACTGCTGCTAGCAGTGAACACTATTAGTTCATATGTACATATTTTACTGCTTTAAATGGGTTTATTTTTATTTATTTAATCCTAAAAGTGAATTTGAAATGAAATGATTTATTTCATAAAATTCTGACTGTAAAAATCCTCAAAGCAGAACAAAACAATAAAATTATTGGTAAGAACGATGAAAACAACTATTTAAAATGTTCAAAAAATCAAAACCAGCAAAAAACCTAAAAAACACACCAGCGTTCTAAATATCTGGGTAAGCTTGACAAAACAAAAATGTTTTTAACAGGCGCGAAAAAGAGCCCAGTGAAGACACATGCATAATTATCAATAGCTGGGGAGTTCCAATGTGAGGTTCTAATAAACAAGTTTTCACTACTTGTTTTTCAACCTGGTCTTTAAGTAATCATTTTAGTAGCATGCCTATAACAAAAGCAGCTTAATCCCCACTACAGAAATATTTACTATTTTGCTTAGATAAAAGGAGAGTATTAAAATGTTAAAAGCATTCATGCATGCATGCATTGATTGATTAATTAATTAATTAATTAATAAGGTTAAATTAAAAGCTTATCAGAGGAGCAGTTCGAAGGAGCTGTTTGTTGGCTGCCACCTTGAAACCCCTTTCTTGATAATGTTAATATTTCTTGCTTCCAGGTTGTTACCATCAATATAAACTTTGTTAAATAAATAATAATAATAATTAATAATAATAATAATAATAATAATAATAGCTTCCCCACCCCACACAGGTCGAGCACCTAACCCAGCTCTGGTGCTTAATAATAAATAATAATAATAAATCAATATGGTAAGCCGTACCGCTAACAACGTCATCACGACGTTGACGGCCCCTGTCCCCACAGTCACGAACTGCACGTCGTTTTCCTCCACACCTGAGCTCCTATAGATACTGTCAGCATAGTAGTAGACCTGGGGTTGGATGAAAGACAAACAAGCAACCAAAATTCAGTCATGCCCACAAGCAGGAAAGCGTTGAACATCAGAAGAGTGCCAAGATGGATCGGCCCAATGGAATCACAGAATGGTAAGAGTCGGAAGGGAACCCCCAAGGGTCATCCAGTCCAACCCCCTGCAATGCAGGAATAGTCCAGCGTCCTGTTCTCACCGTAGCTGAACACATGGCTGTGGAAAACCCGCAAGCAGGACTTGAGCAGAAGAGCTCTCTGCTCTCCTCCAGTTTTCAGCAACTGCTATTCAGAGGCATCACTGCTAGCCTTGACCTCTGTAAATTTGTCCGATTCCCTTGCAAGAAGCGAATGGTGAGTAAGAACATAGGTAGAGCCCTCCTGGATCAAACCAAAGGAGCACCTAGTCCAGCACGCTGGGGCCAACTGGACACCCCTATGGGAATAATAATAATAATAAATTTTATTTATACCCTGCCCTCCCCGGTTCAAAAACCGGGCTCAGGGGGGCTAACAACAAATTTAAAACACTTAATTGTAAAAGCAGCATAACATACTGTTATGTACTGAAGTTCTCACCCTGGGCCAGCAGGGGGATACTGTAGATAGTTATGCAAATAAGGGATCGAAAGTGACGTTCAGTGATTGGATAGTTTTAGAAAGTTGTTACAGTAACGTTGTAGTGGAGCTCTATATAAGCAGGCTGACTGAACCCTTCAGTTCAGTTCTGTCCTGGCCTGTTAATAAACAAGAGCTGTTTGAAGAATCGCTGTGTCGTCTGATATGTTCACCCACAACTTAACACATACAGTATAAAATACAGGCTGTGCCTGATCCAACAGGCTCCTTATGTTCTTAAGCATCCATCGTTAGGCATGCTGGGAATCCGGATGCTAGGCTTAGATAGGCCTCTTTGGTCTGCTCTGGCAAGGTACCTCTGCAAAGGAAGAAGCGTGATGCATAGCCCAGAGTCAGGAGACACAGCGAAGTTGCTCTTAGATCCCCTTCTAGTGAGGCGAATCACATCCAACTTATGTTCGAGTGCACATGGAGAAAAGAAACAACAACCCTCTGAACTGTGACTTGGGATGCTGGTTTACTTACGGCGTTAATCCCGGAGAGCTGCTGCCCCGCCATCATCACGATGATGGAGATGAGCTGCCAGCGGAGGCCTCGGTAGGTGAAGAGGGTCAGCACGGACATCCGCCCCTCGGCTTTCTCCGCCTGGTCCTCCAGGCGCATCTCCTCCATCTCCTCCTCTACGTCATCCCAGCCCCTCAGCTTCCTCAGGGCTGGATGGGAAGAAGGAAGGAAGGAAGGTCACCAAGGCGGCAGGAACCTGGCAGAAAAGACTGGAGGTGCTTTGCCTGCAGCCCATGCCACTCTCAAGGTTTTTCATTCATTAACAACAGTGGTTCCTAAACTTTTATGGGTCCTCGGTTCCATAGACCCAAGCCCAGTGCCATCCTGCCCGGCTACTCTATAAAAGGCATTATTCAGAAGAGCGGTCAGCACAACCCACTAAGGAAGACAGTAACACATTAACATTTAAACAGTAATAAGAAGAAGAAGAAGAAGAAGAAGAAGAAGAAGAAGAAGAAGAAGAAGAAGAAGAAGTTTCCCCAGCCACTCTGGGCGGCTCCCAATCAAGTACTAAAAACAATACAGCGTTAAATATTAAAAACTTCCCTAAACAGGGCTGCCTTCAGATGTCTTTAAAAAATAGGATAGCTACTTATTTCCTTCACATCTGAAGGGAGGGTGTTCCACAGGGTGGGCGCCACTACCGAGAAGGCCCTCGGCACTGGATCTCAGTGTCCGGGCTGAAAGATGGGGGTGGAGACGATGGGGGTGGAGTAATGATCAATAAAACAGTAACGATCAATAAAATATTTGTGGGAGTAGGGCACCCCCGAAGTTGACAGGCATCGACATTCAAATGATGTGCATGAATTATGTAGGGTAGGGCTTACCTGCCCCCCTCTCCAATATTTTATTCAAGTTGGCACCCCTGGTAATGATTAATTGCACATTTATTCACAATCCAATTAAAACTAGTTCAATTAATTCTACAAAAATAGATGGACTTGATCCAGCGATTCAAAGACTGTTAGTAAGTTACACCTCTAGCACCCTCCAGGCAATCCCACTTCTCCCCTGGGGGGGTGGTAATGCCCCCTTTGGAAAACCACTGTCAATCCGTTCTGTAGAGGTTTTGGACTACAACTCCCATCACCCCCTGCAGGCATCGACAGGAGCTGGAGTTCAGCATCATTGGGAGGGCCCACAGGTAATCAGATGCTGTGTCACACCTGAGCTCAGGCCGCAGGAGATAGCTTTGGTTTGACTAGCAAGAAGATATCCTACCACTCACGGAGACAGGATACCGAACAAGGAGTTGTTTGTATACCTCCGTAGCAGTTCGCAGGTAGTAAAATACACACTTGTTAGATGCAGTTTCACATCCCTCTTCTCTACCCAGCTTCACTTCCCGTGCTGGATTTACGTATAAGCTAAACACACTATAACTTAGGGCCCCACTCTCTTGGGGGCGCCAAAAATTTTAAAGGGGAAAAAAACTGGATGTACATTTCCAAAATATAAGACAAAAAACAAGTAAAATAAAACCTACATACAGCAACAGCGTTTTGTGTTGTGTAGGCTACTATGATGTAAGTAATGGGCCCCGCCTGCTAGCCTGCTCCCTAAAATATCACTGGTTTGCTCATTTCTATATATAGGGTGCCTACATTTTGCATGGACTGGTTGCATGACAACATGTGCAAATGGCTTTAGATACCTATTAGGTCCATAAATTGCCATATAGCATATATTCAACACAAAAAGCAGCGGCAATTTTTTTGTTGACAAAGGACAGCTGGAAATATAAAGGTCCCCGTTACCTTCAGTAGCTTAGGGCCTCCCTCCATTTGAGATTGTATCTTATAAGTAGGTGTTTTACCTGCTATGGCACTCGCTTCATCTCCCTTCTGGATCAGCAGGTACCTGGGACTTTCAGGGAAAAAGGGAAGCAGGAAAAGCTGCAGTACTGCAGGGATCCCAGTTAAACCCAACAGAATTGGCCAGCCTGCAACATGAGAAAAAAGAGAAATGTTGCTATGCCTGCAACAGGATAAGACACATGAGAAGAGTTTGCTGGATCAGGCCAAAGGTAAAAAAACAAACTAACAAAGGACCCCGGGACAGTTAAGTCCAGGCAAAGGTGACTATGAGGTTGTGGCACTCATCTCGCTTTCAGAAAGAGGGAGCCGGCATTTGTCCACAGACTGCTTTCCGGGTCATGTGGCCAGCAGGACTAAACCACTTCTGGCTCAATGGGACACAGTGACGGAAACCAGAGTGCACGGAAATGCCATTTACCTTCCCGCCACAGTGGTACCTATATATCTACTTGCACTGGTGTGCTTTTGAACTGCTAGGTTGGCAGGAGCTGGGAAAGAGCAACGGGAGCTCACCCCGTCGCGTGGATTCGAACGGCCGACCTTCTGATCGGCAAGCCCAAGAGGCTCAGTGGTTTAGACCACAGCACCACCTGCATCATCCTGTCCTCACAGCGGCCAAACCAGATGGCCGTTATGGGAAGCCCTCCTGTGATTCTCAGCAACTGAGATTCAGAAGCATTACTGCCTTGGGTACAGTGGAGGAAGAACTGTGGCTATTAGCAGTCTAGAGACTTGACCTCCTGGAATGTGTCTAATCCTCTCTCAAAGCCATTCTGATTGGTGGTCACTGCTGCCTCCTGCAGAAGCCAATTCCACAGTTTAACTACGTGCTGTGCAAGTCAGTCATCTATTTTTATTTCCATTTATTTATTAGACTTCTATACCACCCTTCGTCATAATATCTCAGGGTAGTTCACAAGATAATAATAGCAGCCTGTTGGACACAGGAAGCTCTCTTACACTGAGTCAGGTCATAGGTCCATTGAGGTCAGTATTGTCTACACTGACAGGCAGTAACTCCAGGGCTTTGGGCATTTAGAGGCATGCTGCTTGTGCTGGTGGAGGCAGAATGCAAGCCATTGTGGCTAGTAGCTGTATGCAGCTTTGCCCTCCACAAATTTATTCAATCCCCCCACATTCTGCAACTATTTTCACTCTACTTTTCCTCCTCCCTCCCTATCCCTTTCCTCTTTTGTGTCATGTCTTTTAGGTTGCAATTCTGGGAACTCATAGCTGTGAACTTACAGATTTGAAAATAAGGGACCAGCAGCCTCGAAAATAAGGGACCAGCAGCCAAAATAAGGGATTTTCAGGGCACAGGTATGTTCAACTTCTGAGCCCCTCCGAGCCAAAGGCAGAAAGCCCAGCCAGCAGCCAAACGAAGCCTCAAGCAGTGGTTCCCACAGCGCAGCAACCCGGCAAAGGGGATGCAGCAAGGAAAACCACCGTCACCTCTCCGCTGGGAAGCGCTGAGCAAAGGCGAGTCCCCAGGCAACACGGCCGATTTGATCGGCACAAGGCATGCAAGCTCCACCCCCCTAGTCGTTCTTAGACTCCTTATTGGGTGAGCAACGTAGCCAAGCAACACAGTTGGAGCCTCCCTCCTCCCTGGCCAGCAGTGAGGGAGGGAGAGGAGCTGCTTCCTTTGAAACCCGGGAAATTTAAGGGACATCCTCAATAAGAGACAGCAGCAGGACACAGCGCTGGGATAAGGGAGTTTCCCGCAAAATAAGGGACGGTTGACAGCTATGTGGGAACTAGGTAGCTTGTCTTGTTCTTGTTTTTTTTTAATGCAAGCAATTCTGGGAGCCTCTTTGGCTGAAGAGCAGAGGTTTTTTTATAGTTTTTTTTAAAAGCCCCTCTAAACAGATAAATAAAATGCTATCAGAGCAGGAAATTCGACGCATTCCTCATTTACCTTCTGTGCTTCCAAGGATCATCCGCATGCCCAGAATCTGAGCAGCGAGGATCCCGATGGTGATGAAGAGCTGCGGGACCACCCCCACGGCCCCCCTTAGGTTTTTGGGAGACAGCTCTCCAAGGTACATGGGGACAACGTTGGAAGACAGGCCTGGTGGAAAAGACAGCAAGACAAATGCAGATGAATCTGGGAACGGCAACAAAAGGGTGCAGCGTATCCGAACCCAACCCAGAGGAACGGTCTGGATAGAGGTTCCAAAAAATGCAGGCCTTCTTAAGAAGGTAACTTAAGACAGGTGCACAGGTGCTCTGCTGGGCTCACCTGCACAGATGCCAATGATGACCCGACAGACGATGATCACTTCGAAAGTCTTTGCCACCTTGGAGGCTCCCATGAGAATTGCAGGGATGATGGAGAAGACGTTGTTGATCAGTAAGGTGCCCTTTCTGGGGAGGGAGGGAGGGAGTTGTGGGATAACCAATCTCATATAACCAACATGCTTAAGTTAATGGTTAATGCTATAGTAGAGTAAGCTGTCCTGCCAGGCTTAGCCTAGGTCACTTCCCCTCCCCTTGAGAGGAAATACTGTATTTCTCGCTGTATAAGATGCACTTTTCCCCCTGCGCAGCGATCCCTTTTGCTGTTCTGACTTCGCTTCGCTGGAGAGGCGCTGCACAGAGGGGGGGAGCTGTGCGGCGCCCCTTCAGCAAAGCGGGAGGAGAAACAGATCCCCTTCCATTTCCCCTCCCGGTTTGCTGGAGAGGCGCTGCGCAGAGAGTGAGAGAATATTTTTTTTCTTGTTCTCCTCCTCTTAAACTAGGTGTGTCTTATGGTCGGGTGCGTCAACAACAAGCAAGCCTTTGTTCTTCCCCAGTCTACCTGAGAAGCTCAGCTTGGGAAGAGGTTTGAGCTGGTTGCTCCAGCTCAACTGTATGGCTCTCACAAGCCACTCTTGAATTCCTATACCAATATTTGGAACTTTTGCAGCAGAGTCCGACAACAAGAATCTGGTGCAGTCCCCAGGTCCCCATACCTGTTTCAATCAGTCATAATAAAAAGTCAGAGATGGCACTCATTCAGAGACAGGAGCAGGAGGGAGACTCCTTTCTGGCTGGTGCTCCCAGGAGTCATGGGAAGTTGTAAACCCTTTAGGGCAACAACATCTAGAAGGCCCTATCCTGGCTGCCCTTGCTTTGCACCCCCTCTGCATCACACCACAACCAGCAATGTGAGCCAGAACCATGCTTTTCTTACCTGCCGCATTTGTTCACCATGGGGCCAACCAAAAGCGACCCAAAGAACCCTCCGAGCGGGAAGAAAGACACTGTGATCGACCAGAGGGCTGTTATCATGTCCTTGCTCATGTACTCCCCATTCCTTTCATAGTAGGTTTCGTTGTAAAAAGCTTTCATGAACTGGAAGAAGAGAGGTATCAAGGTTCATCAACAATGCCCTCTTCTAAGTAAGCCAGGAACAGGGAACCTGCGGATTTCCGGATGTTGTGGGACTACAGAACCCATCATCCATGAGGACTGGTCGCTCTGGACGATGGGTATTGGAGTACAACAACCTCTGGGAGGCCACAGCTTCCCCTTTACCTGATGTAAACCATGTCAACGTTCACCATTTCTGGTTGATGGTGCTCAAAGTTCTATCAACAAAGAACGTCTTTATATTATTATTAATACTTTCCAGTCCTAAGGTCACAGGGTGGGTGGGTTGCAACATTGTAAAATGCAGCATTAAATCAGCAAGTTTATTGTGCTGGCCCATCTGCATGAGGAGAAAGGGATCTCTGGCCTCCGGTGATGCAAAGTGGGAAAGGTGTGAGCGAGCACAGAGACTCTACCTACCAGTTCTGGAGAGTTTATCACAGAGACGTTGTAGCCATACTGGAAAGATGAACCAAAGGCAGCCACGAAGGTCACCAAGCTGAGGACGAGGGTCATTCTCTGCAGGCAAGAAGAGGTGAGAGTGGTTGGAGGGTCAACCAGCTTCCTAAAATCAGCCCAGGAAGTGTCCTTCCTTATCCCAAACGTGCAAAGAGCAAGGAACCACATGTGGTCCTCCTCGCCTCTCTTATCTGGCCCTCGGAACTCTTCCCAACCACACCCCCTTTGCCGGCTCTGATTCACACCCCAAGACCACACCCCCGGCTGGAAATGCGTCCTTGAACTCTGATCATGCCTCTTGCTTAGATGGAGTACAGTATTTGCAGGAACTAGCCTTGTACGCAAAAGGTTTTAAAAAAAGGTCATTCATTGCCCCACCCACTTTTGTCTCTGGCCACACCCACCACTGGCATTTGGCCCTCGGAAGGTTGCCCAGAAGGGAATGCAGCCCTCGGTCCAGGAAAGTTTCTGTCCCACATTGAGGGCAAACCTTTTATATTAATTAATCATTTACCCTGCAAGAACCTATTTAATCCTGTTTGAAAAACCAGGAAAGTATGGCTTAGGTTAGGAAAAAGCTAGAGGAACACCATTGCCCTGACATCTCTTACCAACTGTTCAAAACAGCACAGTGCTGTGATGAGAAATGGCAGCTTAACTTTTCATGTACGGGTCCAAAAGGATGGATCTGCCGTCCTATTCAAAGTTAATAGAATTATAGAGTTGGAGGGGACCCAAAGGCTCAACCACCTGCAAAGCTGGAAAATATCTACACATCCATACTCAGCCATGACACTCACTCAGTGACCTTGGGCCAGGCATGATCTCTTAGCCTGGCTTACATTACAAGACTGGCTCCCTTTTTCTTTGAGCCATTACAGTGGTACCTCGGGTTACATACGCTTCAGGTTACATATGCTTCAGGTTACAGACTCCGCTAACCCAGAAATAGTGCTTCAGGTTAAGAACTTTGCTTCAGGATGAGAACAGAAATCAGGCTCCAGCAGCGCGGTGGCAGCAGCAGGAGGCCCCATTAGCTAAAGTGGTGCTTCAGGTTAAGAACAGTTTCAGGTTAAGAACGGACCTCCGGAATGAATTAAGTACTTAACACGAGGTACCACTGTATTGACACGGGTGGCGCTGTGGGTTAAACCACAGAGCCTAGGACTTGCTGATCAGAAGGTTGGCAGTTTGAATCCCCACGACGGGGTGAGCTCCCGTTGCTCGGTCCCTGCTCCTGCCAACCTAGCAGTTCGAAAGCACGTCAAAGTGCAGGTAGATAAATAGGTACCGCGCCTGCGGGAAGGTAAACGGCCTTTCTGTGCGCTGCTCTGGTTCGCCAGAAGCAGCTCAGTCATGCTGGCCACATGACCCAGAAGCTGTACGCCAGCTCCCTTGGCCAATAAAATCCCAGAGTCGGTCACGACTGGACCTAATGGTCAGGGGTCCCTTTACCTTTTACCACTGTATTAGGATTATTCATTTCATTCATTCATTGCTTTCTCTTTTTAAAAAGCCCCAGAGCGACATGCAGATCCAAACTCGCCAACATTTAAAAAGCAAAGACATGGAGAAAATATTGGAAAGGCAAGCGATCTGGATTTTTCCATCACTCCCTCCCACCCCCCACCCCTGGAAAAAAAGTCCTGTATTTCTAGCTGAACAATTTCGGAAGGATGGATGACCTTTCCACGCACGTTCCGAAAGATCCTTCCACATCACAAGGTACCAGCCTATAAACAACGTGGCGTTTCTGGCCAAGGTTGCAGCTGGGGGCTTTTAAAAACACTGCCAGGGCATAAAGAGTTTCGTTCCCCGTCTTCCAGGAAGGTGGATCATATTTTCCATTGAGGACCCAGGCCTTCCCAATGACCACAGTTGACCTCTCTGCTCTCTCTGCTCCTCCCACCTCCCTGCCCCCCCCCCCCGTTTGACATATTCTGGCGCCCACCCAAGCACCCTGGAGGCAGATTTATTGCTGGCTCATCGCCTCCCTAACTGTAACAAGTAGATGGTTGCAACATTTGGGATTTTTTTCAGTTCAGGGAAAGTTTTTTCTTCCTCTCTCATAACACTAGAATTTGTGGGGCTCCAATGAGGCTGAATGTTGGAAGATTCAAGACTCATAAAAGAAATGTGCTTCTTTGTGCAGCACAAAGTTTGTTACGGAAATTACGGGGGGCGGGGCGGGGCACATCTTTAAAGTTGTTAAATGTTACAAATATTATGCATAAACGTATCATTTCGACTTGACAGCTCAGGGAAGTTACCTAGCTTTAAAAATCATATAAAATCAACTCCTTTGCCAGTTTCCTTCATTCCACCGCCAATTTGCTTCGTTGGCCAAGGACTTGGAAACCATAGGTGGTGGCAGACTATGCAAACCAAAGTCCTATTGTCCCTTTGTAGTAGGTGCTTAGAATGTACTTCCCAATACATATCCTGTATCCGCCTGTTGCCCCAACACATTCCTCCTATGTTTATCATGTATAACCTTCCCCTTTTCTGATGTAGCAATGATGTAGTGATGATGCTTAATGAACTGTATGCTGGGGTAAGATAGAAACTTTTAAAAGTCCTTGTCACCCCATCCTTGGGGTTCAAAATTCCTCCTTGAACCTGTTGCGCAATAAACTTTGGTCTACAGCTATTTGCTCCAGTTGGTGGCTGGACTCCTTCCTTTATTCCGCAGGGACCCACGGGCTCTGCCGGTGACTGAGCAGCCTTGTACCTAGATTTTTCCGTAACATGTCCCTCCCACAGCAAGCAATGATAGCTATCAACTTGGGACAGCCCGCAGTGCTCAGGCCCGCTTGAGGGGTCCCCAAAGGCAACTGGCGAGAGCAGGATGTTGGACTATATGGGCTCTTGGCCTGATCCTGCAGGGCTCCTCTTACATTCTTAAGTGAGACCCAACACCAATTCCTAGGTACTGTAACTAGTTCCATTGTTGAAGATGTTTCTGTCAGTTTTCAAATGCAATCAGCCTTCCTCCACTTAAGTCCTTCTGATCGATTTGCTCTCAGGAGAGAACATACATAGGCACACCACACATTTAAAGTACATGATTCCCCCCCCCAAAAAAAACCCCAATCCTGGGATCTGTAGTTTGTTATGGGTGCTGGGAACTATAGTTCCAAGGGGTGAACTACAGTTCCCGGCATTCTTAAGGGGGAACAATGTGCTTTAAAAATTCAGTGTATGCACAGCCTTAGGCCACATTCACACTGTACATTTAAAGCAGTATCATACCACTTTAAATGGGGAATAGGGAGTCTCCTAACAACTCTCAGCACCTTGAGCAAACTGCAGCCCCCAGGTTTCCATGGGTGAAGCCACGACTGTTTAAATGGTACCATAGCATTATAAATGAATGGTGCGAACGTGGTTTTACTCTCTCGAATTAGGGAGTCTTTCAGTCATTCTGGTTCAGCTGATGTTAAAGTCCTATGAACTTCTAGCTCTCAGCGACTTCCAGTGACTAGTCTGCTGTCCATGGAGCAATTATCTTCAATTGCAAATTGTGTCTTCCCAACCAGTGGCTATGCTGGTTGGGGCAGTAGTTTGTTAAGGGCGCTGTGAGCTACAGTTCCCAGGATACTCTGTGAGGAAGCCATGCTCTTTTAAATGTACAGTGTGAAGGCAGCCTTGCAAGTCTTTGTCATCTTCTACGCAAGAGACCTCCAGGTATTTTGAAAAGGTATGGGGCTGATGCCAACTTTAGTGCACAGCTGGCTTGCCATTTCTGCTTCTCTCATGGGGAAATTACATACCACAGCATGCAAAAGTGCAACATTTATTCTTGGTAGAATGGGACACTTCCCCCATGCTATGACTCTGAGCATGTGCAGAATGCATTACCAAATTGGCACATCCAACCTCTACAGGCTTGGGGTTGGGTCAAGCATCCAGGCCAGAAAGCATAACTACCTAAAATCAGGCTCTGGAAAGTCTCAATTAAGAACTAAATACTAGGAACTCAGTACATGCTCAGAGGCACTCGCTTCACTACTACTTCACATGTTTTAGGCTGGGCATTTTGGCATTGACAAACGGCTCCTGGGTCTCAAGCTCACATTTATGGGTCTGTAGGGTTGGCTCAAATGGGACGCAGGTGGCGCTGTGGGTTAAACCACAGAGCCTAGGGCTTGCCGATCAGAAGGTCGGCAGTTCGAATCCCCGTGACGGGGTGAGCTCCCATTGCTCGGTCCCTGCTCCTGCCAACCTAGCAGTTCGAAAGCATGCCAAAGTGCAAGTAGATAAATAGGTACCGCTCCGGTGGGAAGGTAAACGGCGTTTCTGTGTGCTGCTCTGGTTTGACAGAAGCGGCTTAGTCATGCTGGCCACATGACCTGGAAGCTGTATGCCGGCTCCCCCGGCCAATATAGCAAGATGAGCGCTGCAACCCCAGAGTCGTCAGCGACTGGACCTAATGGTCAGGGGTCCCTTTACCTTTACCTAGGTTGGCTCAAGATGTCTCTGCCTTCTCCGCGGACCTACAATGCATTCTCTGAGGGCTGTGACCCAAACCATGCATCACCAGTCAGCAGTGAAGAGATTCAAAGTGCACCTGTGGAACTGCCTGCTGCTTTATGGATGCGTGCCTGCAGTAATAAAAACCCTGCCAGCCCAGGGTTGGGTTGTTTGCAAGTCACGCCACCCCTGCACCTTTGGCAATTAGCAGGGCAGATTATCTCCCCTTGTTTCCCTGCAGTGCTGTTGGGCATGCACAGGCTCCTTGCTTGGAACAAAAAAAGAATGTTGCAGACCGAGGAAAAACTACACAGTGCTTAAAAGACTACAGAAAACGGAATCTCAGACATCGGATGCTGATTGCCAGCATGCCAAAATGTTGACCAATCAATATTGTGCAAAGATGTCTGTAGGGTTGAAACCCGGGTGCCTCAAATTCTCAACATCCTAACTCCATTGCCTCTTTTTCTAAAAAATAAAATGCCAATATTTTTCAGTGCACAACCACCTGCTCTTCTGACAACGTGTCTTTTTGGACCTTTATGTCATGGGGTTTTGTGACCAGGGGAACTCCGCCAAACCCTCAGCCTTTTCTGTCTTGCAGTGACCCTGCCCCCCCCCCCACCAACACACCCTGAAAAAAAATCCTTAAAAACAGGCCTGTCTCCAAGATCCAGCAGCAAACAGACTGTGGTCTGAGTCCACACCCTCCAACATTCCGCATGAAAATTGGGATATTCTGTTGTAAAACAAGAGGTTCTGTGTTGCAATTGGCAAAATTCTACTGTATTTTGCCCGTTTACCCCTCGACCCACATGCCCACAGAAAAAGACAAGGAAACAGCGTCGTCTGCCAGGCAGACACTCACCCCCTTCCTGCCTTCGCATGGCACGCCGCCCGTATATTGATTTTCAGTCTTCATTTTAAACGCTCCTGCTGTCAGTTCTCTGATCTGAGTTGCTGCTCTGTTTGCAGCGAATGCCCCAAATGGAAATAAGGCAGAGATATATATAGAGAGAGCGAGATCTTCAGTATATGCACATACATGCACCTTGAATGGAGCAGGGAACACCCAGCAATATTCTTTATAGCCCAACAGTGGGTGAAGTTTGCCCTCTGAACTTCCTCGAGATGGGCATGGCTGTCTCGTGCTGGCCTTGTGGATCGGCTTCTCTTTGCTCCTTTCAAGGTTCTGGGTTTGCAAACAGTCTTAAGGAGGGCGTGTGCTGCGAGCCAGGATCAGTGGCAGAGCACATGCTCCCGCAGACAGGCGTTCCCACGTCCCATTATACAAGCAGCCCCGAGTTGGCAGAGTTGTGGAAGGGGCGTGGAAGAGGCGCATGCACACGCTGCCTGATCGGCTCAGAGAGAGCCGCTGCCTGTCAGAGTTGAGGGTGCTGGCTGTGAGTCTGCAGAATCTTGCCCTCTCCCGATCTGCGCTCTCCTCTTGGAAAGCGTTGCTTTACTGCTGCTGCTGGAAAGCAGAGGAGGCTGCCAAGACCGTCTCTCCTTGCAAAGGGGCGGATTGAGCAATAACGAATTAAATTAATTCCAGCAGCGCATTGGAGCTCCGTCACACCACTAGTGTGGTCAGAGAGAAACCTTTTGCTGGAGACAAATGCTTGGTTTCTACACACCGACCAACCCTATTTCGGGCTTATCTGTCTCTGGTGAATCACTGTGTGCAATTTGTCTTTTTGGGGGAGATGTTGTGGATGTCTCTTAAAAGAAAACTTTTTCAAGCATGCACATAAACGCCCCAGAGTTTCAGAGTTCTTTCCCCAGGGCTCTAGAAGTTATAATGGGAAAACCCCATCTGGAAAAGTTAAAAATCCCCCTTTAAGGCTTTCAAAGTGGATTAGGGAAATTCAAGGATGGTAGATCTATCAGGCTGCATACACTTCTTTGGTGATCACTTGTAGCCGAGTAAGATTGTCTTCCATAAGCACGGTTTCAACAATGAGTCCGTAAGTGACTGTGGAGGCCAATTTTGGACCCACACGTCCTTCCACAGTGGGGACATTGGTTCCCGGGCGGGAGTTGATCACGGTGAGGATTTGCCAAGCATGCCTTCCTCTTAGCACGTTTCTCCCTTTGCGTTCTGAGTTCGAGTGTCTTCAAAGTCCATGACACCTTTGGTAAAGGCTATTCTCCAACTGGAGCGCTTGCAGGCCAGTGTTTCCCAGTTGTCAGTGTTTATACTACATTTTTTTAGATTTGCCTTGAGATTTGTCTTTAAACCTCTTTTGTTGACCACCAGCATTACGCATTCCATTTTTAAGTTCGGAATAGAGTAGTTGCTTTGTTGAAAGCACATGGCTTCCCCTCAAAGAATCCTGAGAACTGTAGTCTGTCAAGGGTGCTGGGAATTGTAGCTCTGTGATGAGTAAATTATAGTTCCCAGGATTCTTTGAGGAAAGTCTGCTTTAAATGTGCTTTCAACATATGGTGTGTATTGTTTGTATAAACAGTTAAAGCCATGGTTTTCCCAGTAGTGATGTATGGAAGTGAGAGCTGGACCATAAAGAAAGCTGATCGCCGAAGAATAGATGCTTTTGAATTGTGGTGCTGGAGGAGACTCTTGAGAGTCCCATGGACTGCAAGAAGATCAAACCGATCCATTCTTAAGGCAATCAGCCCTGAGTGCTCACTGGAAGGACAGATCCTGAAGCTAAGGCTCCAATACTTTGGCCACCTCATGAGAAGAGAAGACTCCCTGGAAAAGACCCTGATGTTGGGGAAAATGGAGGGCACAAGGAGAAGGGGACGACAGAGGATGAGATGGTTGGACAGTGTTCTCGAAGCTACGAACATGAGTTTGACCAAACTGCGGGAGGTAGTGGAAGACAGGAGTGCCTGGCATGCTCTGGTCCATGGGGTCATGAAGAGTCCGACACGACTAAACAGCTACAACAGCTATAGTCCACAGCTAAGTAGAACCTCCAGGCTCAGGAACAGTATGCTGCAGAACACTAGGCTGGCTGTTTGAAGGGCATTTGAGTCCTCACTTTGAAGGAGCCCTGTTTGAAAGCCTGTCTGGTTAGAAGATACATAACTCTAAGTAGGGTTATTTCTTCTTACACTGGTGAAAGTCTGTAACTTGGGGGCAGAGCATCTGCTTTGCATGCAAAAGGTCGCAGGTTCAATTCCTGGCATCTCCAGGCAGGACTGGGAGAGAACCCTGTCTGAAATCCTGGAGTGCTGCTGCCAGTCAGTGTAGACAATACTGAGCCAATGATCTAAGTCAGTATAAGGCAGCTTTCTGGGTTTTCTAGGTGTGTGTGGATGTGGTAAGTTTCGCTCAGTAGTTGGCACATGGACTGAGCAGACACACAGATCATTTGGTGACACTCTCCACCCTGCTCTGGTGAGATGCGTTATATTTCTATTTAAATTGCAGCAATTCTTTCCAAATGTGCAACTACACATATAGACAAGCATGCACAAATTTTATGGACACGTGTGTCTTCTTTTGCAACGTTCTCCCCACCACCACCACTTGAAGACCAGTTGTAGTTGTTGGAGAGCAATGTGGGAGACTCTCTTTCGCATTCTGCTTCTGGCTGACATCTGACTCTCCACTGCTGGAAACAGGAGGCTGGGACAGATGGGCCCAATGGGATTCCTTCTTACACATTCACTGAGGAATGCCTGATGCTGCTTTCAAAGGAACTCCAGTGTTCCCTGGAACACACTTCTAAATCTTGGGCTCAGAGAAGCCTCCATCAACTCGACGCCCTCCAAACCTTTTTGGATTTCCAAGTATAACCCACTGTGTTGGGGTCCATGGCATTTGTAGTCCAAAGCATCTCCGAAGGCTGCCGGGTCAGAGAAGGATGGCTTAGAGCCAGGATGTGGAGCTTGTGGTCCTCCCAACTACAACTCCCATCAGACCCAGCCAGCATGGCAAAGAATATGGGAATGATGGGAGTTGTAGTCCAGTCGCATCTGGAAGGCAATGTCCATCCATTCCAATGGGTCTACTCGGCATAGATCTAACATTGGCTATAACCCCCAAAACATACTAAAGGATGCATGCAACCAAATTTTACTCAGGTTAGACCCACTGGAATCAACAGACCTAAATTAGTCGTGACCATCAATTTCAGTGGGCCTGCTCTTGAGTAGGACATGCATTGGATACAACCCTAAGCCCATGTTTATACTTGTTATAAGAATTTTTAGGTCATATATATATATATTCATAAATATACCAAGCAAACACACATATAAATATATAAACCACATGTCTGAAACCCATAGGAAAAGTCGTAAAGCCATTTTGACTCTTTCAGTCACCTCAAATATTTCTCTACAGGTCGAAGGAAATGCAGAAACCTCCCCATTGTTTCTGTCCTCACAAATCCTGCCTTAAGGGCACGTTTCAGGTGTGAATAGGGTGAGCCTGTGACCTGCCTCAGGAATTAAGTATTATCATTACAAAAGAATGGCCAGGCTCCCCAGGTAATCTCCCCAGGTAATCCAGTCAAGTGACCATTAACCTGGCAGGGTAAAAACAAAGCACTCAGATTTCTGTTGTAGACCGCCTTTTCTGTGATGTAGGTACGATGTATCTGGTCTTGGACTACACCTCTTCTGTGATATATGTATGATGTTTCTGGGGGTGGTCTTGAACTCCAGTGCAATTTAAAATGTCTATAATAGGGCTTGCACGCATGGCTCTGGGTCCTCCTCTCTCCTGCGTGTGGGGGAGCACCCTGTTGCAACAGTTAATGAAGATCAGGCTTACTAGCTGCTTTGCTTCTCAATATTCTCTGGTTGGTCTGTTATTTTCTCCTACCCATAGAGAACCTACAAAAGGACTATATATGGGCTCTTAGGTACCCCATATGGGAAAAGGAGCAGTTTTTTTTCTTATATCAGTTGCATGCAACTAAATTTTACTCAGACGCACTGGAATCAATAGACCTAAATTAGTCACGGCCATCAATTTCAATGGGCCTGCTCTTGAGTAGGACATGCATTGGATACAACCCTAAGCCCATGTTTATACTAAAGCTACAAATCAAGCCAAGCATATTTTACAAGCCCATCAGTTCATCAGATCAGTGCACCCTGACCAACACACAGTCTTCCGATGGCATGAGTGTCAAGACAACCTGCAGGTTCTTATCTGCTGCAGCCTTCATCCGCCTTCACAGCCGTTGTAACATACCGCTTGTTATCTTCTGCCTGTACTGCCGTTGAGGACTTCTTCCATCTTTCTTTGTCTGTCTCCTATCTCCTCCCCTTTGACCTTACCGCCTTGGGTGACCCTGCTGGGAGTACCAGACTCCCGACGGCTTCGCTCGCAAGGGTCATAGGAACGTGCAAGCCCACTCACCATGACAAGGTGATGACCCAGCGAGTGGTTTCCAGAAACTGCTACTCACAAGCATTTCTGCCTCTGACTATGGAGCTAAAACATAGGCATTATGGCTAGTACCTCAGAAGGGAGCAGGGGGGAAAAAGCCATCCACATTAGTGGCCATCACTGCCTCTTGTGGCAGTGAGTTCCACAGTTGAACTGTGCTCTGCATGAAAAAGCAACAGCTTTTATTTGTCCTGAATCTTCCAGCTGGAACAACAGGATCAGGATGCTAGACCTAATGAGCCGCTGGCCTGAGGCAGTAGGCTTTTTAATGTTCTTAGCTTGGTGATAAGGGCTGAGATGATCTTTTAAATGCAGAGGGGAAGTGAACCATTCACAAGGAAGAGTGAGAGACAGCACAGATATTCTGGCATTAGAGGCAGCTATTTAACACCTATATTCTGACCAACTTCCTTAGTCTGATTTAAACCCACAAGTGGCTGTGGCTGCCCTTCCTGGTGGATTGTAATTTGACTGCTTCATAGAATCCTGTTATCTTATTCCTTTGAACTTCCGTCCTTTAAAAACTAGGCTTGTGTGATGATGGAGGTGAAAAAGGAAAAAAAGAAGAAGAAAAAAGTACAGAATAATCTTGACATTTCTTCTCACATTTGCTTCTTTTTTGCCTCAAAGCCAGGAAGTGTGATAGGGAGGGAAAACCTACCCTATTAGCACAAAGGATTACATAAGGCCAATAAATTCTTTTGCTTTGTAGCCAGCTTCTTTCTCTCCTCTGAATTTAATTACTTTATAATGCATTCCAGGCTGGTATATGGCTTTCCAGCTCTGAATCATGGAACCACCACTAATTCTTATGGGGTTGTGTTGCAGCTTAAATCTGCCCTGTATCACCAGTTATGGCTTTTTTTCTTCTTTTTTCTTTGCTCTGGAAAAAGATTTCCAACACTTAAATAAACAGTTCATCTATCAAAAGTAGTATGATGACAGGCAGAAATTACCATATTTTTTGCTCTATAAGACTCACTTTTTCCCTCCTAAAAAGTAAGGGGAAATGTGTGTGCGTCTTATGGCGTGAATGCAGGCTGCACAGCTATCCCAGAAGCCAGATCAGCAAGAGGGATTGCTGCTTTCACTGCGCAGCGATCCCTCTTGCTGTTCTGGCTTTTGAGATTCAGAATATTTTTTTTCTTGTTTTCCTCCTCCAAAAACTAGGTGCGTCTTGTGGTCTGCTGCGTCTTACAGAGCGAAAAATACGGTAAATTGTAGTTCTGTTTCCCAGCAATGGAAAAAGCTGCACCGGTTGGGCAATCCACCTGGTGGATTTGCAATTCCCCTGAAGGAGCAGATTCATAGCTGGGAGGTATACCTTGATCTATATTTGTCACTGGCGCCTCAGGTAGCCTTTGTGGTCCAAAGCGCTTTTTACCGGTTTCAGCAGGTGAACCAGCTACCCCCTTTCCTGGATGGAGGCATCTTGGCTACATGGACCTATGCATTAGAAACCTGCAAACTGGACTGAGCAACAGCTGCAGCTTCCTCCATCGCTGGGAAATAGCCCTGCTGTTGAATTTCCCCCTGTCATATCACACCTGTGCCAAAGCAACTGTACGAGCTGCCTATCTGCTACAGAATGTACTTGAAACCCATCACCCAAAGTGGAAAACTGATTTGAATGGTTTAGTAAAATATGCAGGAAGGTATGATATGTAAAATGAACCATGGGAGGAGAAGGAGGGAAGTCAATGGATATCTTAAAGTTTGTAAAATGTTTATTTTAAAATGTAAAATTGAAAACTTAATAAAAATTGTTATTTAAATAACTCAGAGTGAAAAGAAAATATATTTGCCTGGCACCTAAAAATAGATAAAGATGCGGCCAGGAGTGCCTTCCTGGGGAGAGCTTTACACAATTAGGTAGCCAGCAGTGAAAAGGCCTGTTCTGGTGTTGCCACCCTCCTGCAGAGGGAGAACACAAAAAATAATGTCTTAAGGACCCATGCTGTTCCTGTGATTGTAATTTGTTTCAGACCATTTTTAAAGTTGTATTTTAAACGGTTGCAACCCGGGACCTCAGAGTGAAGGATAGACAGATATCTGCTAGTCCTACTCCTAATATCTCCTCCAGCCTCAGCATCATGATAAACATCAGGGCTGGAGAAACTCAGGGGGCCAAACAGAGCCCTTTGCACATCTCTCTCTGGCTCTCGGGACTCTTCCCAGGCCACGCCCCCTTCCCAGGCCACACCCTCCATTGTCAGGCCACATCCCTCAGTGGCTTTGCTCCATGCCCCCTTTGAGAGATTTCCTCTGGCTGGAAGGCATCACTGAACTGTGATGAAGCCTTTTTGCATGCCTAGATGGATGGAGGGTGCTGTGTGTTAAAACCACAGAGTCACATCTGTAACTTCATCCACTTTTGCCTCTGGCCCTGCTCACCATTGACATGTGGCCCCCGGCCTGAAAAAAACAACGTTCCTCATCCCTGATAGAGACCATTCCTGATCTCCATTGCCTCCCTGGGGCATTGACCCCCTATAGTTGTAAAGGGGAGGAAATAAGAAACGACAGGTATTGGGCGATTAAAATTAGCAAACAATATCACAGTCTATTATTGCTCATTCAGTGCATAGCTGTCAATTGTCCATTATTTGGCGGGAAATTCCCTTATCCCAGCGCCGTGTCCCGCTGCTGTCCCTTATTGATGATATCCCTTAAATTTCCCGGGTTTCAAAGGAAGCAGCTCCTCTCCCTCCCTCCCTGCCGGCCAGGGAGGAGGGAGGATCCAACTGTGTTGCTTGGTTGCCCAGCCCGCCCCCCTCCGGCCTCCTC